TGGGGAACTTTGGGGAGTTTTGGGGAACTTTTTTTTGGGGAACTTCAGAAATCTTGGGGGACTTTCCCAAAGTTCCCCAAAGTTCCCCTTGGACCCCCCCCCCCCCCATTATGTTATCAGATAAATAGCATAATTGGATAAAAGGAGGTTGTGATTAATTATGGTTCAATATTTGAATAGCTTACTATATTTATTGATTTACAACAAATGAGGTTATCATCTTCCGTAAAGTAACGTCACACTCTCCCTCACGTGACGTCACACTCTCTCATGTGACGTCAAACTATCCCTCACGTGACTCTCACTACTAACCTGCCCTGTGTATTGTCCGTGTATTTCTGTAAAAGCACGTGCTCAGTTCGTCGTAACTTTCTAACCTCCTCCGGATCTTTTAGATTCTGATGTGTCGATTTTGTAGCTGAAAATTTGCTATTGATAACTTTTAAAGTGTTGGTAAAAATATTTTAACATCCTTGGAAACTGAAAGTAAGGCAGTTTTGCAAACAGAAAGAAATTAAAAACTATGAAAATACCCAAATTATACGAAATTCTTATACTTGTATTAAAAGAATGATTCGTCTGAGCCGGCTTAACTCATACCGATCAGTTTTAACATCCTTGAGCGGGTCCTCTATGGTGTCGATGATGAAGGACACAATATTCCTGATAGCTACCTCGAACTGCCGGTTTGTCCGGGATATTACCAGGTCTTTGTCCAGTAGTAAGTTATCCGGTCCTGTCATAAGGGCGCGTTAGTTTGGTGAGTATTTGTGACGTCACTCTTCTCTCACGTGACGTCATAAGGGGCGTTAGTTAGGTGAGTATTTGATGATTAGTTAGATGGTCAAGGGAATCAGATTGTTAAATTTTAAAAGCACAGTTTTCCGAAATAGGATTTATGGGGGTTCGAGAAAAAAACTCTCCCGGGGGATTTCAAAAAAGTTTGCTATTAAAAAAGTTTTTTTTTTCCCAGCGCTCCCACTTTTTGTTCTGCGAAAAACAGAAAAGGGAAAAACAAGTTTCAGGGCACGGGAAGAAAGAGCGCTTTTGGTCGTTCAGGGGGTGTTGAAAAAAAGGCTCTCACTCCCCCATTTGTGGATTATCCCCACTGACATACGTTTAAATTTAAAAAACTATTAAACTTATTATTGATCTTACTTCCACAAAAAAAAATTTGAATAAGAAAAGGAAACAAAAAAAGGGTAAATTTTTTAAAGTTTTTTAAACACAGCATTAATACTGCAATGGGTTTCAGGGGGTAATTACAAAAAGTAATCCTACCGTAGGTACTAAGTGTTAAAAAGTTTTCCCAATTCAAAAATAGATTTTATCCTGATTGTATACAATTGTTTTGCAAATGTTTAATGTTTTCTTAGTTCAAAGGGTTTGCTGTTTGTACAATTGTGATTATCCCACCTTTGTTTACGACTCGCAGTTTCTGTTCAAATTTGCCTCGTGGCAGTTAGCCTGATATACGTCTTTTTAAAAACCAGGGGACTTGGGGGCCCCCTTAACTGGGGGAAGGTTATTATCTCGTAAGAAGTACTTCCTTTTCGCTTAAAATTACAAATTTTACTAAAAAAATGTGAAAACTTTAAATTTGAATGACAAACAGGGGGGGTATTTACCCCAAAAAAAACGGGTTTTCATTAACAACATTGTACACCCCTCCCAGCATAAGCCTTTTTCCAATTTTTTTGACCCACCCCTAGAGACCAATACCAGCCCCCATTCCCTTTGAACCGAAACCTACAACCAGTTCCCCTTGGGACAGAATCCCCCGGGTTGGGGTTGGATATTTTTAAAGGAGAAGACCCGGGGACTCGGAAGTGGTACCGCTCGTGGGTATATCCGTTCCGGGGATTTACTGGGGAAAAAGGGGCTGTTGTCACGGTTTCTACAGCACTGTTGTATCCCCTTCCACCTGGTTATAGCCCCGTGTTCTAAAGCACTTTTTTGTCACGTGACAAAGCACTTTTCTACAGCCGGTTATAGTCACGGTTCTACAGCACGTTTTGGTCCGTGTCTCGCCGGATTTAGCCCGGGTTTTCACCGGTTGTGTCAGTGTTAAAAAATTTTTAAGGGCGTAAAATCAATTCCACAGTAGCCAACTTTTTTACACTTCAGAAGGGGCAATCAGCGAGCGCTAAGACAAAAGTTGAAAACATTTACAAGATATGTAAACCCTATTTAACGCTCAGTTTGGGGAAAGGGAAATTGCAGGGAAATCGAGATTTTAACACTTCAATCAAACAATTTTCCCCTTAATTACACAATTACATACTCCACTTGAAATTACTACAATTACTTATCATGACAACCCCTGCCCCTATTGGTCTTAAAAGCAGCTCACCCTTGATTTTAGGAGGTCCAGCTGGGTCTCGGTTATAAGCTGGGGAGCTGACGCTGAAAGAAGTCCTCATCGGGGGTCCGGACTTTGTTTGGCTTTGGGCGGGGAATGAGGCGGAGTCCACCCGGAAAAGGTGGATGTTTTGGGGGGGGGGGTTGTGGGGGGTTTTTGGGGGGGGTTGGGAGGGTTAGTGGGTGGCAGTCTGGGGGGGTTTTGGGGGGGTGTGGGGGGGGGGGGGGGGGGGGGGGGGGGGGGGGGGGGGGGGGGGGGGGGGGTTTGGGGAGGGTTTGTGGGGGAGGGGGTGCTTTTATTGCCAAAACTGGTGTGGACAAGGGACGAGAGTAAGTGGCTAGAGAGAGGAGATGTGGTTTAATGAGTTCGCTTTAAACAGCACCAGCTTGTGGTAGATTGTGTAAGTGATCTCTGGGGAAACGCCCCTCGGTTCAAATACGGCCTGATAGAGCAAAACTATTCCTTTTAATGGAATCAAATAAACTTGAATTTTGGAGAATAATTTTGAGTCTTTAAAGATGTTGAAATAACAGTCCGTGGTAGCATTATAAAGTAAGATCAAAGCCGAGAATTTCCTTTGTTTATATTTTTGGCACACACCACAACCCCAGAAAAAAGATTCGAAAACACGGGCTTGTGACTATAGAATACACGGACACGTAAAACAGGGCTTCCCAAAGTTCAATACATGAGCTCCCCTTACCTGGCAAAGTTTCAGCTGTCAACGAAATAATATTATCCGCGATTACATCATCCACCAGCTAAGCTTCTCCGAATTGTTACGGTTTTATTAAAGTTACTATCGGCCAGCTTCTATAAAATGTTACTTTTATTTTTGTTTCGGACTATATATTGCGGCGTTATATTATACGGAATCATATGTTCATCTAATGGGATAGAAGCAGAAATAAAATATAATTCGAAAAATTTATGAAAATCAGGTTGTTGTAGGTGAGTAATTGAAGGCAACGAGTTTAAATCTGCCAGAATTGTGTCTCTATAGCCCTCAATTTGCCAAAAGTTCCACGATATTGTCGAAGTATGAATTATAATATGTTCCATTCTTCTATTATTAAGCAATATATGCTCTCAACCTCGCCGCAACATTTGCAGCTCACTTAATATTGTGTAATTTTTTATCGTGTGAAATACTGTCTGGGAATCCTGTGAATTTCGGAGAATCTCTACTATGTTATAATTCACCTGCTTACTGCGTGGTATCAGCAGCCTGGTACTGAAAACATGGATCAGATAGATGGTGGGGACAGATAGAGGTGGGGACACGAATGGAGGGTGGGACAGATAGAGGGTTTTGGGGACAGATAGAGGTTGGGACAGATTGACTAGAGGGTGGGTACAGATAGGAGGGTGGGGACAGTATAGAGGGTGGGACAGATAGAAGGGTGGGACAGATAGAGGTGGGGACAGATGCAGGGGCTTGTCATTGTACCGTTCACATTTAACGTATGATATCAGGTCCTTAACGTCGAGAAAGTGTCACGTGGACTTGTAGATATGGTATATAATAATTATAAAAGCTGGGGTGGTTAGGCTAGGGGTCACCACACTTCTGAGTGACATGCCTTGCAGGAGAGACATCGTTTTGCAAACACTGCGACCCTTATTGCTAATCAGTGCACTATTCTGCAAGTGCCCTCTAATAATTGTTATCGTCACCACACAAAACCACATGTATCAGGTGGGTAGCTAATCGTTGAGAAGGACTGGTTACTTACACCACGTCACAAGTCACGTGACGTCATGGCACAAGTCACGTGATGTCAAGTGGTGTGGCAACATGGAAACACGTGAGAAGCTGCAGTCTATGTGGGGAGGAGCCTTAAACCGGGCATGAGTACATCTCCGATAATACTCATAACTACAATGTCTCTCTGTATCATGGGTGATCATCCAGGAAGGGATACAGTCCCACGACTCTCGTTATTATGTAAAAATTTATCTTCCCAAAAATTCAGTGTAATGGAGAAATCGGAATGCTGCCAGTTTTGATTTTTTTTTTGAGGAGATCGCTTTTCGGAGATTTTGCAGAATTCGGCCTAAGGTATTTTGAGCCCATCAGATCTACTTTTTACAAGTCTTTGGGGTGGTTAATAATAGGGATATAGGGACAACATATTCCAGCACAGAAATACTTGTCGCAAATAAGGTCCAGATGTTTTATTTATGCTTACTGACCCTAAACTCTAACAAAGTATAGATTTACTATGGCCCTTATAAATGACATCTTAATTAATAAACAACTCTTTTTCGCTTTGAACTTTACGCAGAAGTAAGGTAAATTGTGTTACTTTTACTGCGTCAACAGAATTTAGTAATATAAGAAGCTGCATTAAAGACCTAATTACTTGGCAATTTAAAATCTTTCAACTGCGGACCGAATTATGGCTTATCGAGTAATTTTACGAAGTCTTAAAATGATGTTGAATATATGGCAATTTGCGGACAGAATGGACCTGTAATTCATATCTTGATCGTTTTTTCTAAATTTTCACAAAAATGCTCTCATTTCAGCGACTGAAAGTTCTAAGTTTGATGTGGTGTACGGGTGGCAACCAGAAAATTACTAGTTTGAGCAAAATTAATTGAATAAAAAACATTTGCACAGAAAGACACATTTTTAAAAGTTGGAACTCACCACCAAAGATGTGTAAACTTTCCAGAGAACCAACAAGAGGACTCCAACAGTCAGTATTCCCCCGACCCCACCAGCCACTATAGCCACGATATTTGGCGGGGTGGGACAATCTGGGTTGAACCGGATGTTAGACTTTAAAACACGACTTTTATGATTACCTTAACCCTAACAATACTCTCATGTTAGGTCATAGGATTAGATGATAGTAACATGGGAACAGGTGGTTCATCAATTGTGACCGGTCAATCGTGACCTGTAAACATTGCTGTTCTAAAATATGGGTGCAGAATATTCGCGAATTTTACGATTGGTCCAACAATAGGTGGGGCAGCCGTCCATTGGTTGTAAGTCATGTGACCTAGGTCACATGACCATAGCAGGTGGACTAAAGCCTCATTTAACCCCGGTCAGCTCACGGTGCACTAACTTTAGTGTGACGTTAAAATAGTTATTGACCTGCAAGGTAGATAATATAAATACAGATGTTTTGTGTCGAAAAAGTTAGTTTTATTTTAAACCAATTCTCCTAAACTGTTGTCTCCGTTGTTCCCAAAACTACAAGAGAAGGACCCGTTAACATTGGCGACGAGGATTACGACCGACGTTGGGACTTCTTGCTGCTGAAGGCTACAACAATTACGCCTTACTGCAGAATAAATGATGGAGAAAAGGTAACAACGGACAACTGAGATCCTGGTTCCAGATAAAAGGCCTTGCTAGTAGGTAACCCAGATAAAGTCCTTGCTGGGAGGTAACCCAGATAAAGTCCTTGCTGGGAGGTAACCCAGATAAAAGTCCTTGCTGGGAGGTAACCCAGATAAAGTCCTTGCTGGAAGGTAACCCAGATAAAAGTCCTTGCTGGGAGGTAACCCAGATAAAATCCTTGCTGGGAGGTAACCCAGATAAAAGTCCTTGCTGGGAGGTAACCCAGATAAAGTCCTTGCTGGGAGGTAACCCAGATTTAGTCTTTACTGGGAGGTAACCCAGATATCAAGTCCTTGCTGGGAGGTAACCCAGATCTGATGTTTCCCCAAGATCCTGTAAACTTAAAATGGAACTCAATCCATGGTATCTATAGTGGCGTCAACCTACGATAGGAACATAGTGACAGAGGGGTGTGGAGAACGGATAAGCTGACTACAAACGGTTGATTACTCGGACAATCTAGTCCTACTTTAATCTACTGGATACAAACATAAGAGTTGAGATGAAAAGAGGTATATTTTTTAACCTTTTAATTTTTAAAGCCTATTTGAGAAGAAATATTAAAATTTTTTATCAAAATCAACACGAGAGCAGAAAATTTTGGAGATTTCAAAAAATTGTCAATCTTAACTTTTGCTACGAAATCATGAATAGATTTATCTAAAATTTTAACAAAATTTTATATAAGTTTACGAGTTTCATAATGTTCAACATTTTAATGAAACAGTCTACTTAGTAAGTGAACAAAAACTAAGGTTATCACTTGAACATTTTTCGTATAACATGGACCAACCTCAAATCTTTGTCATTTTTTCAATTATTATTATGCTATTTCAAGTTAATGATATGTTGATGCTTGACTTGGAGCTAAGTTAAAGTTAAGTCATATACTAACTAGAAACTAGAGTTGTTTAGCATTTTGAACTAGGCGTGTGATCGTTTGTTCCAGTGAAATTCCAGTATGACACAGTAGGTTTAAGTGAAATACACAGTAGGTGTCTGGTGTAAGTGAAATGAACAGTGAAATGCACGGTAAATTTGAGTGAAATGCACAGTGAATTTAAGTGAAGTACACAGTAAGTGTATGTGAAATGTGCAGTAAAAATATCGATAGGTGTTTCTCGAGTGACCGCATGCTGTGACGGTCTGATAGTGAGTGATAAGGTCCAACAATTGAGTTGGCTTGTTACAGCTTTAAAAAGTTTATGAATAATACTAATATAGCCAGCTGTTAGTGTAAATCCCGAAAACGAATGGGTTCGAATTACTTGCGGGTCCTGCTATTTATGATAACAACTTGCTATTGACTTGTAGCCTACTATAAGAGTATAAGTTTACCTATAATATTGGCCTTGTATAAAACATGACGGCTAGAACTGCTTCACATGGTAAAATCCATGGAAATTTGTAGTGTGTATTTCAAGTTGATATAACTCTTGAGACTATTAATACATTAACCTGACAATATTTTGTGCAATGACGATTGTATGAAATTAAATGACAGATAAGGATGCACTGACAGGGCACTGACTCTCTTTATGCACAAAGACTCAAGACTGAACCGACGACTTTAACTTTGAATTATTTTAGGGAAAGTTAGTAAGTTCGGCCGTTCATGGAATAGCAATATCGTTTAATATATCATAATAGACAGAAAATTATTCAGTTGAGTAAGCCTTAGTTACTGATACAAGTATTTCAGTAAGAGCATTGAAGTATTAAATCGTACCATTCAAAGTAAGGAATTGCACTTACACGCTGGATGAATTTGAATGCATTTTAGGTCGTAGTAGTTCTCTTTTGAGAGTAATGTAATAATGTATGCGTCATAAATTAGACTGACGTTGATACGGTTTGATTTTAATGGAGGTTGACCTATTAGCAATGTTGAAATTGCTTTGTTTGAAGTTTATAGTTTATGTACAGATCATGATCATGAATATTTGCTTTGTCCTTGGTTGCGAAGCTAACAGCCAAGACAAGCGGAACTTGGCGCTTTTGTTGTGAGAATTGTGTAACGGCGTGTGGTTGTTAAGTTGACAACCGAGAATATGCTTGCAAGCTATTGTGGAGAGTTTTTTTTGTTGCCGTCGAATGCCAAGTTTTGAGAACTTAAACTACTGACCGTGTAATAAATGCTAAGTGTGAGTGAGAGATGTTTTGTGAGAAAGTGTAAGAATAAGTATAAGTGAATTTCGGGCAAGTATTTTCCGAGTGGCACGGGACATTTTAATGCAATTTAATTTATGTCTGAATAAATTACTCTGCCCATCTAGAAAGTAGAAACAGAAATCTTGTCTCAGTTTGTTTGGTGAATCTTAGGGGTAGGACAGAATTTTGTCCATTAGTACGGACTAGCCGACTATGGTAAAGTTTTAAGAACTTCATACCTTTAAGTTTAGAGATTGAGAGTTTATTTTTAAAGGTAACACCTTAAAGTGTTGTAAGCTTTACCTCATGAACATGTGACTGTGGAAGTGAGTGTGAGTGTACCAGGATTAGGATATGTTATTGATATGATTCTGAGTTATATATCAGAAATTAAGTTTTAAAAATTCATCGAAATATTTTCCTAATTCGAAATTAGGAATAGATGTGTATTAAACTCAATGTGAACGTAATTAAATGTAATATTAAGTTTAAGAGCAAGTTATAACCAATTTTTTCCTCTAGTATCATTCAGAATATTTTGTTAACCTTTAACTAAGAATATATTTTTGAATAATGTGAAACTTATCGGTAGGTATTGACAGCAAGTTAGAGCAGAGCCGTTAAATCTGGAATTGCACTCGTAGGCCAAGGCCAAGGCTTCTGAGTAGTAAGGATTTATACAGTAGTGCATGCTCTACTTTACGACACGTTAGTCGTTAATACTGAACGTACAATTACAAAGAAGACATTATTATGTGATCGGTATAATTACCATTAAGCTTTTCAGGATTTTAATTATAATAATTCGTAATTATAATAATTTAATTATAATAAATCGTAAGCTTTAAGATTAAAATAAATATATAAAGATAGTAATAAACTTACAATTTAAAAAGTTCTTAATAAGAACTTGCAGAAGCCCGTTGGTGGCTCCAAGTCCCACTCTGAGCGGACACTTCTTCGAATGTCTTGAATTACTTTATCAATCTCATGAGATGCTTTATTATCAAACAATACGTAATAAATCTTGTATGTTGAGTTTTAACAACTCAGTCTCTATACATATCCGCTCTGTGGTATCTATTGTGCTCGTCTCTGAACACATATCTGCTTTATTGATAACAAGAATATCCCCAAAATTGGTAGTTATTGAAGACATCTTTGTCCCTCGCTGACATTTCTTCTTCTGTCCATTCTTGGCAGTTTCTTTTGGTTGTTTTCGTCCAGGAAAACACACGACTCATCTTTTCGAAACGGTAACGAGAGAACGTGCTTTTCTCTTCTATTTCTGCCCGGAAGGCAATACTAGTACAACTTACCTTAATAAGGATAATTAAATTATAAATAATAATAATAATAAAGACTTTGTGATATACAATTGTTGCAGTTGTTTCTCTTATTTTTCTTCCCTTGCTCTGCAAGCCCTGATTCTTGTATAAACATTGTGTTTAGTATTTTGTTTATTGTATTTATTGTGGTAAATTTTGGTTCAGATTTCGGTATTAATAATAGGTGTTTGCTGAATTACTGTATTATACACTCTGTTGCCAGCTCTTGTGTGTCCCATCTCTTGCCCTGCAAGCCCTGTTTCTTATCTATACAACATATTATAATTGTGCAATAAACATTTATTGTAGCGTAGGATTATTTGAATTTCTATTTGCTAATTCATATAATATTCACTTTATGATTGTTTCGCCCATTTTTCTTCCATTGCATTGCAAGTCGAGACCTCTTATTGAGACCCGATATAATAAATACGCTTTATCTAATTTACTCTTCGCTGGATACTGTAATAAACACTCGGTACATGGTCCTTTTATCTTTCTTCCCTTGTTATGCAAGCCCTGTCTCTTGTTCATACAATCTTTAACTCTATATTGGGTAGATTGAGTAATTATTATAAATTTTATATTGAAGTTAGCCCTGCACTGATTTCTGTATTAATAATAAACATATTTCATGGACTACGGTATATACAGTTATTGTTAGTTTTCTCTTGTTTTCTTTCTCTTGCTCTGCAAGCCCTGTTTCTTGTTTAATACGGCATATAATTATCGTGTTTCGTATTGTAGAATGTAATAAACATTGGTAATAGAGTAAGATTATTGGAAATTCTTTTTGCTAGGTTTATAATATTTAATTGTATAATTTGCAATGGTTTCTCCCGCTTTTCTTCCCTTGCACAACAAGCCCTGTCTCTTATAAATACAACTCTTGTAAATACAACTTTGAAAGATTTGTAGATACACATAGTCTCTACACCTTTACCCTCTGGTCCCTAGGGTCAGCTGATCCCGAACCAAAGGAAAACTACCGAATGCCAAGGTTTGACGCCTAGGCAGTCGAGACCACTTATTAAGACCCATTATAATACAAAGAATACGATATAAATGATGACTGTATTATAATTTTATAATAAGCACTTCTGACAGGTTCGGAGGCCTCAGACCTCTATCGTTAAGCCTCTGACTTGCCCCCGACTGTCGTCGGCATCAGCGCATTTGAAAATGTCTGATCGATATCAGAGTTCGTTTGATGTTTAAAAAAATGCTGAGTTGTCAGTGGAACTCGAATTTGAAAATTAGTTGACTCGAAACAGTGTGAGCATGTTTGACTTTGTCGATTGTCTTGCGTGGTTAAACTAGATGCAACGTTCAACGTATGATTAGAAGGTGGCACAGGAGAACATATATATTGTTATTGAAATTTAAGTCATTTTTAAGCAAATAAGTAGTTATGTTGCGAATTATTTTGCATCATGTCAACTTCATTGTGTAACGAAGCTGGCTGTACATTTTGAAAATTTTGTGTTGGCCTAACTTGGTTAATCAAATTGTTTTTTCCACTGATGCCAAAAATTGGCATCGGCAAAAGCTGCCGATGAAAATAAAGCTAAAGCAGCCTGCCTAAATAATGAGATATAATATTGATCAGATTACCCGTTTAGTGGTAGCTGTACCTAAGAGAAAAATTTCAGAATCAAGATTAATTTTAGATTTAAATATGTACAGGTTCGAGGGTTAGCAAGTTGTGGCAATCAGAAGCCGTAAAACAGCCTAGTGATTACCACACGTGTTTGGTGCCGGCCATCCCTGGGCCTGCAGTTAGATTTCTATCGATGCACTGGCATCAATAGGAAACTAATGGCCAGCAGTACTGATAGTATCATGCTCTGATTTTTTATTGTTGAAATATGTGAAATTCTAATAACGCAAATTTCGTTTAACACTAAATAGCTTTAATCGCGAATGCAGTTATGATCAAAAGAAAACTAAGAAAATTAGAAAAAAAGATTTTATATACAAAAATAATAAAAAAAAAATGTTAGCTAGACTGATATTAGGTTAACTTACTCTCAGAATTAGTTCTTTGATTTAAATGATTATTAATGTTTTGAGGAGGGAGGAGAATGATGGACAATTCATGGACAAAAAGAGACTGAGAGTAGAATTTTAGATCAGTTTTATTAATGTTGATATATTAATAGTTGATATATTTTTAAAATGGTTGACTGTACACATTTACCAATTTCCAGATTGTCAATAATAAAAGAAAGAAAAGTTCGAAAAGGAAGTACAGCCAATCATTTATGTTTACTAGAAATTTGAATTTAAAAATTATCTTTAAGTAAAAGCTCTAGAGATATGTTTTCATTAATGAAAAATGTCGTATTAAGACTAAATTTTTGTTGCATTGTAAAATACATGTTGTAAAGATTCAGTTAATAATTTTATTCCTCTAAACACAAAACATCTAAAAAAGTATAATAAAATTATTATTAAAAAAAGGAGGTATGTTAGGTCATAGGATTAGATGATAGTAACATGGGAACAGGTGGTTCATCAATTGTGACCGGTCAATCGTGACCTGTAAACATTGCTGTTCTAAAATATGGGTGCAGAATATTCGCGAATTTTACGATTGGTCCAACAATAGGTGGGGCAGCCGTCCATTGGTTGTAAGTCATGTGACCTAGGTCACATGACCATAGCAGGTGGACTAAAGCCTCATTTAACCCCGGTCAGCTCACGGTGCACTAACTTTAGTGTGACGTTAAAATAGTTATTGACCTGCAAGGTAGATAATATAAATACAGATGTTTTGTGTCGAAAAAGTTAGTTTTATTTTAAACCAATTCTCCTAAACTGTTGTCTCCGTTGTTCCCAAAACTACAAGAGAAGGACCCGTTAACACTCAGACTACCTATACTAGTTGAGTGTGTTCCATAACCTAGCACCCTGCCTAAACGTTCGGTACTCCTGGACCTATGTGGCAAGCCTGCTCCCTGAACAAACAAAAAAAAACCCTAACAATAACTCTAACCCTAAATTCTCCCCTATGGTTAACCCTAATGTCTACCGTAATGTCTACCCTAATATCTACCCTAATGTTTACCCTAATGTCTACCGTAATGTCTACCCTAATGTCTACCCTTATCAGGAAACTACTGATAACTCGTACAAGCTCACCAAGTTGTCTGTCAATGAGTATCCGATTCAGAGTTCGCTGTTTGGCAGATCCGTAATCTGTGTACTCTATCACAAAGTTTATATCACATGTTTCGTCCAGTTCGTCCGGAACGGGGGGACATTGTTTGTGTCTTCCTGGAATGATTTAATGTTGAACTTGAGCTTCAACAGTTAAATAATGCATTTTAGTAGTGGTCTGGGACAAAATGAGTAGCTTAAGTTGGTTTAGGGATCGTTCATATATTACGTAATCACTTTCTGGACAGAAAATCTTCCCTTCAAAAATCTTCCAAAATTTCTTTTTATATTCTGATGTGTTTCCGTTCATCGAAGCTTTCTTTGGGAATACAAATTTGAGTATCTCAATCGTGTCTTGCCACTCTCAGTGACCTTTTAAGATGGTCATCCAAGAAAATTTCAGTTAAGGGGGGGGGGGGGGGGGCCGGGGGGGGGGGGTTCACCCTGATTTTTTTGTGAAACTTGGTTTCGAGATAGCAATTGAACAACAAACTAGGACCAGTGACCAAACTTTTGAGGGGGTCCCGGACCCCAACCGCCAAACGGTGCCCGCGGGGCAGCCACGCCCATATTTGGTCCAAATCAGGCCCAATTTAGCCAAATACCCTGAACATGCCCAAAACCCAGTTTTAGGTGCTTTACTGGTAGCTAGTGGTCCCCTGAACTCGTATATGAAGTGTCATCAAGATTGGACAAAAAAATGACTGAGTTATGAGCTTAAAACTATATGCCCATATTTGGGCATACGCACTAAATTTGATCGATTTTGGCCCATAAATTGGTCAAATATCAATATTTTTGAATGATACTAACTTTATATGAAAGGTAAGCCTAAACTACACATTCTCTATGATTATCAGCTCAATATCTACCTAACTGTGGATTCTGTGGTCAAATAATCGCAAAAAATGAACAAAATCGCCCATATCTCAGTTCGCGAATTTGCCGGGCATTTTTCAGAATTTGGCCGCCAAATTTTTTTAAAGGCCTAACTCAAAATTCTGTCCCAAAACTTAAGATCATGAGACAATTCTACGTTGATTCTGAAAATTTCATGAAAAAATATTGAAACCCTATTGAGTTCTATTGTTTTGAGCGAAGTCAGTTTTGCAAATATCGCGAACTGAGATATGGGCGATTTTGTTCATTTTTTGTGATTGTTTGAACACAGAATCCACAATTAGGTAGATATTGAGCTGATAATCATAGAGAATGTGTAGTTTAGGCTTACCTTTATTTATTATTTATGGGCCAAAATCGATCAAATTTAGTGCGTATGCCCAAATATGGGTATATAGTTTTTAGCTCATAACTCAGTCATTTTTTGTCCAATCTTGATGAAACTTCATATACGAGTTCAGGGGACCACTAGCTACAAGTAAAGCACCTAAAATCTGGGTTTTGGGCATGTTCAGGGTATTTGGCTAAATTGGGCCTGATATGGACCAAATATAGGCGTGGCTGCCCCGCGGGCACCGTATGGCGGTTGGGGTCCGGGACCCCCTCAAAAGTTTGGTCACTGGTCCTAGTTTGTTGGTCAACTGCTATCTCGAAACCAAGTTTTACAAAAATATCAGGGTGAACCCCCCCCCCCCCCCCCCCCTTAAAACAGTGAAATATGGTCGCGGAAAGCTTAAATTTGAAAATGTCCTACTATACCGGTAGGACATATTCAAAATTTTCATTGCATTAAAGTTTTCTCAGGCCCCATCAGTGGATAAAAAACACTCTTGTGCCGCTGTAACCATAGTAACCTTGTAACCTTAGTAACCTTGTAACCTTAGTAACCTTAGTACCTTGTAACCTTAGTAACCTTAGTAACCGTGTAACCTTAGTAACCTTAGTACCTTGTAACCTTAGTAACCTTGTAACCTTAGTAACCTTGTAACCTTAGTAACCTTAGTAACCTTAGTAACCTTAGTAACCTTAGTAACCTTAGTACCTTGTAATGCAGCTGAGTTGATAGTTGGACTATTAGACAGGTCAGCTTCTCCAGGACACTCACAGTTATCTGAACCCTGAAAAATATATTCTGAGATAACTCTTATTCTGAGATAACTCTTAAACGCGGATACACTAAATATGTATAGCTTTTTAAAATTTAAATGATAATTTGATCTCAAAAATTGGAATGGTAAATTTTATAAAATGTAGACCAGGGATAACTCCAACTTCACTTACTAATTAGTAAGATTCTAGAATCAAGCACGTGTGAAGTTTGAAGTTTAAGAATCTCGAAATATTTCGACGATTCTTAAGAATTTTAACGCCTAGAAATAGAGGGAAATCCTGAAAACCAGCACTCACCCCACCATGAACACATTTCACACAGCCCACGTAAAGAGAACAGTCGAGAGGGCCGCATTCCTGACAAATATCGCAGTATTTACCAGTGTGACCCGGTTTACACTGACACTCCCCACAGACGCATTCACCGTTTGAGGGTCCTGGTGGGGTTTCAAATAAGGAAAAATGAGACCTGGAACTGATAAGATTCATTGAATGTAAGTTACAAGTTATATTTATAATGAATTAAAATTCTGGAATGTTTAGATTAAGCAGTGCTGAGCATTAGTTTTATCTCAATATCTCAATAGTGCTGTTATTAAACTTCAATTTATTATTATCATTAAAATTGATTAAAAATGGCACATTTCGTCTACTCTGTATCCTCACCTGAGCACTCCAGCAGATCTTGTTTGCACTCGTCTTTTGAAACGCGACAACCACAATCCTCTCCGGTAAATAACACAGAACCTGAACAATATTGCTACCTCAATAACTACAACACTGCTAGGGCGGGACTAGTTTTGGGGGATGTTAACGGGACGGTGAATGGGGATCCGGGATACAGGGGGCAGTTAAATTATCGAGGTAGAAATGTTGGAGTAAATGAAGAGTGCCAAAATAGGGGTACCAATAATAACACGCCGAAAGAATATGCCGACAATATCAACTAAATATTTAACTCACTAATTATTAATTAACCAACTAATTAATTAAATAATTACTACTAATTAACCAACTAATTAATTAATTAACTTTACCGTTTGCTACGTCACATTGGCACACGTTACAGGAGCAGTCTCCATTTCCAGAGCAAAGTGTACCCTGCAGATCACGTGGACAGGTGGAATCACTGCACTCGCAATAATCTCCTGAAATATTACAAGTTAACATAATATCAGCAAGTAGTGGATATTTTCATTAATGAGCCCGGTTATCTGTTAATAAACAGGCAAATAAATCTATTCATTGATCTGTCCGTCTGCATATTTGCATGTTTCTCAATATCTCACTCTCTTACCGTATCTCTGATCGTAACAATCGCATCTGCCACAGACACACCTGCCGTACCCCTCTCCCCCACAAACATCACCACTCTCATCAACACAGGACCCCTCCACAGCGTCCCCGTAACACTGACACGCCCCACAAACTAGGTCACCTGACAAAAAGGGGAATATTCAAACAATATACACAGATAATTTCAACAAACGTCATTATGTAGCTATAAGGTTAGACACCCTCAAAAATAATAAATAATAAATAAACCAATATACAATACAATCATCATCCATTAAGGCCCTTCAATGAGCCCAACTGATGTCATGACTCACACATAAAGAGCCATCCAACAACTCTCGAGTCCTGCATAGGACACTCAGTTAGCTCATTAAGTCGGTGTCGTCATTGGAACCAATCAAGATGAAGTTGGCGTCAATAGAATAAATGGTTCCACGGCTCACGACGACAAATTTGGTGTTAGTCAGCAAAGAAGTTTTTGAAATTGAGTTCATCTTAACCTGACTATAACTATAAGTTTTGTTCGGTTTTGGCTGTTAATTACGTAATCAATTTTTTAATAATACCAATTCGAAAATTTTTCCCCGATCCATAACTCAAGTGCCGTAGGCACAAAAGAGTCAAGGACAAGGGTTATATAGAGGTTTTTTTGGACACTGACTAAGACTGTTACTAACAATCGTATGATCATATCATTAAGCTTACACTTCAAACAAGGATGCGAGTAGAGATGCAATGTTAGTTCACTTTATTTTTGATAGTTATGGTATCTTTATAGTTTGGTTGAATGAGACCTGAATCTCGTTTTAACACTCTTTACTTTGATTTAAACTTATGAAGAGGATTTTAACTATTTACTTAACACCAATAAAACGAATATATTGGGGTGCATCGTGTAAAGCAGTAAGCATGCTTTTAAATTTATAATAAGATACAAATAATATATAAATCACAATGAAATAAAATAATTTAAACATACGATACAGGGTTTTATTCTTTTCAAATTAAACTGAAGAACTGCACTCGTCGTGCGGTCGTCTGTGTTCCTATTGTTCTTGTAGTAGTAGCTATTGGAGTGGATCCAGCCACTGGAATGGATCCAGCCACTGGTGGAGGCGGAGCCCATACGTAGTTCTGTTCCATAACCGGCTCATGTTCTATCTCCATAAGCTCGTCTATCTCTCCAACAGCCCCATCTGTCTCCATAGGCTCCTCAGAACATTCTGGGTTGCTTCTGTTAGCTGGCTCCTCCTCGCCATGTTCTCCACTCCAAACGACGGTAGAGCCCCCCAAAGAACTCTTGTCAGCAGGAGGATTGCAGATTCGGTCATCGTCACTATCATTCACTTGAGTGACGAAAATCTAAGATCGGCGATTTCGATATGATTCATTATAACGATGAGACAATGTTGATTGTAGTAAAGAATGGTATTGGTAGTAAACGAACGAAGTAACTAAACGAACGAACTGATTTTAAAATCTATATCATGGGTTTATATACTCATCTAATCCACCCCCTGTCCGAATACTCCTTCAGGAGTTAAGGTGTGAAAAATTCCGTTATTGGGAACACATCCTGAACCACCACAAACTGGGTCTAATCGTGGGTCAACTTCTCTGTCGCTGCATGGTAAGCAAATTTCGATACTATAATACGAGCTATGATTGGACGATATAGGGCGATATAGGCGCTGTGATTGGACGAAATAACGTGCGCTTTACCTGGGGACCCCAGGCTATTATATAAATATTTATGTTCATAATCCCGAATCCGAATATAGATATTTGGCCGCCAAATACCAGTCTGTCATGACAGACTGAGCGCCCCCGGCCATAAACGTGCGCTCATCGGTCAGATATTTAATTGTACTCTAGTAGCAGGGATTTTTTTAAAATATTTATTTATCTATGTATATATATTTTTCTTTTCCTCTTTTAAACCATTCCAGTACATTGTGCTGAAAGTTGGAGATTTACAATTTTGGAAGCGTGCAAGGATACCGATCTGATATCGATGGTAAATAATAAAAATACTCTAGCACAATTGTAACTGCAGTTTTACAGAACTCCAAATGCTTAATGAACACACTTGCACTTTGCAGGTACCACCCGTATTCACACTCAAAAATGAGTTTCGTCAGTTTCCGATACGAGATTGGGACGGGTTTTATTTATAAACCTTATTTATAAATAAAACAACAGTAGCAGGGAGGGGTTGAGTGTGCACTTCGATGTACAGAGTTTTTGATACTGAATCGGGCTAAGTAGCTTAGGTCATTGGTAACTCAAATCACCGAGGGGCACATGTTTTGTCGCTAGTCCCAACCCTGTGGGAGCCACGGTGATTTGAGTTACCAATGACCTAAGCTATTTAACCCGATTCAGTATAAAAAACTCTGTACATCGAAGTGCACACTCAACCCCTCCCTGCTACTAGAGTAATACAATGAATGTAATAAAACGGTAGAAATTTTCAAAAAATAGGGTAGAACAAACCCCCTATGTATTAAAAAGACCTTATGTATTAAATAAAACAGTAAAAATAAAAGGTCACCTGACTCCAAACACGTGGTAGATTTTATAGCCACGTGATCCTCACACGGACACGTGCACGTCACGGACAGGGAGACGGGTATCTTTGATATTCCTGGTATCTGGGAGGGGGTTTTATAGAGCTGGTTGTAGAGAAGGAGGACGGACTGGGAGGGGGTTTTATAGAGCTGGTTGTAGAGAAGGAGGACGGACTGGGAGGGTGTTTTATAGAACTGGTTATAGAGAGGGAGGACGGACTGGGAGTGTGTTTTATAGAGCTGGTTATAGAGAAGGAGGACGGACTGGGAGGGTGTTTTATAGAGCTGGTTATAGAGAAGGAGGACGGACTGGGAGGGTGTTTTATAGAGCTGGTTATAGAGAAGGAGGACGGACTGGGAGGGTGTTTAATTTATAGAGCTGGTTATAGAGAAGGAGGACGGACTGGGAGGGTGTTTTATAGAGCTGGTTATAGAGAAGGAGGACGGACGGATTAAAAATATATAAGTAGTTGTGCGGCCTGAGAGGTAGACTTGCAAATAGCTGTGCAGGAAATACAGTAGCTAAATTTGTGTTTTGGTCAGTTGTTATCAGATGTTATCAGTTCTTCACTTGTTATCACCTCGATGTCGAAGTTGTAGGTGTTGTTTCCCTCGTCATAACACTGGTCCACCTTGACAACTATAGAAAAGTTCACTTCTTCTTCCATTTTTACATTGAAACACCCATTTGTCGTCTCCGTCTGAATCATTATCGTGAGGATTAAGTTTGTTTTCCATGCATTTTTCCAGATTTTCAATCGATATACTGGCAAGAAACAACTGACCTTTTTTGTATGCTGTTCAGATTTAAAATCAGATGTTTTAAAGTGCATCCTAGCAACGTTATAAGTTTATATTTGTTTAAACCTGTTCGCCGGCGCATTTAGGGGTCACGACAACAGAGACCCCTGGGGGAGTCCGTGGGTTCAACTGTGTTTTCTTCACGATATCCTCTAACTTCTCTCTTATCAGGTTCACCACGTCTTTAGAGTCGTCGCTGAGCGTACCTGAATATAACGTCATCATATTAACCATGAAATTATGAAATCTACTATACTTTTTAATATGAAGTTACTTTTTTAATATGGAGTTCGTTTTGGAATTTCGAGTTTTTTATTTCACTCTTTATTACTTTGTTACCATCCATGTATTGTGTAGACGGAAGCGTTACTGCGTTAGTGCTCCCTCGGACAATTTAATGTTAATTCCTGTTTAATTCCATCATCAAATGTAATATGACGTCATCGAACGACATTATGACGTCATCATGGCAGATTTAAAGGCACTGACCAACAGACGAGAGCTGAGTGAGACTATCTGAAAGGTTCTGGTAGTCATTTTTAACGCTTTCTGTAACAGCAAATATTGGTATTATCTGTTGGTCTGTCAGGACTTTGTTTAGCTGCCCTATTGAAGGGTAATCCTGACAAGTGGAAAGTATTTACAGGAATATTCCTGGAATACCTCGTTATACTGGGTTTTTGGGAGGAGATTCATATGTACGGTATAGAAATACACGGTATAGAAAGATTTTACTGTTTTAAAAAGTGTTGTGCATGTTAATGGCTGATTAGCTCAATACTATTCATTTAACACACAAATATCAATCCTTTACAAAAAATAGGATTCCAACGCTAATAAAAATAGGATTTAAACGCTCCTTTAAAATAGGATTCCAACGCTCCTTTAAAATAGGATTCCAACGCTCCTTTAAAATAGGATTCCAACGCTCCTAAAAAACGCTGAGTGAGTACGCTCACCTCATCCAAGCTTCTGGTATAAGTATTCCCCTCACCCATTCCACATTGTGCCCTGTTAGGTCTGATTATCCCAGCTAACCTACCATCCCCAGCCATATGGAACACAGCATCAGTTGCAAAGAAGAGGACTCTACGAGCTACAGTTCTCCAACCAATCTGGGGATATGGTGAGCAGGGAGTGTAAAGGTTAAAAGCTGGGACCTGATTGGTTAATCGCTGTCACGTGCCAAGTTTTGTGCATTAACAGTTAGGAATAAGGATTATCAGATTTTGTGTCTAAAATTATGGCAGATTAATTGAACCGATCTGATAAACGTACTCCTGATTGAACTTATTTTACTGGATCTGAAAAATCATTATTTGTGCAGGAATAGCGAACAAAGAGTCTACCTTCGAGCAAACAGCAGCCTGAACGATTGCATCAAATCCACCTTCAGGAACATCTATGTTGGCCGAGATCTTAATATCGTTTAGTCTTTCCTGAAATAGACGTACAAGTCACAAGTGCAAGGATTACAGGGTATTTTGGACGATATTTTAACGTTGTCCAGTCTATCCTGAAATAGGATTAATGATTAACGCCCGATAAATCCAAGAGGCTTTACAACAAAATTGGAAAGCTTAAAGTAAAATAATAGCAGGAACAAATCGGACATGAGTATGGAAGAACACTTTGGACATGTATGATGTATCGAATTTGTTGCTTAGCTCAGATGTTCAAACCTTCCCATGACGAGAAAAATCGAATCATGTATTTTTGCGCGCCGCGCTTAACAATAACGTTTAAACACTTGCACCACAAAAATGCAATATTTTAAGCGCGGTCTGGCGGCAAAAAGTTTAACCCTGCAAATGTGAACACAAAGTAGAAACGAAGCTATAGATTGCGAAGCTTACAGTGAAATCAGCTTTAGCTTGGCAGCTTTCTTCATCTTCTTTACACGAAGTAATATCCATCTCGTGGTTAAAGGAATGCACCGCTTGGCAAATTTCGTTTTCCCCACATGGCATTTCTATTCTGCCAGGCTCTGAGACGGCAAGAATGATGACAATTATTATCATTGTATAATATAGTTAACCTGGTGGTGCCAAGATGGAAGTTACCTGGTAATTTTAGTACAGATGATAAAATATTTCCTAGAATCAGCAGATATCTCGCACCCAAGATTGGCATAAATTTCTTAAATATTGTTTATTAAAGATGAACTCTCTGTCTCTCTGTCTCTCTGTCTCTCTGTCTCTCTCTCTCTCTCTCTCTCTCTCTCTCTCTCTCTCTCTCTCTCTCTCTCTCTCTCTCTCTCTCTCTCTCTCTCTCTCTCTCTCTCTCTCTCTCTCTCTCTCTCTCTCTCTCTCTCTCTCTCTCTCTCTCTCTCTCTCTCTCTCTCTCTCTCTCTCTCTCTCTCTCTCTCTCTCTCTCTCTCTCTCTCTCTCTCTCTCTCTCTCTCTCTCTCTCTCTCTCTCTCTCTCTCTCTCTCTCTCTCTCTCTCTCTCTCTCTCTCTCTCTCTCTCTCTCTCTCTCTCTCTCTCTCTCTCTCTCTCTCTCTCTCTCTCTCTCTCTCTCTCTCTCTCTCTCTCTCTCTCTCTCTCTCTCTCTCTCTCTCTGACTGTTCACGGCATACTTGATATCATCATATTGCTTCCTATTTGTATAACTAGTTTTGTATGTGTATTAAGATAGTTGGGTAACGTAAATTAAGTACCTTGTAGTACCTTATTGTACTGGTACCGATAATGATAATTATTTTTCATGGAATAAAACCGTACTGTTATTCAACTTTCCCTCAAATAGGTATTAGGTATGTACATACCATTCCTATAAAGAAGTAAAGGCTAACAACGGAGAATAAATTGCTGGCACAAGTATCACCTAGTTATAATAGTAGACCTGAATTAGCAAAAGGAAAGGTTGGTTTATCGACAAAAGTGCCAAATCCAATTCCGTAACTTGAGGAGACATCCGTCAAACTTTCAACTGAAACATTTAAAGATCGTTTATATTATTTCGTTTTGAGTTACTCGATCTCAGGTTTCATCATAGTATTATTGTAGCTGTATCGGATACAAGTCCTTAGCCAGCGACTGGGAATAAGAATATTACAGATCTTATTTATTTTGTTATTTATTTATAAGATAATCTATAAGATAATATATTACGTAATCTCACCAACGCTGTCAGACAGGGTTTTAAGCTGATTCAAATCGTTTTTCATGGAGTAAGAGAAATCCATAAGATAATACACGTCCAAAGGGAAACCTTTAGAGGATTTAACTGTAATAGCTATCTCTTTCTCTTCACCTGTTATTGATAATCGGTGATTTATACTTATAGTAATATACATACAAAAGTTGCCAGTCACTGTAGTAAAATATCAAATTATCATTCAACATGGTTTGCTTTTTAATAATTTCAGTCTGCTACATTTTCATCAACGACAGCACCAGAACCACAAATACATGTGATGAGGTTAGGAAAAGGAAAATTACAGCGAAAATATCGCTGATCATAGCAACAGATTTCCTTTGTTGGCTACCAGTTACCATAGCTTCCTGTTTCCACTCAGGAGCAGTCATCGACGCTACACCCTACTATTCTCTTATATCCATAGTATTTTACCTATCAACTCTGTCATCAACCCTGTCTTGTACAATGATTTCTCCACAACGGTATTGGAAAAGGTCATAGAAAAATCGAACCGTTTTTTGCCAAAAAGTGGAGAAATCAGAAAGTTTCTCCTGAAGAAGACACCAACTATAACAATGGAAATGGGCGTGACCATCCAGTTCAAATGATTGAGATGAAACTTGTGAATTCAAAGCGTAGCTCATTGGATTGAAAATGTAATCTAAACCATAAAATATGGTTTACTGCATCTAGATCTATATAGCTGCAAATTAAACTTTCACTAAGATTCCTATTCCTCATAAACCTTCTTCTTCTTCTTACCCCAGTAAAATATCAATTAGTGGAGAAAAAAATTAAACTTTGTTCTTTTTCTTTTGTTCCTCATAAACCACGTACACCTTACTGTAAAGGATTGTACATGTTTCTCTGTACACCACATGTACACTGAAAATGAGGCTGTTACAAGTATACCTATCTACTCAATAGACAATTTTGGACCGAAAGTAATAAAGCAGAACCCTACTTTTCTCTGAAGAATAGAAAAGACTTGTGACGTCATATGCCATGTAGTGACGTCATATGCCGTGTAGTGACGTCATATGCCGTGTAGTGACGTCATATGCCGTGTAGTGACGTCATATGCCGTGTAGTGACGTCATATGCCGTGTAGTGACGTCATATGCCATGTAGTGACGTCATATGCCGTGTAGTGCAACGAAGCACCACACATCCCACGTGATCATATGTGGTACGATACAGTATGCACCCTATTTCCAGCAGCAAAGTACTTGTCAGTGTAAGTGCATTGATGCAATGGTACGATTTTTGTGGCCGAGTTACACATTGAACTAGGTTAGCGATATCAAGACAAAAAAATTTAACATAGAAGTATTTATGCCAAAAACGAAAGTGTGTTTAGAATTTTCCCAATCAATCCATTTACTTTGAACTAAGAATCCGATGAATCTATTTGTACATTTATAAATTAATCATACTGTCAAATAAATGTTTCCTAGAAAGGTATTGACCTCTAACATAATATGTGATATGTCTAAGATAATATTATGTACTACGAATAATGAATATCTTACCTGGTCTAAGATAAGTTATCTCGATTCTACTAGGCTTAACTTGAGTTGTATTACTGAAATCTTGTCCAGTTTTATTTGTCTCTGATACAGGAAAGGTCCACTCTTCGCAATCTTGTAGGTTCAGCTGCAGAACAGTAGAGTTTGACTGACATCTGACGGCAGTGTATTCTTCATCCTTGCACCATTTGCAAGTATAGTGTGCTCTCATGCAATGGGAGCATGTTTCAGCATCCGTGCAATCTTCAGGAGAATATCCTGAAAATATTAAGATCAAAATAGAGATTTTATCCAAACGTTTCTCTATTCGAAGTTAACAGATCATTATAATGATAATTCACTATGGAAACGTGATCTGAGCCTTTACCAGGAAGGGAGCTAAAAATCCCCTGCTGAACTTGATGATGCCAGCTGATATACATATAAAACTCTAGCAACATTTGGAATAGCTGTATTAAATTTTTCTTTGCTCAATTCAAATTTTTCATGATAAAATGAGTTTTATAGAAAAATAGATCAAAATCTATGCATTATTCAAAGTTTAGATATCAATAACAGACTTGCAATTTATCCAATTTTCATTTCTTTTACGTATTTAAATCTATGGATAGCACATTCAGTATTGAAGAACAACAGTCAATTAAATTAATTTCCATTCGCACGGTTTGAGACACTCTTTTCAACCTAGTTTATTGGACACGAACCGGCCAGATTATGCATAACTCTTGTTAAAAGTTTCAATTTTTTTAAAACTATATGAGACAAGAGAAACGCCATCCTAGGACGAGAGGAGGATTAGGACTCCTTGGACTACATTAAATCAGGATTTGCAGTGTTGTAATTAGTTTAAAACTCACCAATATTCAGAGATATCTGTGATATTATCTGTAGTCCCAAAAGTAGTTGACACGAATTCATCCCTGAATTTGAAATTTACCAACACCAAAGAACATTAAATTCTAACATTTTAATCAAATTAGAGAAACTTTTGATCAAAATACAGGAACTGTATATTTTCATTCCAATTCTATGATTTCAATGTGACAACGTCGTATTCATGATCTCAAATTATTTGTTATATAGTAGTGTCGTAGTATTTGTTAACATACACATGTGTGAGTTACGTACTATTAAAGTAAACAGTTAATATATGTGATCTATCATCTAGTGTAACTAACTGCTTTACTAACCAGAACTTATTATTTCAGTGTGCTGGTCGACCACAGCTACAAAACTACAGTCAAAGGATATACCCACAGCGAACAGACGAAAGAGTCCCTCAAAGTGGTAAAAAATTGTTCCTACTTACTCCAGTAGCAGGGAGGGGTTGAGTGTGCACTTCGATGTATAGAGTTTTTTGCTACTGAATCGGGTTAAATAGGTCATTGGTAACTCAAATCACCGAGGGGCACATTTTGTATCGCTAGTCCCAGTCCTACAGGGCGAAATTTCTAAATTGCCCTCAGGCGCAAATTTGGGATTTTTGTATCTCGGCTTCTAAAAGACGTAGAGACTTGAATATTAGCTTAAAATAACCGCAATAGCCTTATTCATATGCAAGTTATGAAGCAATATAAGGTCTCAAGTGCCTAGTTTTAAAGATATTCACGAAAAACCGTTTTTTGCTCATCGCAGCCAGAATTACCGGATTATTTTTATATCTCGAGCTAGAAAGGTCGTAGAAACTTCTCCCATATTGAAAAATATTCGCAATGAGCACATTTATATAAGACTTATGAATCATTATATGCTCTAAAATGCTTATTTGTAGAGGTATTAGCGAAAATCGGTCATTTTGGCAACACTAATACAAATTTGGTAATTCATTTTGTCTTTTTGTTGCAAATATTCAGGTTGCAATTTTCAAGATGCAGTTTGTGGCTATCGATAGGGCTTTATGTGCTATTGCATGGCTTTGATACAATCCTTCAGCACCTGACATAGGCAACAGGGGTCACAAACCCTGAAATGTCAGGAACTGGGCAGTGGCCGAGATAAATATTTGATAATTACTTGGACTCTTGACTCACATACATCTTTTCAACGGTTAGTTAGACATCTTAAACCAATTTTGAACGTTGAGTAAAACTTCTGATCCATTTGTAGCTCAGGTGATGTGCCCCAGAACCTCACGCCTGAGTGACAGTGGGCCTTATCGATCATGAGCCGCAAATCACAATGACTTTGGGCCTCAGTACTTACTTGTACTTGAGTAGGTCTCCTCAATCATTCGAGTGGCCTGCACCAATGAACTCCCGTTTGTGACGTATCATCTCCCTCCAAAGTTTGCGGTCACTAGCCATCTCGCTCGCTCCTTCTAGGTCTATGTCAGTGTTTCCTGTAAATGATGCAGCATCTTCCAGCAAACATTTCCTCCAGTTCTTTCTTGGACGGCCCCTAGATCTTCTCACATGGGCAGGGGTCCAGTTAAGCAGGTACTTAGGAAGCCTAGTGTCTGGCATTCTGGTGACATGGCCAAACCAACGCAGGCGGTTTGCTCCTATGTACGTCTCTACTGGATTTATCTTTGCACGCTCCAGCACTTCAGTGTTTCTAACCCGATCGAGCCATCTTATCCTAAGTATCCTCCCCAAGCAACGCTGATGGAACACCTCAAAGCGATGTAGCTGCTTTTTGGTTGTGTTCCAAACCTCACTACCATATAACAATATTGTCAAAACCGCTGCCTTATAAATCCTGATCTTTGTATAAGACTGGATGTTGCGGTTTTTCCATATATAGGGACTACGGGTGGAAGATGAATAATTGATATTCCAACAGCATCTTGTTCCCTGCATTGTGCTGATTCCGGGAAGCATTCTGTTTACGCTCTCATCATTCTGTAGGATGAGATATCGTTCATTTAAAATTGGGTAATTATAGGCCTGTCAAGGATTGCAGTCTAATTAAGAGCTGATCAATTGCAGCTAGTTGTGCCATATAAGGGATAACTGAGGTCACGTGACATTCAGTCCTATCACGTGACCGCTAATCCTATCACGTGACCTTGATTCGTAAAGCCTCGGGCACGTGATCACATTCGTAACGTGTCGTATGCCGACTAGGAGATTTTGTGACGTCACCAGAGCTGAAGCTACTTGATCAGGCCTTATATGGAATAATATCGTGTATCGGGTGTAATTGGACCTAATTAGAGCAGCTGAGCGCTCAATTATAGCAGCATCTGGTACCACCTTCTGAAACCCAGCAGACAGCTGGCCCAGAGAATCGAAATTAGAAGGATTTTTTATTGATGGAAATCGAAGCGGAAACCTTGTAACCCTATGTTTTCGATGACGCCGAACAAGATTAAACAGGTTATAATTGTCCTACTCTCGTGTAAATTGCTCTAAAACGTGATTGAAATTTTAATGATGCCATCAATTGTAATACAGTTTTTACATTAAGCTGAGCGGTGTAACGGCTGGCATTCCTGGGCCGCACTCATCCCAGATTGTCATTCCGCCGCAGCTTCAATTTTTATGAATATTACAGCCTGGGGTCCCCAGGTAACGACTGGAACCGCTATATCTGCCTAGTCTCAGTTATTGTAAATAACGAAGCCTGTGATCCGCACATCAGGCATTGAACGGGCTTGAATTGAACGTCGTGTTATTACTATGAGAAAAATCATAGTATCGGGTAAATTTTTTCAAAATGCACTTGAATGTCATCAATTTGATTAAGTTATCATAAGTTGAATAGCTGGCGCATTTACAGTGCTACGTTTTCAATTATTCTACGAACACTTGGAATAAAAATCTATTTATATATATTGCATTGTTTAATACTTATAATCAAGATTGCTAAGTTCAGTGTGTGGACGAAGTATAGCGATGGAATCACTAACATATTTATGACTGTTTGATATTTCTTTGCTGCAGTCTGCATATCATCCAGAGAAAGCTAATTTTAAAGAAGTAGTCTCGAAATTTTCGGGAATAAACTCAATATTGTGAAACATCATACAAAATATTATATAACGAGTGTTCTCTTTTAATAAATCATTTCATTAGTTTTTTAACTTCCTCTGTTTTCCTGGATTTTGTTGCCTGGGCATATTTCAAAACTATAGAATGTTACGGTGTGACAATTTTACCCATTTTTTCCCAAAAATGTCCAAGAAAACAGGTTCATTATTGGTTAAATTATGTTTCTAAGGCTTTTCAAACCTACGATTTACATATCTGCCAAAGAAAATAGTGAGAAATCAATCCGTTTTTGAGTAATTAAAAGTCGAAATTTCGTTACGGAGTGACTAGATAAATTTTCAGATTTTGGTACACCCATATTCTGACCTAATTTTTATCTCAGATATTCTTGAAAGTTGCAATTTGACGGCTTCCAGGCACTTTTCAGACATTTTCTCTGTAAGAGAAACTAAGTGCCTAATATAAATATGCATACAGTACAACTACAGATTGTTCATGAAACATTGGTCATTGGTTTGGTTTTAAACATCTGTAGATTAATTTATGAAAGATCGATCGGCTATATTTCTCTTATTTTCCCAGCAAAAAATATATGTTTGAAACCGGACTATTACTCAGTTGATTGAAGGCTCCGGAAGCTTTCTGAATCCTAGCTGACAGCTCACGGTCGATAGTACCGTCGCTGGAAATAATTGTACCTAAGTACGTAAAGTCACTAACTTGCTGCACTGGCGTGTCTTCAACAGTGATGTTCACTGTGGCTTCTTTAGTGTATGGCCGTTGAGAGGTTGCTTTACCAATGACCATAGCCTCAGTCTTTTTACCATTGATTCTAAGACCTCCCTGGGCACCATACATACACAAAAGGTCAGTTGTTTCATGAAGACCTTCCTCGCTGTTATCCAGTACAGCCATGTCATCTGCATAATCTGTATCTAACACAGTGATATCATCAACAAGCGGACTGATAGATCTTTGGAGAACCGCTCCGTGGGACACCACTTTGTTGCTTTCTGTTCTCTCAGCAGCCACATTGAGGCAGACATTAAAAAGTGGGGGACCCTGAATGTCTCCTTGGCCACTGCCTGAACTTACTTCAAACCATTCTGATGGTTCACCATTGTGTCTAACAGCACTAACAGTTCCATTAAAGAATGCCTGTATTATTCGAATGTATTTACATGGCAGGCCATAATGACTGAAAGCTTTCCAAATATAATTCCTGTCGATGGAATCAAAAGCTGCCTTGAAGTCCACAAAATTTACATACAGGGGGAGATTATATTCAATGCAGTTATGTATAATAGTGCGGAGTGAATAAATCTGATCAATGCATGATCTGGTTTTTCTAAACCCACACTGATTGTCTCGTAGCAAACTTTCTAAACCGTCACTCATGCGTTGTAATATGATGATTTGATACAGTTTAGATGCTGTAGATCTTAGAGTGATCCCCCTATTATTGGAGCAATGAGAGGTATCACCCTTCTTTGGTACAATTATCACGATGCCTTTCAACCAGTCGTCAGGCACTGCTTCTGAATTCCAAACTTTAGAGAACAATTTCTCCATCCTATCCACAAGACCACTTGCCCCATACTTTAACTGCTCATTAGAGATTTCGTCAATCCCAGCACTTTTGTGGTTCTTCAATTTTTTGAGACAGTTTAAAATCTCAAGTCTTGTGGGGGGACCATCACCATCACCAAGATAAGGAAAGCATGGAACCACTTCAAGATGGTCCAGGTCAGACATATCCGCATTCGTGGGAGGAGGGTTTAATAGCTCCGAAAAATGTTCTCCCCATCTCTCTCTCTGAGCAGAGGGGTCAGCAATCAACTTCCCGGATTTGTCTCTTACAGCAGTTGATTTTCGATTCTTCTTATCGGACAGTGTTTTTATCCGTTGCCAGACTTCCCTTTGACGGCCATGGACAGCAGCTGTTTCCAGATCTGCTGCAACTCTAAGAGCCCAATTCTCGTCGTCTTTCCTGCAGCTCTTTTTGACAAGTTTGTTGGCCCGAGAATACTCGCTCCTATTGTTGTTGTCACTAGGCGCCATCTGTTTAATCTTACTGCGTTCTGCAATAAGAGTTTTTGTCTCCTGAGACAAATGCTGCTGCTTTCTGCGCCGGGGGCGCTCACCCAGTACCTCCATAGACACTGCTTTAATAGTATCCTTAACTAATGTCCATTCTCCATCAAGATTCTCCTCCATTGGTAGGCAGCTAAAACGATTTTGAAGAGCAATGCAGTACTCTTCAACCTTGGACTGATCTCTAAGATTCTCAATTGCTGGAGATATCCTACGAGAGGCGTTCATTTTTTGAACTGCTATAAGTTTGACTCTAAATTGACCCCGAACCAAATAATGATCGGAGCCAATGTCTTCACCCCTGCATGATCTTACGTCAAGTAGAGAGTGACTCCACTTGGTAGAAATACAGACATGGTCAATCTGATTTACTGTGCGGCCATCTGGAGACTTCCAACTTCCTTTATGAATATCACGATGCTGGAAAAGCGTCCCACCGATTGTCAACTGATGTAATGCACAGAAATCTAATAGTCGAAGGCCGTTGTCATTTGATGAAACGTGAAGGGAATGTTTACCAATCACACCGGACCAAGCTGAGTTATCTTGGCCAATGCGAGCATTTAGATCTCCAAGTAAAAACTTCACGTCATGAGCTGGTAGTTCATCAAATGCCCCAGATAGCTGCTGATAAAAGTCATCCTTTACCCCGACTGCTGCATCCTCAGTTGGAGCATAAGCTATCACAATCGAAATGTTGATATGTCGACTGTGCAGCCTCGCTGCAAGAATACGTTCTGATATCGGACTGTATGAAATCAATGAATTTTTAGTCTTCTTCGAGAGGACTAAACCTACCCCTTGTCGTCTGTACCCATCACTTCTTCCTGAGTTAATAAAGAGGGACCCATCATCCAAGGTAACCTCACCAGTGCCGGGTCTGTGCGTCTCTGTCAGCCCCAAGACATCCATTTTATATGCTGACATATTCTGTGACAATTCATACAGCTTTGAGGAACTGCTCTCCAATGATAACACATTCCACGTTCCCACATTAATTCTGTGTTTGATAAAGTTGCACGGGAGTGCTCTCCCCTTCTCCGGGTCCACATGAGTGATATGCTGTGAACTAATAACACTGTTGAAATAAGGCGACTTCTTTGTTCTCATCTGCACACTGGGGTCCTTGCGGCTTTGCCCAGAGCACTTCATCCTGGCTACACCCCTCCTTGAACTCCGAGAGTCACTCCACTTTTGGTTATTCATTGATGTTTCAGTAGCTATTTTAAGGTTGAAGGGTAGCTGGCCCCTCGAACCTGGTAGTTTTTTGTCGACCTTTACTGGTCTAGATCCATATTTTTTTGTTGCACCTCATCTGTTTAAACTGGAATCACCCAGAACAGATTACTGTACTTAATAGTGGCACCTCGTAAAGGGTGTACTATGGTCATTGAAATAGGAGAGGTTATAAGTTACACGATCACTATTTCCTGAGATTATAAAAATCTCTTGCCACCAAGAGACAAGGGTATTTGTACAAGGGTATTTGTACTCTTGGCTTAAATTGCCTCTTCGTTAGTATCATCAATCAGGTTTCTAACTTCTATATCAACTGCCTGTCCAGTGTCCATCCGTCTCTTTGAGATTCATTATTACTTCAAGTTCAGCCATTTCGCTTCTGTTCAGCTGTAGGCGTAATGAGGGACTTCAGTCCAGCAATAAAGTCAATATCTCTAGATTTAGCAATATCTGGTTTCGCTACTTTTAAGGTAATTGTGTTCAGCAAGCAAGTTTGTAAGTTTTCAGTCGTACTGCCCCAAAGTATTGGCCCCCAGAGCACCAGTAATGCTGGAGCACTGGTAATGCACATGGTAATTATGCTGATTTTTTGCTTAACATAGCTCATTTTTAAGTTCCTTTTTCAGCTCCTTTATCTCTAAATATAATCTTGAACCTGGGCTCTACATGTTATCGAATGTCCACCAACCTCGTGCCCTAATTATTGCCAGCCCCAGGACCTCTGGCACCAGCAACTTTGGGTCCCAGAACGTGAAGAACTCAGTGACTCTGTGCCCCACATAATTCTAATTTATGACTCAACGTAAATTGTAAATGCTGAGATGGACATTCGATAACCTGTAGAGCCCAGGTTCAAGATTATACTTAGAGATGGAGGAGGTGAATCTGTTTTTATGCCAGTATGATAGGGAAGACTGCTGAAAAAGGAACTTAAAAATGAGCTATGTTAAGCAAAAAATCAGCATAATTACCATGTGCATTACCAGTGCTCCAGCATTACTGGTGTTCTGGGGGCCAATACTTTGGGGCAGTACGACTGAAAACTTACAAACTTGCTTGCTGAACACAATTACCTTAAAAGTAGCGAAACCAGATATTGCTAAATCTAGAGATATTGACTTTATTGCTGGACTGAAGTCCCTCATTACGCCTACAGCTGAACAGAAGCGAAATGGCTGAACTTGAAGTAATAATGAATCTCAAAGAGACGGATGGACACTGGACAGGCAGTTGATATAGAAGTTAGAAACCTGATTGATGATACTAACGAAGAGGCAATTCAAGCCAAGAGTACAAATGCCCTTGTCTCTGAGGCCCAAAGTCATTGTGATTTGCGGCTCATGATCGATAAGGCCCACTGTCACTCATGACTCAGGCGTGAGGTTCTGGGGCACATCACCTGAGCTACAAATGGATCAGAAGTTTTACTCAACGTTCAAAACTGGTTTAAGATGTCTAACTAACCGTTGAAAAGATGTATGTGAGTCAAGAGTCCAAGTAATTATCAAATATTTATCTCGGCCACTGCCCAGTTCCTGACATTTCAGGGTTTGTGACCCCTATTGCCTATGTCAGGTGCTGAAGGATAGTATCAAAACCATGCAATAGCACATAAAGCCCTATCGATAGCCACAAACCGCATCTTGAAAATTGCAACCTGAATATTTGCAACAAAAAGACAAAATGAATTACGTACCAAATTTGTATTAGTGTTGCCAAAATGACCGATTTTTGCTAATATCTCTACAAATAAGCATTTTAGAGCTTATAATGATTCATAAGTCTTATATTAATGTGCTCATTGCGAATATTTTTCAATATGGGAGAAGTTTCTACGACCTTTCTAGCTTGAGATATAAAAATAATCCGGTAATTCAGGCTGCGATGAGCAAAAAACGGTTTTTCGCGAATATCTTCAAAACTGGGCACTTGAGACCTTATATTGCTTCATAACTTGTATATAAATAAGGCTATTGCGGTTATTTTAAGCTAATATTCAAGTCTATACGTCTTTTAGAAGCCGAGATACAAAAATCCCAAATTTGCGCCTGAGGGCAATTTAGAAATTTCGCCCTGTAGGACTGGGACTAGCGATACAAAATGTGCCCCTCGGTGATTTGAGTTACCAATGACCTATTTAACCCGATTCAGTAGCAAAAAACTCTATACATCGAAGTGCACACTCAACCCCTCCCTGCTACTGGAGTAACTACAGTAGTAAGAAATGACATACAATGGTTAAAAATAATAAAATCTTATAATTGACGTTAAACAGTTATTTTACAAATATTGAGCATATATTAAACAAAAATCTGCTAAAAAACAGTGTCTCTACAAAGCTAACATATACTATTGTTAAGCTAAAAATTTCCATTTTCAACAACATCTCTCAATTTCCTTATATCGCTGTTCTTCTTGGTGAGAGAATCAACATTTCCCGTGTTGGAATCCAGGTTATGTTATTAACTTCTCCAGACGAGACAGTCTCTCTGATTCCCGCTATGTCAAGACGCATCCTCATGTCTAATGGTTGCTTTACCGATGAGATGCTCTGGAATAACTGGTTAGAGTCGATAAATCCGTAAATCGGGATTACCTTCTTCCTAGCGTCATTAAATAGCATTTCCGAAAGTAGCTGCCGAATACTTTTACTTTTACAACACGCTTGATCTTGTTGCTCGACCAGGCAATGAGTGATGCTTGATGTCCGTCTGATAAGAAAACTAAGTACCCACGACCACTATGAGTCTTGTTAGGAAGGTTTCCTAGACTAGCATCAGAATAGAATATTACTTTAATCTTGTCCTTCTCCAGATTCATGCGATTAAACTTCATCTCACGGGGTCCGAACTTGACTTTCTTCACGACTTTGTTTAGAATGACCATTTGCTTTACCTTAGCACTGCTGGTATAAGTTGATAATTTCATCGTGTCGAATGAGAGGTCAGGTCTTGTTTGGTAACTTATCCATAAAAGTTTGCAGAGTGCTTCTTGGTAGAGTCCTTTCTCTCCGCTGGTCAGGGGTCTCTCTGGGTTTTTGTTTCTTTTGTCCATTGATACTGGCTGTATCTTTTCACAGTATTCTCGTTGATCTGGCGTGCCAGACTGCCAGGTAATAGCAGGATTGCAGACGGCAGGACGGCTTTTAAAAATAAATTACTTGGAGGAATTCGACGCGCCGCGCAATATTCTTCTATATCGTTGCTAGCTTTACAAAGCAACGATCTGGAAGGGTTGACATCGTCAATCAATAAATTACAAATCATTGATAAGTTTAGTGTGTGTATGTATTTAAATAGTAAATACTTGTAACGCGATGCACAACTGGGTCGCGCTCGCGCATCCAAATTCCAATATAATGCTTTTCGCAACCATGAACCAGATCGGCGAGATGCGAAGGATTGACATCGTGAATCAAAGTAAATACATACACACAAACTTTTTAATCGTTGTTATAATAAATTGTTCATTATTTTTGTTATAGCATTATTTAAATACACGTTGCATATCTTTTCGGTGCGCAAAGCACAGCTGTGAGCTGGCCGGTGCACGATAAAAGTGGTATACAATATGTATCAAAGATTATTTATTGTAGGTTTATATATATATATATATAACCTACCAAGACGCGCGCCTAGTTGAAATCGCCGCGCGCCAACGGTCTTAAAATTTTAAATATTTTAAACAAATATGGCAAAAGCTACTTCGTAGCTCTTGCCATCGGGCCATTTCGAGAAGAAAGCGGCCCGGCGCGCGCTACTTCGAAGAAATTTAGACGAGTAACATCCGTCAAGTTTCATGCACAATGCACGGCATATGCATAGCTGAGTACACAACGACTAACTGAAATTGAACTTTGATTTGTCCACAAAATTATTTAGCTTGTTTCTTTGGCAGCTGGTATTGACCGTTGTCAATGATTTGGCCTGGCGCGCGCTACTTCGTAGCTTCGTAGCTTCGTAGCTCGTGCCATCGGGCCATTAACATTTCGAGAAGAAAGCGGCGCGTGCTACTTCGAAGAAATTTAGACGAGTAACATCCGTCAACAGCCGGTATGCGGTATAGTATTTTAAAACATATAAAACGACTTTTTAGGCAGCGCTCAGCCTGTCATTCCGTGAAAATGTTGGCGCACAAATTATTGAATTTGCCTAAAGTAAAACTAAAATGTGGATCTTTACAAAATGAAGTGCAAAACTCTAAATTAAGAAAATTATTATCACATCTAAAATAGCTAATAATTTAACTAATTATTAAAATATCTGATTACGTGATCAGTAGATTATTATCATTATTATTAAATCTAAAAAAGCTAATAATTTAATTAGTTATTAACAGGCCCCTTAACATGGGCAATAACATACGCTTAATAAATTAAATTATACAAAGAGACAAATTCAAGTCTATTTTCCGATTCTGTTACTTGTCCAATGTCTCTTTAGATCTATTTTGGTTTTTCATTGTGGGAGTTCCCACATTTGTTGGTTGAGAATGCTCAACATAAAATACATAACACTTGACTGCAGACATCCCAACACCAGTGCGTTGGGACATAGTGTTGGTCTGCTTCAGGATGTGTTAGATCCCAGAGATCACAGAGAAGCCGCCATCCCCTCTACTGCTTTAGCTCAGCAGCAGCATGAGCCCTGGTTTCCTCAGTGATCAGGTTTCCTCAGTGATCAGTAGAACTGAACACTGAATGAGATAATTATTTGAAGAATGAGAATAGGCATAATGATCATTATTTTGTGGTTTCATCCCTATTTAGTAAAGAAGAAGTTAATTAACTTGAACTAGGTTGATGTGTAATTTTGCATCAAATTGAGATACAAGAGCTTTCAAAGAAATGCTCTTAGCCAACTTTATAGTATTTGAAATGTCTACTTACTTACTTGTACTTGAAGAGGTCTTCTCCTAATCGTTGGAGTGGCCTGCACCACACTGTAACTCTTTTTTTTCGATGAATGAGACCTCTCCAACGTACCCTGTCAGCTGTCTGTTGCTTGTTGCTCTGCATCTTCCATTGTGATATTATCGACACCTGTGAAAATAGCCGTGTCCTCTAGGACACACGACAACCAGTTCTTGGGAGGCCTGGTCTTCCTCTAGACCTTTTGCCATGCTTTGGGATCCAGTGTAGAAGATAGTTGGGTATTCTCTGTCTGACTTATTAAAATTAACATTGAGAAATTATAATTTATACAGACCAATTTATATATTGTAACTTAAGGTTTTATTTATTATTGTTAATAAAGTTTATATTGAAAATTGTATACAGTACACCAGTTAAATTATTTCAATGGTCACATGTATCATGGTTAAGAATTTTATGACATTGAACGAATCTATTTATAACAAGTATTAAAGACTGCTAGTATTTTTATTTATTTGTTTTCACTTCTGTACGTTTAGGCAGTTGCTCTTGTGACCAGAGTTTAAAAGTTATATAATATATTGTATTTTCTACCCTGGTTTTTAAAATGGTCTACCGTTTTGTTGCATTTACTATATCGGTTTTTGTTTTCGCGGTGTCCAACCTTATAGCTAGACAATGACTATTGCTGTTATATCATGTGTATATTGTCTTCTCTTTATTAATAAAATAATTTAGATTGTTAAGATATTGTTAAGAGCCAGTACATTGAATTTTCATTTGGCTTCTTTTACTTCAAATGGTTTTATAAATGGTCTACATATATATTAAATTATTAACCATTCATTCTGTATGTGCACGAAAATTTATTTCAATCAATAAATGTTTCCCTGATCTTTGAAGATTATTGAATTTTTAAGGGGTTTTTACTTTGAAATATCATTGAAAAAGCATTCATATACGTAAGTAACATATAATAATAACTGGCTTGAACTGAATCTTTGGGTTTTGAGTTCTTTTTGGCTATAAAGCGATCTATAAATTTCTAGTTATTATTATTATATTAAATATGATTCCCGCAACCAATGCAATTATGGTTTAACCGCCATGTTTTGGTTCAGCCGAAATAAATTTTACACAGATGTTTTGTGTAATGTAATTGTATTTTATATTGTTGTAAAATTTATTTGAATCTTGAAATAAAATAAAACCACTATCCGACAGCTATAAGCAGCTGCCTGATTATTAGAATGTCTGAGTTGGAGTTTGATGATGAAGTTGATGCTGAAGAAGAAGAAGAAGAAGAAGTTGATGCTGAAGAAGCAGAAGAGGAAGAAGCAGCTGATGAAGGAGCAGGAGGTGAAGAAGATGATGATGATGATGACGATGAAGATGACGACGATGATGACGAAGATGGTAACCTTAATTATTAACACACTGAGCTGTTGAACCACAGATAAAAACATATTACTTTGGCATTTCCTTTTGGAAAAAATTTTATTTAGCAGTAACATATATTTTGATGTTACAATTCTTAGAACAAGAATGTTAACCTTCAAACACAAATACTAGCAATTTAAGATGGTCTATCAATTATATTTCAGTATAAGTAACAAATCTTTAATTTTGTTTCAGATGAAGAAGACCTGGTTGATCCATTAGTTACAGAAAGAGAGCGCTGTATCAACTCCTTTGACTGTCACGGTTTCAGACATGCCCTTGAAGCTTGTAATGCCCGTGTTAAAGACGAAGGTATCCAAGAGAACTGCACTCCTGAGTTCTTTGACTTGTTAGAATGTCGGGACAAATGTGTAAGTCTGAAAGTTTTGCTCCTGAGCGAATTAAAAATAATAATAAAATAGTTTATTATAATTTCTTTAAATATTAAAAAGCAAGAAAACTTTAAATTTATTTAATGTCATTTAACCTATAATAACATCAAAGGAAACTGATTTGCCGATCTTTAATAAGTAAACATCAAATACTATTTCAACATTAACCAACTTAACATATAATGTTTCACAGGTCGCTCACGGAGATATCTTCAAAACCTTGCTCAAATAAGGAGTACCATCATGTACCTAGATCAGTGTCTGCTGTTGTCCGGACTCTTGTGACGGGCTCTACCAATATAGTGGTGTTTGAAATACTTCTCCGAAGAAACTTAAGGGTTTTGTTTGCTTTCAAGAAAGGGTTGTCACGAGAATTATTAACTGCCTAGGCTTTTTCTATGTTAAGAATATAACCCATGATAATAGGTTCCTTTGTAACTAAGAAAATAATGTGTTATAAGTATAGTCCGTCTCTTTAATTTATTGAATTGCTTTAGATTGTGTTTTGTATCGTGTATTTAAACATCCCATTTCTCATGACATAATGCAATTGTTTTCAATGTTTGGAATCAATAAAAATCAGCCAGTTATTTTACCCTAGCATCCAATTATACTGTACCAAAATACTATAATCTTTATAGCAAACAAAAAAGTTGCAATTTATATTTTATTATGACTTGCTTAATCCTTCACGAAAAGGTTGTAAATTAGATTCTGTTCCACAATTATTGTTCTCTTGCATCTCTTGACAATTCAATTCCGTTAATATTCTCAAATACTAACCGTCCCGTATACAGTACATCACACAGTAATGTCTGTATGAGTAGTCGTTATGGTCGCGGCAGGGCACCACCTCGCGGTGATCGCTACTATCAGGATAAGAGATCACATTATAATGACGACCGCGCCTCCTCCCAAAGGTCCCAGCAGGACGAGAGACCGCCGTATGATGAGCGGCCCCCGCGTCGTGGTGGTAGAGATTCCAGTAGAGGAAACAGGTACATCGTCCAGTGACTTTATTCTTTATACTTTTAACAGTGCTTCAAATGAAAGCATTTTAAATTGTACCTTAATTGAAATTTGTTAAGTTGCCTCTTTATCAAGTAAGTTGAAATCAAAGTCTCCGTATATCACACTGAATTCCCTGCTCCATATCACGTGACTGAGTGTGTCCCACGTGACTGAGTGTGTCCCACGTGACTGAATGTGTCGCAGGAGAGAGGAGACCCCGCCGAGGAGACGGCGTGAGCGGCGCGGCAGCTCCACTCACCACCACACCAGTAACCACGCTAACAGCGGAGATGCTAACGCGCAGATCAACCAGATCATCCGCAAGTTAGAGCGGGATGATAGGAGGGAGCGGACTAGACTTGCTGTTCAAGTAAGTTAACTGGAAAATACAGCTAGTTCCCTGTTTAAGTGGGAAATGTTAAACAGTAGTTACCCTAGTTACAGCTAGTTACCCTAGTTACAGCTAGTTACCCTAGTTAGTAGTTACAGCTAGTTCCCTGCGGTGGAAATTATAATCCTTGGGGTCCTTTTTGGTAGTCTCGTCATCCACAGTAGAGCTGTTCTAATGTTCCAACAACCAACAACCTTACAACAGATACAAGAGTTTGCACAAGAGCCCGCCAACAGACAAGTGTTGGAAGCACAGTGTGTTACACTGCTTAATCTCCTGGATCCTATGATTGAGGACGCGGTGGAGAGGGAGAATGATTACAACCTTCCTCGAACCATCGCCAGTATAGGTGGGTGGGCAATGCGGTTATAAGTGTAGGTGGGTGGGGAATGCGGTTATAAGGCTTGGAAATGTGGGGTATAACAATATTTAGACAGCTTTTACTGATATTACATAGTTCTCCTTATTTCTGGAGTCGATCACGTGGTTGTAAGCACATTAGTTTGTAATAACAAAAACAGGTAATCACCTATTAAAGTTGATATCTAATCACGTAATTATATCATTAAGTTAATTAATTAATTAACGCACTGCAGGACTGGGACTAGGATCAAAGTGTAACGAGTTAATTAACTGGCTAACTAACCGACTGATGTCTGCGGACAACACACCAGAAGTTACGGGCTTTCTCCTCAACATCACCAAACATCTCTCTGATAAAAAGGGATCCCTTAGCACAGGTTCGTACTGTGTGACGTCATGATATGTGGTGTGGTGTGATGTGACGTGGTGTGGTGTGACGTCACGTGCGCGTGGTGTGGTGTGACGTCACGTGTTGTGGTGTGACGTCATGACGTGGTGTGGTACTTTTTAAAATAAGAGACTTCTTATTAAAATTATGTTTAATTTGGTTAGTAGTTACTACGAGCACGACATTATAGTAGTAGTAAGGTCCCTTATCTATTTGCCTCTAATTAATCGTTATTTTTTTGTATTTATTACTTTTCATTGTTAAAAACAACTGGGGTCATTGCTCATATGAAATATGAAAATAATCTCAGTTGATTAAGTAACAAATGTATAACAACTAATTAACCCTTGTCAGGAGTGTTACCGCTGATAGACACTCTGATACAGCTGCTGGAGAGGTTCGCTAACCCTCAGATGATAATAATACTACTTGATGCTCTAGTCCCCCTAACTCAGGCCTACTCCAGATTCTTTACTCCTCACTTCACTAACATCATAGGTATTTTACAAGATTTATAGTGATCAACTTTTTAAGATTTATAGTTAAATATAATCTCACCAATCCAATGCGATGTTTACTATAAATAAAATTAACATTGGTGAGATGAAATGTGTGTGCCAAGTTCTACCTGAAATGTTCCAAAAGGAAAGACGAAGTATTTTATTAGGCACGTGACAGAGAGATTTGTTTCAGATGTATTGATAGGGTGGCACATAGAGTCTGACACTAACGTGGACCTACAGAAAAGTATTTCCAAAGCTTTTCTCTCCTTCAAAGCGTTTTGGCTCAGTGATATCTCCTACCCTCTCTCCCTGATCATGCAGGTGATCGATTGATTTAATTAAAAATTAATTATCTTCAAAATGATGTAGGCTTTGGAAACTATGAAATTTTAACTGACTTTCCAAGCGTTGAAAAGATTTCAAAATTGGCGTAGAACTGTTCCTAAAAATATCTCGTATGTTACTCATACTTCATCCTCAGCACATAGATAATCAAGTGAATTATAATATTTATTAGTATTTAGATTCGGCATTAAGTTAAAACATACCCCAAAAAATATAAATGCAAGCTACTTCCTAACAGTTTGTTGGCGACGCACAGAAACAGCAACACGAAGTGTGCAACAGTACTTCAATAGACAAGGAAGCAGTCCAGCAGTTCGTCTCATTGATTAAGGTGTTCACTGCTCTGTTATCATCTCTAGAAGAGGGTAAGTTACTGATCAAACCACTTGACATGACGTCACACCACGTGACATGACGTCACACCACGTGACATGACATCACACCACGTGACATGACGTCACACCACGTGACATGACGCCACACCACGTAACATGACGCCACAACACGTGACATGACGTGGTATGACGTCACACCACGTGACATGACGTGACATGACGTCATACCACGTGACATGACGTCACACCACGTGACATGACGTCACACACCATGTAACATGTCTATATTTCAGTGACGTCAGTATCCCCGAATGTACCAGATTTCCTAAGTAAGCTAGTAAATCAGATAATAGACAGTTCCTCACAGTTACTGTGTGTTCACGCCTCCTACGAGGTGGTGTCAGTTATTGCTAAAGCTACCCACATTGTCACAAAGGTAATGGTAGCTAGTGCTAAAATCTGCGAAATTGAAGTTTCATTTTAAATTTTACTAGTTCTTCTTTGAGTTCCCACTTCCCATCGGTTTTTATATGTCATTGATCCCTAATTCGCCAATTCGCCAGGTTATAAAATGAAAGCAAATTGTAAAATCTTAAATTTCAGTTCAGTAATTACACTTTCTTGAGTAAACATTAACCAGTAAAAAAGATGGTTCCCAATCAATCAAATATTAAATTCCACGTTTCTGCAGTGTCTGCCAGCCCACTTTGGCCACATCTGTGATCAGCTGGTTTGTTTCCTGATAGACTGCATCAGTCCGCTAGACTGTACTCCTGCTCCTGACAGCACTATATTGGACTGTCTACACGCTATTCTACATATTACCGGTATAATGTGTACTTGTTTTACTTCTTGAAATACCGTGTATCTCATGATCTTATTGAAAACTCATTTGTTAACATGGATAGAAAAGCATGTTTGTAAATATCTTGGTGCAGGTCTAACTAATTAACTAATTAAACTACACTACTACACTACACTACTAATTTAACTATATCGAGTTTTCAATCACTCTATAATCTAAATCTACCCATCACGTGACATCACATAGAACCACGTGACATGACGTCACACCACGTGACATGACGTCACACCACGTGACATGACGTCACACCACGTGACATGACGTCACACCACGTGACATGACGTCACACCACGTGACATGACGTCACACCACGTGACATGACGTCACACCACGTGACATGACGTCACACCACGTGACATGACATTACACCACGTGACAACCTCCCATCCTCAGATAACGACAGTTCTTGGCTGGGAGCCAGCATTCTCACCTCAATGTTAGCCTCCTCCTCGCCTCTGGTATCCCTGAGGAATTCAAAGAATGAACAGATCCTGGCGGTTTTGTTCAAGATATTCCAGTCCCTTCTTCAGCTTCACAACTTCAAGCTGTTGGATATTGTGTACCAGTTCATTGTTCAGGATCTTCATATTGCTATTGAGGTTATTTAAATTAGGGAGGCAATTAATTTAATGGTATTAATTAAGAAGTTTTCAAAAACCCGTTTGATTATTGTTTATCTATCGTAGTCAGTTTTTAGTATTGTCATTTTTATGAATCACAAAAACGTAATCTTTCAACTTTCTTTAGAAATTTAATCATTTATCATGATGTATCAACACTCAGCAGTCAACAATGATTTATTCAATGGTAAATGACAATGATCGTGACAACTTATTAAATAAATAATTTAATTTAATAATAACTTATTAAACATTATTAAATATCTCCTCCCCAAACAGAAAATACTGAAGTGTGTAGAGGAGAAAACAGACCTAAAAGAAGCAGAGATACTAGCTAGCGCGAACCTGGCTCTACTCACAGAGATGGCGGGAAGCAAGACGCATGGTTTTAGTACCTGGGCCTTAAACCCCACCATCTTCGACCTCGTTACCTCGGTAAGTGGCATGTCACGTGACATGTGAACACCACGTGATTGCTGTGAAGTCATTCTATTCTATATAATGTTAGTTTTAAACTAACGAAACGATCATTTTGTGCCACAGATTTTACTTGTGCCACAGATATTACCTTAAGATCTATAAAGCTTTGTAAAGTTGTTTAGGTCGGCTAGTTTTTCCTGATATATTATATCTGGCACCATAACGTCATGACGTTACACCACGTAGCATAACGTCACACCACGTGGCATGACGTTACACCACGTGGCATGACGTCACACCACCTAATCCCTCTCAGGTACACTCGCCCCACAACTGGATACTAGCTAAGCACTGTCCCAGTGTTCACTACGCTATACTTAACGTTCTGCACGCAGAGTGTAAACGTCATGGTTATTTCCTTCCGGGTTGGTTTTCTTACTTCCTGTAATTTTGTACTAAGTATTTATTATTTATACAGGAACAGATTAATCAATTAACTAATGAACACGTTAATTAGTTGCAATCTCCATAAACAGGAGCAGGGACCTCGGAAGTAGTTCAACTACAACCCCACAACACATCACAACAACTGTGTAGAGTGCTGAAGTTACTGGCACTCCTCCTTCCCCACTCTTCTCTCTCTTTTGATAGCAGGTTATTAGTACTTGTCTCTTTCTTTTATAGAACCATATCACCGGTATGTCTACTATCTAGATCTTTTAAAAGTAAGTGTGACCCAGACACAAACTTAACAATGTTACTTCCAGATATTTCTGTCTGCTGTGGGTAAAGAGACTAGTAGAGATAATGAAGAAGGCGGGAGAATGTTCGGAGAGCATGAAGTTTTGCCATTCTGAGTTGCAGGAACTCTCTCTTGCTCTGGTCAGGATAGCTGATGATCCTGAGAGAGATATTCGGTTGGAGGTAATTCTTGTTTCAGATGGATTATTTAAGATACTTATCAGTTTCAGGGATTATTTAAGATTTTAATAAATTTTAGGACGGATCAGTATCTGAAATCGGCCAAATAAAAATTGTTAAATATAAAATTATTTAAATCTACAAACTTTTATTGATGAATGTGGTATTATTTTTATATTAATTAATTAATTAATGAAATATTAAACTGTGTTTAGGTGGCAGGGTGTCTGAGATTACTGCTTCTAGCTCAACTACTAACAAATAACACTCAAGTACATTGTCTAGCTGTTTCCATCCTTCACATGGGTACGTAGTCATGGTTACAGTGTTTTATGTTACTGGTATTTTGCATTTTATTTTAACAGCTTAAGTCTTAATGTTACTATTAGTCAAGTTATGATATAAATGGTATTTTCATTATAACTGTAGTTATATGTCTCAAAGAAAACATTCGCTTTTAAAGTCCGACAAATTGTATTTCAAACCTTTTTATCATAGAGTCCACTATCATCATCATCTCTGCTACTTCTCCCAAAATCCTAACCATGCATTTCCAACTATTCACTGTACCAAATATCTCCTTGTCTCCAACTAAACAGTCTCATCCCCAGGAGATGTAGACGGGGCTACACGGGGGGCGTTCGTGGGCGTGCTAGAAGCACTCGCTCCGCAACTGTTGCTAGGATACGAGATAGACAGGTTGAATATGGACAAGTTCGCTATGAGACCGCTACTTCATTCCAGACATCTGCTCCAGTTCAACACAGAGGTTAGATAAGAGCAATACTAAAAACCACGTGACATGACCTCATACCACGTGTTATTACGTCACACCACGTGTTATTACGTCACACCACGTGTTATTACGTCACACCACGTGTTATTACGTCACACCACGTGTTATTACGTCACACCACGTGTTATTACGTCACACCACGTGTTATTACGTCACACCACGTGTTATTACGTCACACCACGTGACATGACGTCACACCACGTGACATGACGTCACACCACGTGACATGACGTCACACCACGTGTTATTACGTCACACCACGTGACATGACATCACACCACGTGTTATTACGTCACACCACGTGACATGACGTCACACCACGTGACATGACGTCACACCACGTGTTATTACGTCACACCACGTGACATGACATCACACCACGTGTTATTACGTCACACCACGTGACATGACGTCACACCACGTGTTATTTCAGGTGAGTCTGGTAACGAGTAACCAGTTTACAATACTGATGAGACTGATCCTGCTGAACCAGATCCCCGGCAAGTTTATACACGACGACTGGTTAGAGAGACTGTTCTACGGGTGCAACACATCACAACACTCCAAGTTTACTTTTATCAACGGTAAATAATCACAATTAATATGTTAATTATGCGACATCTTACTGCGCGACGACTTTTAATTATGCGACTCTAATAATAAATAATAATGCACAGATTTTTCATAAGCACGAACAATATCATTCAATCTCAAAATCGGTCAATAGTTAGTTCATATTATATGATTCCACTACTACTGCGTGTTGACAATACGATTCACTTTATCACTTTAAAATGTTCAATTGATGGATCGATTTTATGTGCTACTAAGCTGAATTTGTTAAATAAATCTTACATTTTGAATTGACTTACATTTAAAATTTACCAAATCCCGTGCCATCAGACATTTATCATGAGACACTTTTACATAATATGTTTCATATGCATTGATACATATTGCTTCGATGTATAATTCAAGAAACGTCTAGTAAAACAGTGTGCTTACGAAAATGATACACTCTTTTAAACCTTAGTCGATATTTGGAAGTATCGCGAATTAAGTGAATGGCAAGTCGCCGAATGTTACAATTTAGTGAGTTTATAATGTGCTTATTTTCGCACCAACTAAAAGTCTCGGCTAAATTAGAACCAAGCCAACCACATTTCATGACGTCACACCACATTTCATGACGTCACACCACGTGTCATGACGTCACACCACGTGTCATGACGTCACACCACGTGTCATGACGTCACACCACGTGATATGACGTCACACCACGTGATATGACGCAAACCAACCCAGGTTCCACTTCTCCGTGCGACAGTTCTCTTTGGTTCTGGTTTATGTGGCACATGTCGCTCTACGCTGTCAACAGTCGACTGAAGACTCCTCTCGGGAAAGCAACGGAGACTTTCGAATGTATCGAGGGTAAGGGAAACTTTAGTTTTTAGATAAAATAAATAAATATTAATATATATTAATATCTGATATTGTTATCATCTACATGTAAAAAAACTGTTTGTTATTATATGCTTATCTGCTTTCCTCGAAAATAAAAACAATTTATGCTCTGTCTCTTGTCATTGAAGTGAAATTTCTAAACTAGAAATACAAAAGTTAATCAAGTTCCTTATTTTTATAAGTAAAGGGAAAAGTCATTAAACCGACTTTTTATCATACGATTATTAAAAGTGCGAGATTCCACCAATGAAATGTCAGGAATACTGCACGAGCTGCTGGAGGACGGGGCAGTAACAGAGGACACAAACGCACGTGGCATTATCTCCGGCATTGGGAGTCAGTGTTATGTTTCCCTGCTGAGGAGTAACCTACTGCTACATTTTATTAATAACTTGGAGAAACTCATCTACAACGCTTACGAGGGTTAGAGTTACTTTAAATTGAGCTGTTTTTAATAGAATTAAATTAATGTTGTTCATCAAACACTTATCATATTAATCTATTATTCTATAGCTATATAAAAATGATAAATAAAGTCAAATGTTATATGCACTCTTTAAATACGAGCTCTAACTAAGTCACTTGGATTCGTTCGGCTGATATAAAACCTGACTTAAATAATCGTGTAAACGAAAATACTAAATTTCCTAAAAATACCATAAATTCCAGAAAAGCTAAATATAATGATTTGTGACAGGTACAGTGCACAGTATACAAGGCTGTAACAAAGCAGTGAAGAACTTCTTCGTGTTGAACAGGTCAACATGTGAAGAGTGGTTTAGTAGAATAAGACCTGCTATAGCAGAGGTTCGTTTATTTGTCTGTTTGTGGCAATATCTCTGTTTGTTTGTGGCAATATCTCTGTTTGTTTGTCTGTTTGGTCTGTCTGTCTGTTTATAAGTTTATACTACAGACCCAGGAACTTACTTTACGTTATTTCATAACAGACTGCACTGTACAATGTCACATTATAAATACCCTTCTAGTAACACCCTAAACAGGGCTGTGTTAAATGTTAACCTGTATCTCACTGAGCCCACCTCCTCAGGTATGCAGCAACACTGGAATGTACGCGGAGAGTTGGCGCCACGCGCTCCACATCCAGCCCTCCACCTCTGCGTTACTGTTGTCAGTGCGCGCAGCGCTGAACATGCACGCGCCCGGCTATATCCGGGGTTTGAAGTGTATTTATAGTGAGCACGATGGGTTACTTAATGCTGCTGAGCTGCAGGTGAAGTTTGTTTTATACTCGCATTTCCATCCAGCTTATTTCCAAATTTTTTAATTGTTCTGCTTACTTTTTATGGGAAGATTTTAACTCTTAAAATATGTTGAAAATATATCACTGATATGCACTTAACATAATTAAGCACTTCAGTTTTTTCCGATAAAGATAATATTAAGTAATTATAATATTAAGTAATTATAATATTAAGTAATTATAATATTAAGTAATTATAATATTAAGTAATTATAATATTAAGTAATTATAATATTAAATAATTATAATATTAAGTAATTATAATATTAAGCTGATGGTTGTAATTTGACAGGCAAGTGGAAGATACGAGGAAGCTAGTGAAGTCTACAAAGCTACAATAGACACAGTCAGTAACAGCGAAGAGAAGCAGTTCATTGCTCTGCAGGCCCTCGAGTGTTATCTTGGTATGTGACACGTGTTATCACATGGCACCTGTTATCACGTGACCATTTAGTTTATTTGCGGTTTTATTATTTTCATTGTTTATAGTTTTTAAAATTGCGACTTTCTTGTTTTATGGGGTAACCTTGGATGACATGTTAATATTATATGGTATCAATTCTGGCCTTAATTTTATAATTATTTTATTTAATTTAATATCGTAAACTTACAGTTCGTATTTTCAGCACTGAACGACTGGGACGAAACTCTGTCATGGTCACAGATGCACAGTAACGAAATATACACTGATAAAACTCCCTATGATAACAATTACTTGCATGCTTTGCATGCCTTTGATTTGGGAGATTTTAATGGCACAGCAAGACACCTGGAAGGGGTAAACATTTTGAATTTCTGTCGTATTTTTGAAATCATATTTTTTACTGTTGCCGTGAATTCTTACCTTGAGTAATAAACAACAGCTCCAAATCTTCCACATCAAGTAATACGATTCCTTTAAAAAAATATAAGAACAATTCCAACCCATAAAATATTTTGATAAATGACAAAAAACTAAGATAACCCATTGCCAGGTGCCTGGAGCCAACATAAACAGCATCACAGAGGAGCTGTCCAGAAAGGGTGGTGTTCGTGTAAACCACTTAACCCTGGAACTAGATGTTCCGGCTCTGGCGGATCCTGCTAAGTTACTGTACCTGAGTCAGCTACAACTCCTTAGAGTATGCGGGCTCTATCACAATGGTGGTGATCTACAGGTAACATGTTTTGTTATCTGTTTCTGGTATTATTGTTGGGATATCCTCCACTGAAACTCGTGTGAAAGTGAAACTTTTATTCATATAATATATAATTTCGTTTTCCAATCAAAAAATTTAAAAAAGAAAAAAAGAAAAGAAAAAAAGTAATATCTTTTACTAAGAACAGCGTGAAAAGTATGAAGGAAAATAACGTGTTTACCTCGTGCTGGTCGTTGCCAAGGTAATTAGCAGAAGGTGCTCCTTTGGAATATTAACTTTGTGCTCCTTTATCAACACATGTTCTTTTTAGTCTATACATATCCTAGAAAGACAGAGCGCGGCATTGCTCGGTGTTTCTCTAATCCCTGCTTATAATTATCATATCAGGATGAAATTGGAAAATTATACGTTGATTCTGAATGATACGGAACTTTCTTTTTATCTTCCGCAGTGCAAAAACAGAGCTATGGTGGCGGTCACAGCCGAATTTTTTCGTTTCAGTAACACGCCATGACACATTTTCATTGAAATTGAGTTCAATTTTTCGCGCGAAACTCGAAAATTTACGCGCCACTATGCGCGCCTGTTCAATTCACTTGGTGATAACGATTGTCAGATCACTTATTTCTCGATTAAAAGAATCGTGCTTATCGTCAGAAACTTTATCTTTATATCAGGTACACCCCTTTCCGAATCTAAGCTTCGTGGGGTTGATTATGTCAATAAAATAATATTGGCCTTAAACTGATAGACACGAATTTCAGCTGGTTGGAATGGACCTCAGAAGTGAAACTGGAAGTTACAGTGACGACATGGACCGACCAGAGAGTGCACTTGAGAAGGGTCCGGAGTTTATTTTCCGTAAACTGCTTCGCCAAGCTTCTTCGTTAGTCGAGGTGAGGTTAATGAATGTGCGGGTTTTATTAAATATTAGCAGAAACTCTCCCGCTGTGCGACCGGGTTTTAAATTACAACAGTAACTTGGTGGGATGATCCGTTATTGTGATGGTTACCAGGCGTTCCTTTTCGGCTCTACTCACCACTAACTTGACCAGGTATAGATCTGCCAGATCTACCTTAACTCACCACTAACCAGGTTGGAGTACGTATAGCAGGTATAGATCTGCCAGATCTACCTTAACTCACCACTAACCAGGTTGGAGTACGTATAGCAGGTATAGATCTGCCAGATCTACCTTAACTCACCACTAACCAGGTTGGAGTACGTATAGCAGGTATAGATCTGCCAGATCTACCTTAACTCACCACTAACCAGGTTGGAGTACGTATAGCAGGTATAGATCTGCCAGATCTACCTTAACTCACCACTAACCAGGTTGGAGTACGTATAGCAGGTATAGATCTGCCAGATCTACCTTAACTCACCACTAACCAGGTTGGAGTACGTATAGCAGGTATAGATCTGCCAGATCTACCTTAACTCACCACTAACCAGGTGGGAGTACGTATAGCAGGTATAGATCTGCCAGATCTACCTTAACTCACCACTAACCAGGTTGGAGTACGTATAGCAGGTATAGATCTGCCAGATCTACCTTAACTCACCACTAACCAGGTTGGAGTACGTATAGCAGGTATAGATCTGCCGGATCTACCTTAACTCACCACTAACCAGGTTGGAGTACGTATAGCAGGTATAGGTTTAGGATGGTGTGTGACTGTAACGGGTCCGCATGACTGTAAAAGTCAGTACGTTTAACGCCTCGAGGAAGATCGCAGGATTCCTAGTCTACGCTACTCTTTTCATCATGGCTACGACACTCAATTTTGGGACATGGAATGTTTGCGGTCTATCGACCACATACAGGCAACACTTCGTTGCAGAGGACATCGACAGATATAACTTAGACATTTTAGCACTTCAGGAGACCAAGACACGTGAATACTTGGAAACAACACTCCCTGGACATCATCGATTGTTTTTGTTTGATCAGAGACACGATAGACACGGTGGACTTGGGTTTATTGTTAACAAGCGTTTTTTGGAATGTATAGTATCTCATCATCAGATCAGTGACAGAGTTGTTTATATGGACTTTAAATTAAGTGCTAAAAGGGTGGATCAACCACCTTGTCATATCAGAATTGTTAATTGTTACAGCCCTACGAATCCCAAGTCAGTTCAGAATCCCCGATTAGCAACTCAATTTTACGATGAGCTACTCGAGGCTATCAGTGTACCTGCTAGATTTGAAGTATGGATGTTAGGCGACTTTAATGCCAAACTTGGCAAAAGAAGCCCTGTTGATGTAGAAAATGGTTTACATGTGAATATTGGTAGACATGGTGTTGGGAGGAGGAATGAAAACGGTGAAAGGTTGCTACACTTTCTCACTGCTAATGGCCTGTTTGCTGCCAACACTTCATTCTCCCATAGCAGCAGACACATTACCACACGGACTGGTTGGATTCGGGATCGAGCAACCAGGAAAAGTAAACCTTATTTCCAACAGATTGACTTCATACTCTGCAAGTCCAGAAGCAAGGCACTGCTAACTGATGCCAGGTCATATGCAGGTACAAAGCACCGCAGTGACCACAAACTTGTTGTTGCCAAGGCAGATTTTTCGCAGCGCTTCATTTTGTACAGGGAGAGCAGAGCATTTCAGAAGACTTATAACACAACAACCTTGATTGGAAGCAAACAGGCTCAACAGCAATATCAGCAAGAACTTCGTCAGAAACTTGAGCAAACTGTATCAGATCCTGACTTTACCTCCAACAATACGGAACAGCAATTTGATATACTTTTTGGTGAAGTTAAAGAAGCTGCTGTTTCCACTGTGGGTTTTCGCGAGCCACAGCGAAAGAGGAATCATTCCTCTGACAGTCAAGTTGTTAGCATGTCTGAAGAAAGGAAACAACTTTTACAACAACTGAACAACAACGAATACAGAGACAGGACAGCTCTCAGAGCTAAAATCAACAGGCTCTCAAACGACATTACTAAACGGTTGAAAACATTGAGAGTTGAGTTAGCAAACAGCCTAGCTAACTCTATAGCCACCATAGACGAAGGACGGAGAATGTTTGAAGCTGCTCGTCAACTATCAGGCAAACAGAAAACGGGTGCAGGCTCTGTGTCTGTTTTCAACACTGACAACCAACTGGTAGATAATGAACGAGACAAGGCTGAAATCATTCGCCAGTACTTCGAAGAACACTACACTGGACCTGACAGTGAACCACCACTAGAACCGTTCACAGGTAACCCTAGGCCCCTTCAAAACCCCATTACAGCGTTTGAAGTTGAGCTTGCGGCCAAGAAACTCAAGAACGGTAAAGCTGTTGGACCAGATGGGATCCCAAACGAATTTCTCAAACACTCTCCTGAAATCTTTTTTTCCACATTTGCACAACTTACTAATCGATCCTTTGAGCTCCATGAACATGTACCTTCTTTCACAGAGGGATACCTTACTCCGCTCCAAAAACCTGGAAAGCCACTAGGCCCCCCTAAGAGTTTGCGCCCACTTTGCCTACTAAACGGTACTAGAAAGATATTGTCCATGATAGTCTTGAAGCGCATCCAAAGGCAAGTATCTCAATACACTGGTCCTTGGCAGAATGCCTATAAACCTGGCCATAGTTGTGCAAATATCGTTTGGACCCAGCGAATACTAGTGTCAGTTGTCAAAGAAAAACGCTGGTCTCTTCATAAGATGGGCATTGACATGTCCTCTGCTTTTGATACCATAAAGAGGTCGGTATTTACTTGACATTTTAGCTGATGCTGGTTGTAGTGAGGACGACATTCGACTGGTAAGGTATTTGCTCGCAAATACTAAACTGAAGATCAAAGTGAACTCAACAATATCGGGAGAGTTAATTGTCACGATTGGAGCTTTTCAAGGCGACAGTTTGTCTGGAAACTTGTTCACTCTATATCTGGCAGCAGCACTTTACCACCTGCGTGCTGTTATGTCCTATCTAAGACCTAACCCTCCCATAGCTGAGAATCTGTTACCCCTCGAGTGGGAGTATGCAGATGATGCTGATTTTACTGATGAGGATAAAAGCAACTTGGAGTCTTTGTTGCCAATATGTAAAGAGATATTGGAAGAGTGGAATCTTTTTGTCAATGAGTCAAAAACCGAGTTCACCCACTTCTATCTGGCCGGCAAGAACGAGGTTGATGACAAAGGAGAGCCACTCAGAGGTAGAGAACCTTGGAGGTCATCTATCTCTTTAGGCTCTAAGTTGTGTAGCATCGAAGATGTCAAGAGACGATGTATACTTGCTAACATTGCTTTTCAGAACTACAAAAAAGTCTGGGAACAAGGTAGACGTATACCCTTGAAGATTCGACTCAAGATATATGAAGCACAAGTTGTTTCAATACTGATGTATAATTGCAACAGTTGGGCAACATCTAAACAACTCCTTCAAAAACTTGATGTCTGCCACAGGAATCATCTCCGTACGATCATCGGCATGACCTACCCTAATGTCATACGAAATGTGACTCTATACAAACGCTGCGAAGTTGTTCCACTAAGTGAGCGTGTTGCTCGTGCACGGTGGAGAATGCTCGGTCACATCCTCCGCAGTGATAATAACTCACCTGCCCAGCTTGCCTTACATTTTGCTGTAGAGAGTCAGAGTTTGATGAGAGGTAGAGTTGGACGACACCAGTCAAACTTGTTAAAAACTATTTTGAACGATTTAAGTGACAGAAACTTTAGACTTGTAAATACAGACGATTTATACCATTTAAGACTTTTTGCAACAGATAGAAAAGCATGGAGAGAGTTAAGCATGATTTAGTTTATTCTGTGTTATTTTTCTCTTGGTGACTTATCAGGTCATCAAGATGTTCTTTATGTTCTATTTTTGATTTGAATAAAGTTATATGATGATGATAGCAGGTATAGATCTGCCAGATCTACCTTAACTCACCACTAACCAGGTGGGAGTACGTATAGCAGGTATAGATCTGCCAGATCTACCTTAACTCACCACTAACCAGGTTGGAGTACGTATAGCAGGTATAGATCTGCCAGTGATGATGCCCGGAAGAACTGCAGTCCAGTTGCAGTGTGTGTCGGCTCTACATCAGCTCTTGCTATGTGACACTGTTAAGGCTCCTACTGGGGTCCCTCTTAATCTTACCAACGTTAGTTGAAACGAGTTTGTCTGGGAAATTTGATAACTGGAAATTTTACTTTTATTTCGTTTTTTGGTATTCGAATTATCTATACTTGTTATTATCAAGTATTGTTATTTTCTTTGACCGGACATTTTAAAATAACGATGTTTTACCATGACCAGATTAGATATTTTATAAGTTAATTAACTAATTAACTACTTACTTCAGGAGGAGGTATATCTTGATAGGAATGTGCACGAGGTGGGATCCTGGATGTATCTGCACCGTTACGCGCACCATCTCTACCAGTATTTTGAGCCTTGTCATGAAAATAGTAAAAACATGCTCTCCTCTCCAATGGTACTTAATTTGGGAGTGTCCGTTTCTAAACTCGCAAGAAAACAGGTTTGTGACGTTTCCCTTGTTCAACATCCAGGAATCTTCTGAACTACCTTACTCGGGATTATTATGACCGGGATAAAGTGGTGGGTTTAGGGTAATTTCGCCATATTTTTCCCGAACCACATTTTCACCGGTCGTTAATAAACCCGCCTACTCAGCTTTTAGGGTTCCCAAGGGGTATGGGTGCTTATATTTTGATCGTTGTCTTATATTCACTAAAGAAGACTATTGGGACACTTGTTGTAGGTTTTTCGACTTCATTTGGCTAAAATTGCAAAAAATTCACCTTTTTGCCCAATTCTTGTCATATATCCTTATTGTCAAATTTGATTTAAATAGGCCAATTTTTAATTTCTTAGGTATTGACTATCTCTACATAATGAAATAGGACTCAAAGTAAAAGTAACAGTTAAATTAAAACTTGAATTAATTAAAACTGATGAAAGGGATGATCCAGATGAAGATAACGAAGATGATTACAACTTATTGGAAGACTAAACAGCTCTCCCTTTATCTTAATATCGATCTGGTTGTTACGCTTCAAATGTTACAAATTATTTTCCATCTAGTTTGACTAACCACGAGTCATTATTTCTGTCTACTTTCAACAATTATTGATAATTCGACTTGTTTCACAAGTTTTAGCAATGCGAAAATTTCTAAACTTGCTTATCTCTAATAAGGAAATTTACATCTGAGACAAAATTTTTGAATCTAAAATTGAAAGGTTGGACACCGGTAAAATGGCGACCGGGAAAATGTGGTGGGTTTTGAGCAATTTCGCCATATTTTTCCCGAACCATATTTTAACCGGTCGTTAATAAACCCGTCGTAATAATCCCGAGTAATTTTCCTACATAATCGTAATTTTTCCTACATAATCAGATGTGTAACCATAATAAGCCCTACCTCACCATCCTTTACCCTCCTCCTATTTGAATCTCTCTTCTGCAGGGTAACATGAGGTTAGCACCTCCTTTACCCTCCTCCTATTTGAATCTCTCTTCTGCAGGGTAACATGAGGTTAGCACCTCCTTTACCCTCCTCCTATTTGAATCTCTCTTCTGCAGGGTAACATGAGGTTAGCACCTCCTTTACCCTCCTCCTATTTGAATCTCTATTCTGCAGGGTAACATGAGGTTAGCACCTCCTTTACCCTCCTCCTATTTGAATATCTCTTCTGCAGGGTAACATCCTTTACCCTCCTCCTATTTGAATCTCTATTCTGCAGGGTAACATGAGGTTAGCACCTCCTTTACCCTCCTCCTATTTGAATATCTCTTCTGCAGGGTAACATGAGGTTACCCTCCTCCTATTTGAATCTCTATTCTGCAGGGTAACATGAGGTTACCCTCCTCCTATTTGAATCTCTTTTCTGCAGGGTAACATGAGGTTACCCTCCTCCTATTTGAATCTCTCTTCTGCAGGGTAACATGAGGTTAGCACCTCCTTTACCCTCCTCCTATTTGAATCTCTCTTCTGCAGGGTAACATGAGGTTAGCACCTCCTTTACCCTCCTCCTATTTGAATCTCTCTTCTGCAGGGTAACATGAGGTTAGCACCTCCTTTACCCTCCTCCTATTTGAATCTCTCTTCTGCAGGGTAACATGGGGTTAGCACCTCCTTTACCCTCCTCCTATTTGAATCTCTCTTCTGCAGGGTAACATGAGGTTAGCTCAGAGACTGCTGATAAATGAGCTGACGTGGCACTTTTCCGGAGTCCACCCCTCCCGCCCCCCTCTCACTACCAACATTGTCTACATCTCTGATAACACAGTTCACGAGGGACCTGGTAAGAGGACTTAGTGGGGTTGTCGATTCGATAGACTTTAAAGTTAATTTAAAATCTATGTAGTGATTATGTCAATTCGTGCTTCTAGATTAAGGATTATTATAACCTGTCTTTCTCCAACCGCTAACACCCCTCACACTAACACCCCTCACGCTAACACCCCTCACACTAACACCCCTCACACTAACACCCCTCACACTAACACCCCTCACACTAACACCCCTCACACTAACACCCCTCACGCTAACACCCCTCACACTAACACCCCTCACACTAACACCCCCGCACTAACACCCCCGCACTAACACCCCTCACACTAACACCCCTCACACTAACACCCCTCACACTAACACCCCCGCACTAACACCCCTCACACTAACACCCCTCACACTAAAACCCCCTACCACACTAACACCCCTTACACTAACACCCCTCACACTATACTAACACCCCTCACACTAACACCCCTCACACTAACACCCCTCACACTAACACCCCCTCACACTAACACCCCCTCACACTAACACCCCTCACACTAACACCCCTCACACTAACACCCCTCACACTAACACCCCCTCACACTAACACCCCTCACACTAACACCCCTCACACTAACACCCCTCACACTAACACCCCTCACACTAACACCCCTCACACTAACACCCCTCACACTAACACCCCTCACACTAACACCCCTCACACTAACACCCCTCACACTAACACCCCTCACACTAACACCCCTCACACTAACACCCCTCACACTAACACCCCCTCGTCCCCAGACATGGTGCTACGCTCCACCCTCCACACGACCCTCTCCAAATCTCTGGCTCAGTACATCCCAGTCGACCTACTGCCACTGCACTCCCAAAGTGCTAAAGTGCTATATCAGTGTGGCAGTCAGACGGAGGCTATTGAAGCGCTCAGTGCTGCGGTGCTGTACAGACAGCGCAACCCTGCTACCGTCAGGAACAGTACGTCTCTCGGCTGGTTTCATCGTTTATCCTGTTTTTTTGTTGAAGTCTGAACTCTGAGTTCTATTCAGTTGGATGATAATTATGAGACAGGCATCATTAATTGTTTTAACTGGTAATTGGTATTACTGTTATACTCTCAATTTTTTAACCCCTAAATAATCTCCTCTTCAGACCGTAATAATGAGGGTTCTATGAAGTGTGTATTGACTCTTGGTAAATGGTTATCTCAAGACAGTACCCTGGGTCTCATGGCAATGTCTAACGGGCCCTGCCTCCAGTCACTGCTTGGTAAGTTCTCCTGTAAAACATCTGAACTTGTAGTCGTCTTTTGTATGTGCTTACATATTTACCAGATTTGAGTGAAGAACCCTGTATGAACCTGTGCCTCTTAAACATTGTGTATTAAGCTGTGAAGTTATCACTTTTATTATTTATTGTATTAAACATTGTGTTTAACGTGCTGCAGAGATAGAAGAGAGAGTTACAGCTAATTCTGGTATCAGACTTAGAGACGGGGTGGCTGTATCCGAGGTAAATTTAGCAGCACTTAGTAACATTCGGCAAAAAATAATATCACTTAGTAACACTTAGTAACACTTAGCGACACTTTGCGACGCTTAGTAACACTTTGCGACACTTTGCGACGCAACGCTTAGCGACATTTTTCACTTAGTAAAACCTTGTGTTGACTTGCAAGAAAAAGTATGAAGCTTAGCGATATCAAGTAAACCTTAATACAAGTGTTGGTCGTGCACACGTCCACAAAAGTAAAAACCACCTCACATTAAAGACAGTGCGTTTTAAAAGATGCTGCATAATACATAGCAGAGTATTCATTATGCATTGTTTGTATTTTGTACCATTTTTATATTTTTTCTATGATTGATGTAAATAAAATTTGTAAGGCGTTAGTGCCAAGTTTACTTCTGGCGATCTCCCCAAACAAACGAACAAACAAACGTATAAAAATGAATAGTGTATTATATGATATATTATTATATAGTATATACTTTTATAATATATCTCTCAGGTGGAATATCTGGAGGGACGGTTGCTACGTTACGTAGCTGAAGAAGCTTGTGACATGGCTAATGCATGGCATGCCTTGGGAACTTGGGCCTACGACATCAGCAAGAAGTCTCTAGATCAGATACAGCTTGCTAGGGGTGACCTGTCTTTAAAAATATATTTCCAACAAATTCAACTTTCCAACAAATTCAACTTTCCAACAAATTCCACTTTCCAACAAATTCCACTTTCGTACTCTTTTTTTTGCTGTTTTTTGGCGTGTAATGGCTATATCTTAACTCTAGACCTATGTCTGGTGTTGCACCTCAATCCAGTTCTATGTCTACTCAAAATGCTATGATAAGTGTTATTGTAATTGTATAATTCCAGTTGAGACGATGTTGCCGGAAGAGAAGTTGGTGGTAGAAGAGCTTGCTGGTAACCACTGTGATCCTGTATGGAACCTTATACTAGGTTAGATCATTTTAGAATCATTTTAGGGGCCCCGGGGTACTGACAGTACAGAAATAGAGATTTCTTAAAAACTACAATATATTTAAGAAATAATATTTAAGAAATAAATAAAATATATTCAATGCCCACACGAAAAGATTGTAAAACCGCATGATTACAGTATAGAAGAGACGAATGAAAGATAGCATGGATGCTCTATTAATCAACTAATCAACTAATTAAACTAATTAACTAATTGACTAATTAAACTGATTAAATAATTAACTAATTAACAGGAGCGGTGATGCGGCAGAGCTGTGAAGGACTAAACGAGCGTATATCCACTACAGCCCCCGATCTCCCTAAAGACACTGTGTCCCAACTATGCGATGTGTATATTCGTGTCAGCAGCAGACTTTACCACAATTATAGGTTTACTGTTAGTTATGTAGGGTTAGTTTTCAAGTGAGCTACCTGACATCATCATAGCGATATTTCTGGTAGACCAATCTCTGGTTTCATCAAAAGTATTTATTCAAGTTCAGGCCAAAATGCAGAATATGTCGAGCATATACGCAATGGGGTACTACCAGGAGTTTCGAAATTCGAATGTGTATAATTGCTACAACGAAGGTTTTGTTCGGAGAAAATAGTGAAATATTGAACATTATTGAAGCTCACACATTTGTCCCACTCAGAATAGCGGTAAAGAGTTACTGCAGATACCTGCATCTATCAGCGGGTGAAAGAGACTGCAACACCAGAGTGGACAAAGTAGACAAGACCACCCACAGGGAACTGCATACCACTCTGAGATTAATGAAACTCATGACGTCACATGACGTTGCTTTACACGATCTGGTTAGTTGATGACGTCAGTCATCTGGTTAGTTGATGACGTCAGTCATCTGGTTAGTTGATGACGTCAGTCATCTGGTTAGTTGATGACGTCAGTCATCTGGTTAGTTGATGACGTCAGTCATCTGGTGAGTTGATGACGTCAGTCATCTGGTGAGTTGATGACGTCAGTCATCTGGTGAGTTGATGACGTCAGTCATCTGGTTAGTTGATGACGTCAGTCATCTGGTTAGTTGATGACGTCAGTCATCTGGTTAGTTGATGACGTCAGTCATCTGGTGAGTTGATGACGTCAGTCATCTGGTTAGTTGATGACGTCAGTCATCTGGTGAGTTGATGACGTCAGTCATCTGGTTAGTTGATGACGTCATGGGTTAAGTCTTACTTGTGATAATTTTCTGGGCTTCGGATATCAACTTTTACGTGATGGAACACACAATTTGCGAATCCAACAACTTTTTTATAACATTTTGAAAGAAGCTGAAAGATTATGTTTGAGTAGTGGGTTGTAACCCAGAACTCGTTTCTAGATAGAGGATATATCCCGGACTCCGGCATTACAATGGTACAAAGTTACCCCCCAGTTACTATCACGTATAGGACACAGCAACCCTAGCGTCAGAAGTAAGTGTCACTAGCTTCTTAGTTATCAAGTCATTAATTGTCCGGGACGGTGTTTTCACTTTTTAATATTGCTGCACTGGCCGATGAATTTTTTATCCAAATGACTAAATCATAATTATTTAGATTTATTTTTAATGATTTTATTAATATTACAGTTTACTGAGTATTTTCTAGGTAACTATCTTAACCCCAGTGTCCCCCCCCCCCCAGTGTCCCCCACCCAGTGTCCCCCCGCCCCCAGTGTCCCCCCAGTGTCCCCCCCCCAGTGTCCCCCACCCAGTGTCCCCCCGCCCCCAGTGTCCCCCCAGTGTCCCCCCCAGTGTCCCCCCAGTGTCCCCCCCTTTTAAGTTTAACCCTTATTTCTATCCAGACGCCCTGCTGACTATCCTGTGTAGTGTAGCTAGACAGTATCCTCACAAACTGGTGTACAATTGTGTAGAGAAATGCTCTCCCTCTTCCCTCATCGATAACGAACAAAACAAGGTATTTCACTTTCTCTTTATAGATGTGGATACTGGCGGGGAGGTGATAATTGTTTGTTTACATTAATAGTGAGCACATGTTAAGCAGGCTGAGGAGGTGATAATTGTTTGTTTACATTTTAGGTCGAGCACATGTTAAGCAGGCTGATGAGGTGATACATATTTTGTATTATAGAAGGCTTGTAACACTTGTAACGCCTTCTTGTTACCCCCCTTCGAGGGCCCCGAATTATTTTCTGAACGAAAGCTCAAAAATAGCCGAGAAATCGACCTTCTTATTAACTCATTTTGATGACCGTTTCTAACCTAAAATTGCACGTAAAATCGATTTAGCTAGGTTTCAGAACCTATAAACACTTCCTTATCCCTCAAATTGATCTTTTATAGTTTAGAATGCGAGCAACAAGCAACATACATATATTTTGATCCTTCGGTTCTACTGCAGCTCTTGACCTAGGGCTTAATCTGAAAGATCGCGGCAATCCTCACCTTAACTGATCGAACTTGAGCGAAGAGCAGAGTACGACAAAACACAGCAGGTAAGCTGTAAGCAACTCATTTTGGTGACTGTTCCTCACCTGTACAACGTTGCACGAGAAATCGATTTAAGTTGGTTTTACAGCCCAATAACGATTCCCTATTCCTAAAATTTTTGTGTTACTCAAACAAAGAACATGATGATTCTGCAACGAAAGAACAAGGAGATCATCTCGTTAACAACTCGAACAGGTTCTATCACAATTTTCAGAGCAGAGCACGATAGCAAAGTCAAAAGAAACAAAATAAAGGTAGGTAACCAACACCGTGATATAACAATCATAATAACAACTGAATTAAATTTATTCGGACGACGGGCAGCCCTGATGTGCCCCGTGATCCCGACCAATTGTAATAGAGGTGTTCTGTCACGTGACGCTGATCCGTCCAATCACAAACAGGAAGAGTGAGCAGAGGGACATTATATCGTATGTTTACCTTTCTTATCTGTATTTGACTCTTTGTTCACATTGTTATCTCTACCACAGCTTGGCAATTTCAGACTGCACCTCGGTACACACGCCATGATTATGTCATGCAGAAATAGAAATTGTGTGATCCGTGATCGGGGAACCGGTCAGGAGGGCGGAAGACGCGTGGGCGGAGGTCGCGTAGGCGGAAGACTTGAGGGCGGAGGACGCAAGGGCGGAAGTTTCCTAAAAAGCTAAAAGGTTGGACACGAGGGCGGAGGTCGCGAGGGCGGAGGTCGATCCCATGATTTGGGCGGAAGTCTCGTAAAACGATCACATGTCCTAAATGCTCGACTGGTAATACTACAAAACCTGAAACATCACACAACGTACTTCAAATTGTATAGATTATATAAGTTATATTCAATCATTTTAGTGGTACTGATTTCGAATTCTTTGTAACTTTAAAAACAAAATACACAGGGTTATAGAGAACGCTTAAAGGTAATATAAATCACAATGTAATCAATCAATTTTGTCAAAACCCGAATAGAATAATATCATGCAATAACATAAACATTTCACATAGCACTCTTTAGCAAATCAATATAGGTTAAAATATCCTCCGCCCACGCGTCTTCCGCCCTTGTGTCCTATACCCCCGTGATCGTTATAATGTAACCGTGCCCACTGCCCATGTAAAAACTACAATGCAAACTGTGGGGGGGGGGGGGGGGGCGGGGGGTTGTTTACGATAGTCAAACAATCTTGATAGTGTGCTGGTCTCTCCCCCAACTGACTGTGGTGCTTATCGTCCAGTCAGGAACATAGTATGTCTCGGTTGAACTGCGGAGATTAGTAATATTCAGTTTGCTGTAATATGTGGTCCTCAGTCCTCCTCATCCTCCTCCTCCCATCTTCCTCCTTCCCTCCTCCTCCTCCCCCTTCTCCTTCTCCTCCTCCTCATCCTCCTCCTCCTCGTCAGTCCTCATCAGTCCTCCTCAGTCCTCCTCCTCCTCCTCAGTCCTCCTCAGTCCTCCCCTCCTCCTTCTCCTCCTCCTCATCCTCCTCCTCTTCTTCCTCCTCCTCCTCCTCCTCCTCCTCCCCCTCCTCCTCCTCCCCTCCTCCTCCTCCTCCTCCCCCTCCTCCTTCTCCCCCTCCTCCTTGTCCTCTTCAGTCCTCCTCCTCCCCAGTCCTCCTCCCCCTCCTCCTCCTCCTTGATCTCTTCAGTCCTCCTCCTCCCCAGTCCTCCTCCCCCTCCTTCTTTTCCTCCTCCTCAGTCCTCCTCCTCCCCAGTCATCCTCCCCCTGGCCCTCCTTATTTTCCTCCTCCTCAGTCCTCCTCCTCCTCAGTCCTCGGGTTTGTGTTAGGGTTAGGGGTCATTGTGGGTGGTTACGGTTTCAGAGCCATCTAGAGAACGTGTTGAAACGTCACGTAACAGTTGAGTGTAGAGTGATTAATCATCGTCCGGTTAGTTAAGAATAAGCGGAATAAAAAGCGAATTAAATTTCAGGAGAACTTACACTTAACATCCCAGCGGGGATGTGGGGCAAGACTCAGTTCACGCCGGAAAAAGTAGCAGCTAGCAAAAAAGTCAGCATCGCCCGCATCCACGTGGAACGCTCCATTGGCTATCTGAAGCGGTACATGATTTTGGGAAACAAAGTTGTGGGGAAAGATATTGCCTTATCTGAGCGACATCGCATTCGTGTGTGCCCAACTTGTCAATTTGAATCCTGTTTTTTTAAGGGAGGTGGACAGTGAAGTAGATCTAGATCTTGTTACTAGATGGGAAGTGTCTATTGAACAGCTAACGGTCATTATGTGATAGTGGGTTTGTTGTGATAGAGCACGCAGGCTCTAGACACTGACTCACAAATGGCGGTTACATCATTATTCTTTCAATCCAGTGGTGACAAAGTAGTGTTAGTAGCAATGTACGTGTGTTTGACAAGTTGTGTGTCAAGATCTTGTGGGACTCCACAATTTTACATCATTCATAATTCACTTATCTCTGCTGCAAACATCAGGCAATCTCTTTTGGATCGTATTACTAGATTCAACTAGACACGATCAAACTAGACCAGATCAAACTGATCAGTTCAAAATAGATCAGTTTAATAGAATTCAGTTAAAACTTGATCCAGTAAATTGTTATATTCCAGGTACGGACGTGACCATGATTAGGATGCGGGGACTGTTGTGCACGTGCTACTTGAGTCGCGCTAGATGGCGCACCGAGCAGATGGGTGGTGAACTGTGTGGTATTGGACTGCAGACTCTATCATGCCTTACGACTAGTACAATTGAGAAGGTTAGTGAGAGAGTATCCCTGATATCTCCTGAATATACAGTGGCGGTCGAAAAGGTGGGTGGGAAGTGGGGTTGAAAGAAAGATTGAACAATAACATACCTTTATTTGGTCAAAAACTTGTTGTCTGTGTTCAGTCGGGTACATCCTGTTGAAAATTACCGAGTATAACACGGTTTAAGAAAAATTCAATAGCTTATATTGCCCAAATAAGAGTTGTAATCTACTATTCAAGCTACTTTTCAACCGACCTTGCAAAATAATGGATGACGTCATCCATATTTAAGCTCGTGCACTTTGTCACGCGCACGTGCGCATTGTCGCTCACGCACGTGTCATTGTCTTCCTGTCTGGATCACACTATAGTGTGCTAAAAGCTTTGAAAATTTTTATAGAAAGCTTTAGATCCCTTGTTTACCAAACACAGGTCTATTACAGTGTTACATTGTGATATAATATAGTATATTAGATTTACATACTATGTCTACAATCTCGCTAAAAGCATGTTAATAATTTGAAGAAACAGAGAAGCATCATTAATGTGTACTAATTACAATTACGTGGATCATGAGGCTTAGCGATTGGCTTTTTTGGATATTTGGCTGCAAGACACTTTTTATAGAGCACTTTAAATGAGAGGTGAGCAATATGGACATTAGATTTGAGCATTTTCATATGAGAGGTGAGCTAAACTTTATAGACTTTAGATTTGAGCATTTTCATAATGAGATGTGAGCACAAATATAGAAATTATTTTGAGTACGTTTCATTGGGAGATGAAATGCGAATCATTAAAGACATTATTTCGTTTTAAAGATGTTCGCCAAATAAGTAAGTCTGCTTGGACGGACTTGAAGATATTTAGATACATGTAGCAACAATATAACTTGTATGGACCTTTCAGGAGCCGTGCGCAGGGTTTTTTTTGAAGGTGTAGGCGAGTAATCGGCGGGAAGCGCCGGCTCCGAGTGGAATTGCCGCGAGCTGTGCCGCAGCCCCCGGAATTATTTTTTATGATTTAGTGCGCTAACCAATTGGATATCAGATTATAAATTCTACTACTTTTGAAATGGTATGTACTTATCATGTAAAAACAATATTACCTTGGACTTCATTTCTATAAAGTTGGAGTATTGGTCTGTATATATAATCTTTTCAGGCTGTGACTTCGCAGCGTAGTTCATTAGAAATCAAGAAATCAGACGGTACAACGTGCTCAAGTTCGACACGTATCACGTTCGACATGTACTGTAGTTCGACAACCATAAGGAGGGATTCTACTCTGTCGAACTAAAGTTGCGGCTACCTGGATTCAAGATCGACACGTACTAAAATTCAACAAGGATATTCGAACTAGAGTTTTTAAAATCTCCGATCTCAAGCGAACGATCCTTTACGAGCTATGAAATCAATTCGTTTTGTTTGTTTTCCACTTGTCTCATGTTGTGCAGCCTTCTGTCTCTGTCAAGGGACATGGCTAAATAAACAACTCTAACTATATGATAACTTTATAATAACTGATTGTGGTATTGGTGGCTGCTGTAAGATTTGAACGGTATATCCATAACGATTTGTTGTTTGTCGGGACAGGAATGTAGGATTTCAAAGAGAAACTTTGAATTAGGCTACTTTTTTTATAATTGAGTTGTTATAAGAGATTGACTTCAGACTGACGGCCCTCAAAACTAAGACATATCATGATTCCTTTCGGTCTCCAGTCTGCTTAGTAGATTATATACATAATAACTTGTATCGAGTTTATAAGAACCCTTTGTATTGGGGTCTTTGTCGGTAGTGTGTGCCTAAAACATCACAATCAATCATACTTGTTATTATAAATCAAATAACATACCATATATGATAGGTGTTGGGGAAGGCGTAAAAACGCCCAGAGAATAATATTCATTTGGTTGGTTAGATAGCAGAGATAAATTTGTGCATTTTTAAGTGATATTTAAAGTAGCAGAAACGCGTAGTTATAGGGACCCTTCGAAGCTGTTATGAGAGTTTGAGGGCGTTATATAGGCTCAGAAATGTGTCTTTGCCGTCTGGAAAATGTAAAACATCCAAACCCTGATATTACTGGATCACACAAATCTTTCTGATAATTGAAAAGGACTCAAACGAGGTCGCTCCATGACGTATAATGTACCTCTATTGACACTTCTCCTGTTACAGTGGTAACATTGTACATTGTTCAGTGTACACCTGTTACTGGTACTACCCAGGGACGAAAGGATTTCGCGGCGATTTTTGCCAAACAATCGAGATACGCGAAAATACAGCGAATCTTACATTTCGCGGTATATTAAACTATAACATAAAATTTGTCGCGGAGAATGGGAAATTTCGCGATTTCTACATGCCCGCGAAATCCTTTTGTTCCTGGTACTACAGGAGAGTGTTTGATCACCTGTCCCTTCTCTTTGTTTCCCTCTAGTCCCTTTAGTTTCCCTCTAGTTCACTCTTTAGTTCCCTCTAGTTCCTCTAAAGCATCTAATTCCTCTAGTTCCTTGTAGTTCCCTCTGTTCCCTATATAGTTCCCTTAATATCCCTTTAGTTCCCTCTAGTTCCCCCCTTCTTAGGTTGTTTTCCCTCTAGTCCATCTTGTTCCCTTTAGTTCCCTTAGTCTCCCTCTAGTTCCCTCTAGTTCCCACTGTGTGCCCACAACATAAAGCCTGCTGCTTCTCATAAGTAGCTCTATTCAACCACACCTAGCTCTAGAGCTCATCTCTAGAGTACAATGCTCGGAAATTGCAAATTTAGTAACATGACTAACACAAGCATAGTGACGAGGATGGGGACCTTAATCTAAGAATTCAAGATTAAAGTCTTATTTTGGGCTCTTCTCCGGCAAATATGAGGGGTGAGTGTTGGTCGCCACACTGTTGCAGCTTCACACTCTTTCTCAATGCTTTTGAGGCCGAGATGTTCTAAAGTATTTCACCACATCTTGTTCCAGGTTTATTCGTGTCAAAAGTTCTTGATTTCAGGTGTTAGATTCCACAACGGAAACCCCAACCTGTGGTTACCAGGACCCAGGATTAACTCAACCATGATGGTGATTGCCGTACATTGGAAATGTTTTTGGGATAGAATAGATTTAATGTTTGCATCGGCTCCTCATTTTAGAGTTTTTACTCTTGGGGAGCTTACAGAGAGCCGTTGTATTATCCCTAACATACCTGAACATGAGGCCTTCCACGCTGTTCAGAGTTTTAAAATTTTATTTGCAAATTTTGGAATGTAAAATCATACCTCAATTAGATTTATTTGCTCATCCTTCTAATTATCTGTTTATACTAATTATCGCAATACATCGAAGACAAATCGTCTCTGAATCATTTAGGAATGACGTAGTGTGATGAGGGCAGCCAGTTAACCCAGATAAGTAAACATGTAATCTCCGGGGTCTGTCGTATACGTAAAGCTAGTATAACAGTATTTTAGATGTTGTATAATGTTGTATGATATAGACGTCAAGTAGGGCTTGCTCGTATGATACGCCTGACACGCGAGGGGGGCTGCGACCTGGGGGGGGTATACGCAACCGGAACGATGACGTTATAACCTGTGGATCTCTACAAGAGATCCAAGCTACTACGGAGCGTGTTGCGTCGTACCCGCTAGATTTGTATCATCATTAATATCTGTCGTTTAACATTTCACCCTGCTGCAGTTAAGAGTACTATAGTTTGTATATTTCTGAATGTCATCGTTCATGGATGAGATGAGAGGCGATCTATTTAAAAAGCAGAGTTTGGTATTAGTCTCTCTGTTAGTCCAGTTACTCTGTAGCATGTTGTAAACCTTCGTATAATAGTTCAGCTGGTATCACACAGTATTATAGATGGTATTGCATTTATTTGTTCTCAAGTGGTTGGTGGTGTGTGGCGTTAGGGTAGTGCTGGTGGGGTGTCGTAACACACCATGTTGTCTACATACATTCTGCGCACCATGACAAACTGGCCTGTAAGTATTATGAGCTGTGCCTACTGCTCTCTGTCTGTCATCCCTCCGCCCTGTTTTTTTGATTGTTTGGAGTTTCGATGAGGAAGCTAAACTTGTTCCGATGCTACTCTGGATAGTAGGACTGTTTAGCGCTATGTAATACTACAGCACCGTGCCCCGCCGATGAACCATCCTCCCCAGCATGCGTGCTCGTGAGATGATCGCAATACAACAAAGACTTGGATGTACGATAGTGCAGAGCAGGAGGCGTGGATGATACTCGTTAAACCAGCGGTGTACTATACATAGGTGTACGAACTCTGGGGAACAATCTCGGAACTAACTCTTTAACTTTTTAGATTTTCGCCCTTCTCAGTATCGCACTTGGAGATAGATATCAAAAACTATAGTACGTATTTCTGTCAGTAGGTGTGTAAATGGTTACGCACATGATTAATTGGACAGAAGTATTTAAGCTAGCTACAGCTTGATTCATTGACAACTTCACCGCACTGCCTCTGACCCCTCTCGCGAGAACGTCTGGGGACCTTACGGAGAACTTAGAGAGAGAGGTTGAAGGATGGCTAGGTGTCAGACATGGGATAATACACGTCGGCGGCCTGCGGCTAGTGGGGGTAAAGGTTCGAGCAATGCAATACGGTAGTAGGATCTATTAGTAGAGCGATAGTCTTGACGCGGAGCGCGTGAGATAATCACCAAGTTATATATGACCTTGTTACTATACGACAGACCCCCTCTCGTATACTTATCTGGTAAATGGCCTACCAACAACTCCTTTCTTTTTGACAGGTTGGTCTTTGATGGATTGCTAAGTAGTTATAAACAGAATTAACTTGGAAGGCATGAGCAATAATACTATGGTTTTTCATTATCAAATTTGCAAATACAATTTTAAAACTCTGGGAAACGTGGAAGGCTATGTTCAGTTGGATATAAAACGGCTCTCTGTAAAGCTCCCCAAGTGTTAAAACTCTATAATGGAGCCGATGCAAACATTAAATTTATTCTAGCACAAAAAACATTTCCATTTTCGCATCTCATCATGGTTGATTATTCAATGGGGCCTGGTAAATCCCACAGTTGGGGTTTCGTTGTGGAATCTAACACATGAAATCAAGAAATTTTGACACAATAAACTGGAACAAGTGTGGTGATTACTTTAGAACATTCTCGCCTCTTAAAGCTTGTGAAGAATGAGTGTGAAGCTGCAAAGTGTTGCGACCACAATACTCCCCTATATTTGCCGGAGAGAAGAGCCCAAAAAATAAGGACTTTAATCTTGAATTATTAGATTAGGTCCCTTACCTCGTCACTATATTGTGTTAGTCATGTTACTAAAAGTTGCTATTTCCGAGCAATTATTGTACTATAGAGATTGAGCTTCTAGAGCTAGAGTTGGTGAATTGAGCTACTTTGAGAGCGCAGCTTTATTGCGTGGGCACAGAGAGCGCGAATAGAGGGTGGGATCTAGAGGGACACTAGAGGGAACTAAAGGGAACAAGAGGGAACTAGGGGAAACTTGAGGGAACTAGAGGGAACTAAAGGGAATTAGTGAACTAGAGGAACTAGAGGGAACTAAAAGAACTAGAGCGGAATCTAGAGCTTTACGAGGGAAATAGAGGAAACTAAAGGGGGAACTAGAGGAAACTAACGGGAACTAGAGGGAACAAGAGAAGGGAACAGGAGATCAAAACACTCTCACTGGGTACCAGGGACAAAGGGATTCGCGGCATGTCACGAAATAGCGAAATTTCCCATTCTCGCGACAAATTTTATGTATGTTTATATACCCGGAAATTGTATTCGCGGTATTTCGCGGCTATCGACGATTTTTGGACAAAATCGCGCGAATTCCTTTGTCCCTGGGTCTGGAGTACAAGTACAGTGTAAACTGAACAATGTACAATGCTACACTGTACTGCGGAGTGCAATAGAGGTACATTTTACGTCATGGAAGCGACCTCGTTTTTGAGTCTTTCCAATTTATCAGAAAGATTTGTGTGCCACCGTATATCAGGGTTGGCTGTTTTTTACATTTCCCCAGACGATGCAAGAAACATTTCTGAGCTATATAACGTCACCTCAAAACTCTCTTAACAGATTCGAAGGGACCCTATGAACTACGCCGCTTTCTGATACTTTTAAAATATCCACTTATAAATGCAAATTTTATCTTTGCTTTAACCAAACCATATGAATATTATCTATGGGACGTTTTTAACGACTTCCCAGACAATATTGTTATGGTATGATATTTATTTAAATAACCAGATGATGATTGTGATTTTTAGGAAACAATACCGACAAAGACATTACTAAGACGTTCTTTTAAATCGATAAAGTTATTATGTATATATGTATACTAAGCAGAATGGAGACCGTACCAGATCATGAATGTCTTAGTTTTGAGGGCCGTCAGATCTGAAGTCATCTCTTATAACAACTCAAATTAATTTAAAGTAGCCTAATTCTAAGTTTTCTCTTTGAAATCCTACATTTCTGTCACGACAAACAGACAAATGTAATGATATACGCTTCAAATCTTACAGCAGCCACCAATACCTCAATCCGTATTATTAAGTTATCATATAGTTTTGAGTTGCTAGATGTCCTGACAGAGACAGGGAAGGCTGCGACATCATGAGACTAGTGGGAAAACAAACAACACGAATAGATTTCAAGCTCGTAAAGGATCGTTCGCTTGAGATCGGGAGAGATTTAAAAACTCTAGTTCGAATTCTCTTGTTGAATTTTTAGTACGTGTCGAACTTTAATCCAGGTGCGCACTTTAGTTCGGACAGAGTAGAACCTTAGGGTTTGTCGAACTACAGTACATGTCAGAACTGAGTACGTGTCGAAACTTGAGCACTTGTACGTCTGATTCTTGATTTCTAATGAACTACGCTGCGAGGTCACAGCTGAAAAGTTTATATATACAACAATACTCCAATTGTATATAGAATGAAGTCCAAGGTATATTGTTTATACATGATATGTAAATATCCTTTTCAAAGTAGTAGAAATTTTATAGTCCATGATATCCTATTGTTTTAGCGCCTAATTCAGTAAAATTATTTCCGGGGGACTGCGGCCTCAGCTCTCGGAATTCCACTCGGAGCCGGCGCTTCCCGCCGATACTCGACTACCCTTTCAAAAAAACCCTGCGCACGCTCCTGAAGTCCATTAAAAGTTATATTGTTGCTACATGGTATCTAAATATCTGCAAGTCACGTCCAAGCAACATACTTATTTGGCGAACATCTTTAAAACGAAATAATGTCTTTATTCGCATTTCATCTCCCAAGGAACGTACTCAAATATAATTTCTAAATTTGCTCACAATCTCATATGACAAATGTCAAATCTAATGTCTATAAATTTAGCTCAACCTCATATGAAAATGCCTCAAATCTAATGTCCCCCCCCCCCTATATATCCCCCCCCCTCCCCCCCCCCCCCCCTTATGATATATATATATATCGTCCCATATCCTTGCTCACCTCTCATTTTTAAGTGCTCTATAAAAAAAGTGTCTTGCAGCTCCAAACATCCAAAAAAGCATTCTCTAAGCATCATGATCACTAATTGTAAGTTGTACACTTTAATAAGCTCTGTTTCTACAATATTATTCATGCTTTTAGCGAGAATGTAGACATAGTATGTAAATCTAATATACTATATTTTATCACAATGTAAACACTGTAATATAACTGGTTTGTGAACAAGGATCTAAAGCTTTCTATTAAATTTTCAAGCTATTAGCACCACTATAGTGTATCCAGACTGGGTGACAATGAGCACGTGCGTCGGCGTCAATTGGCGCAAGTGCGCGGTGACAAAGTGCCCGTGCGTTTCATATGATGACGTCATCCTTAGTTGAAAGGTCGTTGAATAGGTAGCTTGAATAGTGAGATTACAAACTCCTTATTTTTTTTTTCGGGCAATTTAAGCTATTGATTTTCTTAACCGTGTTATCACTCGGTTAATTTTCAACAGAGGTCGGACTGAACACACAAAATGTTTTGACCAAAAATCAGGTATTGGGGTTGTTCAATCTTTCTTTCACTCTTTTCTCCGACCTTTCGAACGGCCACTGTATATTCAGGAGCGTTCAGTGGATACTCTCACTATCCTTTCAATTGGTAGCTGAGTCGTAAGCATGATAGTCTGCAGCGTCTATAACCTTCACAGTTCACCCCCATCTGCTCGTGAGCCATCTGCGCGACTTCAAGTCAGCACGTGCACAAACAGTCACACATCCTATCATGGTCACGTTCTCCGTACATGGAATATAACAATGTTACTGATCTAGTTTGAACTGATATAGTTTAAAATGATCTAGTTTAGAAAACTGATCTAGGTTTGATCCCGGTCTAGTTTGATAGTTGTTTAGTTTGAATCTAGTTATACGATCCAAAGAGTTTGCCCTGATGTTCAGCAGGAGAGTACGTGATTTGAATGATGTAAAATTGAAAGTCCACAAGATCATGACACACCCCCATACTTGTCAATCACACCGTACATTGCTATTTCTAACACTACTTTCACATGGATAATGAATAATGATGTAACCCCATTTGTTAGCAAGATAACATTCCAAATGTGAGCTTTCTCCTTTTCCTCATCTACCCTTCTCTGTTCACAGAGCTCCTGTTCAATACCTAGTGTAGTTATTTTTACAGAACCAATCTTCCTCATGTCATTACAACCACGCGTATTTTCCTCCGCAAGCAATACATCACATTCCACAGTATAACTGCACTCCTCCAAATTCCTGATCTGTGGTTTGGTAGAGCAGGTAACCTCCCCGTAGGTGAGGTAGAAGAGGATCAGGGCTTTCAAAAGCTTCATAACTTTCAATACCACTGGGATAACAGTCTACAGTTGAGTGGGTAAAGTTTTAGTAGTGTTTATTAGTGCTCTATTATTTTGGATAAAAGTTTGATATCAGAAACTCAAAAGACAAAATTTGCGCAAAAAATAAGCACCCGAACCTGATACCAACAAAAATTTGAGAACAAACAAAAATATTAACAAAAATGGAGGACAAACAAAGAAATGATAGGAAATGTAGACAGACCTATAACATATAGTTTTTAAACTAATTACAACACTACAAATCTATTACATTTATTGAGAATTATGTAATGTAACGCAATGGAAGTATTTTACGCAGGCATATCCTGTCCAAACCCAGGATACATGACTTAAAGAATTTGGTTTAACTTGTTTGTATGAAAAGCATCAATATAATCTATCTAACTACAACAAGCAATAGCCCTATTAAATCTGAGTCAGCCAGTGAAAGTGAAAGCTGGTAGAAACTGACTTTTGAGTCAATCCAAATTCGAACGCAAAAATGTCGTCTATTTTACATTCGTGACCTCTTACTCTGAGCTTAGAAATTAATAAGCACAAGTCGCAACATATTATGATGGTTCAAGCAACATTACTTCACAGTATTTCAGCTCAAGTAAGGATAAAAAAGTAAGAAGGAAAGAGAAAAGAAACATTGAATAATTCTGATGAGTGTAAACTGTAATATATTCAGTCACCACCAAAATATTCTAAATATTCTATGTACTAGTATACTCATTGCATGGTAATGTTTTATGCCCCAATTAAGTACAATTAGATGCAATTAGGTGCAATTAGATGCTGTACAACTCATTAGAGGAATACTACATTAAAACGATTAGTAAATTGTGGTAATATGCAAAACACTTTAGGAAGATTAGATTATTCTTCATCACTTTTAGCTAGTAATACATACCTCACTTAATTTCGTGACTTGCTGGTGGCCAGCAATTCAATGGGGATCGAAAATATCAAAATATGCTTCTAATTTTATTATACCGTGCTACCAAAACTTTTCTTAAGGGGGCCGGCACGGGGTCTTCATCAAAATTCTCTCAAAATTGACTTTATAGCTGTTTCTGGTAGAGGGGAGTGATATCTACCAGCTGCTTTTGGTCGCCTATCTCAAAAGTTTTCAGAATTTGCGATTGAAAATCGCTCGCGCAATACAATTACACATTTAAAGCGCTGACCTTAGACCGGCGATAATTTCGGCTAGGAACAATATTTTTCTATGGGACCAAAAGCAGCTGGTAGATATCATATTTTGATGAAGACCCCCCGGCCCCCTTAAGGGAGGGGTTTCGAGATAGCAGTTGACCAACAAACTAGGACCGGTGACCAAACTTTTGAGGGGGTCCCGGACCCCAACCGCTGAACAGTGCCCGCGGGGCAGCCACGCCCATATTTGGTCCAAATTAGGCCCAATTTAGCACCTCAAATCGTATAAGTTCACATTTCCCAGCATCGAGTTTCATACCTTTCATAAAGTTCTGTAGACGCATTTAACTTCGACCAATAAGCTTCACTCAATTAATTAGCCATCCTATCAGGCCTATTTTATTTGTCACGTGACACACCATCCCATTTCTAATTTTCCTATTTAGTTCACCTTGTTGAAATAGTTTGTCACCATTAGTCTGCTCACTCCCAAACGCATTCCACTTTCATGTCACATGACCATTCCTCACAAGTTTTAGATTCACGAGTCACGATTTAGTTTTTAGAGATCAGTTCTGTGGATTACCATTTTAGTACGTTCTTACATTTCATCTTCTTCCACAAAACCCCAAATTTTCTTTTGTAAAACCTACCACTAAGTTCGAGCAGCTAGGTACACTTAGTGTGCTACAACGTGACCAAAAAAGCACGTGATTTCCCCTCTTACCTGAGCGGCGGCTAGTTTACTGGAGCTAACAAACTCGTCCAAGAACCACTGTCCAGTTACTGTGTTCAGTGAACCAAGACTGGCTGAGGACTCGTTAACGCTCGTTTCCATGGTTACCCATGTTTCTGAGAAAAAGTTACCATGGTTAAATTATAAAACAATAAATCTAACTCAGATAACAAAATAATAGAGAGAATATAATAAATACACAGAGCGGGTTAGTTACAATATCATAATATGTAACTAACCTGTGATTTCGATAAGACTGGCTGTAATGGCAGATGTAACAGAAACAGTGTCCTCCTCCAACAGTGCAGCTTCTAATGCTGACAAATTAGGTGTTCCTGGTATCTGAAGACAGGGAGTCAGTGAGTGTAGGAGAGGTGGGAAGAAGGGAGGATTATTTAGATGGAAGGGGGCCCGATCAGTTGCGTATAATAATAACATGCTGAAGTGACCAAATATGACAATATACTATACGTAGAATCTGTAGGATCAGGGGACACGAAAACAAGTAAATTGATTAACCTTGGTCTGCTGTTCGATACAGTTGTGTAGTCTGATCTTCAGAGTGTTGGAATGTTCCTGGATGTGTTCCTCAACCTTGTGCGAGTTCTCGCTTGGAACCGTCCTGCGAAATACACCAAGTGTTACCGTGGTTACCATAATTACGTTGAGTGAAACTTTAAACTACTATCTCTAATTTATTTTAATATTTTATTTGTATGAAAACTTTGCAAACTGACTGACCTGATCTTAAGAGCCGCAATCTCGCACTGCGCGCAGATATCATCACAGTGCAGCGCGGAGGGTTGCAGAGTCACTCGCTCCAACCAGTCCGCCCAGAAAGAACCAGGATGCTGGTTGACGAAGTGTCGCTGGAAGAAGGACACTATGGAGCCGTACGGTTTGAGGGCTCGTACTGAGGTGATTGTAGCGGCCCGACCTGGGGAGATGAGGTTTAGACTGATCGTCAAGACGATATCTCCTTTCCTTAGCGAGGAAACTTGCTGTCATGTGAAGCTTTCATGAGGGGTAGTGACCACGTGAAACTCTTGAGAAGGCCCACGTGCTATGACGTCACAACACGTGATATAAATTGTAACTCACGCGAAGCAAGAGAAGCGTTGATGTCCGCATCAATCTGCTCGGTCTGGCTGACGAGTTCAGTTTGTCCGGAAGTAGTGAGGAAGTCCAGGGCGGGGAGGTAGGAGGGAGATGAGCTGGGCTGGGACATGTTGCTTAGTCTCGTGATCAGAGTGTCCAGCACGTTACCTAGGGTGGGCAGATCATTTGGTTATTTGTTGTTTGAAAGTCAATAGCTTTTTATATACATATTAAAGGATTGAAAGCATTCAATTTGAAGTTATGTTAAGTTTGGTTGTTGATATCGGAATTTTATAGACTTGTGGATCAAAGAGTTTAACATCAAAAAGTCTCCATAAACTAAAGAAATATCGAACTGATACCTGAGTTAAAGTAAATACTAAGTACTAACCCTCAATAAACTCCAGTATAGCCCTGAACTTGTTCTGCTGTGTTTTGTACATGTCAGCTGCAGTGACCAGTTTACCGTTTAGGGCCGCGTGAGAGGAGTTGTGGGCTGCCTGAGCTTCGTACCTATGTAATAGTGAAATATTGAGCTTCGTACTTATGTAATAGTGAAATATTGAGCTTCGTACCTATGTAATAGTGAAATATAGAGCTTCGTACCTATGTAATAGTGAAATATTGAGCTTCTTACTTACTTGTACCTATGTAATAGTGAACTATTGAGATTTGTACCTACATGTACATTTATGATAGTGAAATATTGAGATTCGTACCTACTACCTACATGTACATAATAGTGAAATATTGAGATACACACTTGCAGAGTACTATAGTCTGTTCTGTGAATTGTAATACTAATACTTTTCTTTCCTCGTTTCATCATACCATAATATGGTCGGTAGGAACTTAGTTTAAATTTAGGAAACCTATTAAATCAGTACCTAGACAACGTCAACGTGATAAATCTAACAACGCACCAGATGTTTTGTTAACGATCGACACGGTGCTAAAAAACAGCTAGATTTGAATCACTACCAGAAAACTCGCTAAATCAATTTGAATAGACGGGAACAGCACAATCTTTTCAAACAAAAGAAGTATCATCTTTAACACCAACAATCAATATAAGACCATCGCGTCAATTTTCTCACATCCGCACTATATAAACCATCCTCCGATCTCCAACAACTCATCAAATAGTTTTCTCATCTTCAGTAATCAAGCCGATTCAACAAACCCCTCTCAAAATGAAGTTCTTCGCCGTATTGTTCGCTGCCTTCTTCGCCATGAGCATGGCTAGCCCCGTGGAGCTGGAGGAGCGGAGCTTCATGGACACTATCATCGAGATGGTCAAAGGATTTATCTGCGGGATGGACAGCCTTCCTTTCGACAACCCAATGCTCCAGATGGTATTCAACATGGTTAAGGGATTCCTCAACTGCCCCGACGGACAAGAATAAGATGTATTTGCCTTTAATGTTACTATACGTGTTTTGTTACTATATGTTTTGAGTTTATACAACCAGCTATGAAAAATGTTTTTTTCTTTTTCAAATTTAAAAGATAAGAGTTCAACAGTCAAAATGGTTAAAAGTACAAAATTAAGTGGTTATAGTTTCAGTTTTTTATGCAAGTCAGAATGTCCCATGATACATCCCAATCCAGAATTAAATAACTAGTTACCACGTGACATGACGTGACACCACGTGTTATTACGTCACACCACGTGACATGACGTCACACCACGTGACATGACGTCACACCACGTGACATGACGTCACACCACGTGACTTGACGTGTTATTACGTCACACCATACCACGTGTTATTACATCACAACACCTACCTCTCCTGTAGTTGCCAGAGCGAATGTTCAGAATCACTCTTAACATCACACAGAAGTCTCTGTCTATCAATAATGTTACCCGTGGCTACCTCTTGTGGGGCGAACTTTGCTAGAACCTCCGAGAAACTGTGCAGAGACTTGGAGATGGCGTCCATTGCTCCTGTTAAAGGTGGGGGTTAGTGTTTTTAGAGGTGGTCACGTGACTTAGTGGTGACGTGACACGTGACACTACTATAATAGGAACTTGGTTGATGAGGCTACATAGTACATGTTTTCAATGTTATTGTTACGATCAAGATTCAAATACCAATTTTTTAACGAGTCTTGCAGTAATCTGAGAGACCAACTTTAACTGAAACCACTATGAAGTACCTATGAAGTACTGACTATGAAGTACCTATGAAAGCTAGCTTGTTGTTCTTCAGAGGAACGTTCATTTCAACAACTCTACAAGATAAGAGAGAGTAGAGTGAGTTCATTTCTAGTTCCTTCCTACTAGCGCTGTTAGCGTCCTTTACTACTTCAGCAAATACACCTGTTAAAGGTAGAGGTCAGACAGACAGACAGACAGACAGACAGACAGACAGACAGACAGACAGACAGACAGACAGACAGACAGACAGACAGACAGACAGACAGACAGACAGACAGACAGACAGACAGACAGACAGACAGACAGACTTACCCTCATCATTAGCACTTGTCCACTCTATGAGAGGATCGTACACAAAAGCGTCCAGTAGTGCCAGTATCACTTCCCTGTTAGACCTCATAACTGACATTATAGTCTCACATGCTATCCTGAACGTTCCTGGGAGAGAACTGATTACTTCAGCAGTAGTGTTGGGTATATTGGGAAATAAACCTTCCACCATGTCATTGGTCCGGGGATATTCAGGATCTACCAATATTATAGAGAAGTGACTCTTCACGTGAAGGTCACGTGTCGTCACGAGACTTACCCTCAACTCCAGCAGGCCCGAAAGCCTGTGTAATGTTAGAGGTGAGTCTACAAGGCACCCTCTCAGGCACACGCAGCCCCCGCCCTTTCTCGAAACACACGTTGTAGTCAATGTGGACTATGTCTCCCTTCTGGAAATCAACCTGCGGGGGAGGGTAACGTTTACAACGAGATAAGGGTGGAATGTATACGGAAATTAAAGTATAGATAGTTAATAGTTAATAGACTAGATGTTGCTAATTAAATGTCGGTAAATGTACAATTTTTTCACCTGAAAACGTAACAAAACCCAGAAAGGTGTAAAATATTAGTCAGAACTATCATCCCCCCCGGCCCCCTCCTCCTTACCAAGATATTATCCAGATGTCTGTCTCCCAGGCCTATAACAAAACCAATGATACTCATAGCAGCTGACGAGTGTGTGAATCTTTGAACTGTGTTCCACCAGTGAGTTGGGGACGTGCTCGAACACCTGGCATTGATGACGTCACAAGTTGATGACGTCGTGAGTTATCTGGTGACGTCATAATTTAGCTGATATTATGTCACACGCGAGAGTTTTTGTAAATTGCGATGCGAAAGACATGTTTTCAAGTTAAAATACATATTACTACTTGCTACTATACGGTAAAACATTTTAAACGCCTAAAATACGAGCCCATTTTCCATACCACAGTTCCTTGGAGAGAAGATCCGAAGGTGTTTCAGTAGTGAGCTGCTTCAGAACCTCTAACAACACTTCTGAGGGCCACTCTGATCTGGGTAGCTTCTCGTTCAGGTTCTGCTTACTCATCACTGCGTGTACCTGGTGAGGGAGGTTTACTTTCTGATAAACTATGCTTTTTTATTCTCATTCTCCAATAAAACAGCTCTGTTTCACTTTTACTTTTTATAAATGCCTCTACCAATATCACAACCACAGTAAGACAACTTTTATTTGCTCCCACTAACCTTGGAGTGGAATATCTCGGAGCAGTTGAGAACAGCAGGAGGTTGGTCTGGATTGTTCTTCAGAGATTCTCTTTGTTGCCACCTTTTGTAGAGTGAGAAGAGAGGAGATCCTGAGCTGACCCACTGGATCAAACCTGCGGGTTTTGTGAGGGTGAAGTTTTCAGGGTCGTCAGATTAGTACTGCAGCTAAAACTAATGAATAAACAAACAAACAAATAAACATACAAATAAACAAACAAATGAACAAATAAACAAATAAAGAAAGAAAGGAAGAATCACGTACCAGATCTAGGACCGAGCGGGGTAACACTGTACTGAGTAACTGAGTACTGGCTACATCCCCGGCTGCTGAACATCACGTTACACACCCCTAGTAGCTGCATAACTCGCTCGTCAAGACGCAGGTCTTCTAGCCCTTTGAACAGGTACGTGTACCTAGGGAGATAACGAGGTTTCACTTTCACTTTCACTTTACACAACTGACAGATCGTCTTAACTAATAACGAACCAGTAAAATATTGTTGTAAGTAATAAATATAAAACTTACTTTCTCCCATCACTCCCTAGAATTCCTATCTTCTTAGGTTTAGTCTTGGTCGGAAGCACGTGAACTTCCTTGTGGAATGACTCTATAGTCACGTGCCCACTGGCTCTGAAACAAGAGATAGGGGCGTGAAACTCTGCAGACATTATAAAACATACACATTAATAATAATTTAGAGCTTAAATAAATGATGGTACTTCTACAGTTATTTAATTACGCAATAATAAAATAACTAATAAAAAAACTTATAAAATAACTCCAAAGTAAAAGTACCGGTAATCGTGACTAGTCCCTGGAAGTGGAGTACTGAGCCGAGTTAGTTGCGCTAAACGGGGGGAGATGTCATTGAGGGTGTGCATCAGGTTCCCTTTAATGTAATCCTGAAGTTCGTGGTGAAGTTCTTCAAACTTACTCCAGCACCTGTTGGAGGAGTTACCTAGTTACCAGCTAGTAACCTAGTTACCAGCTAGTAACCTAGTTACCAGCTAGTTACCAGCTAGTAACCTAGTTACCAGCTAGTAACCTAGTTACCAGCTAGTGACCTAGTTACCAGCTAGTAACCTAGTTACCAGCTAGTAACCTAGTTACCAGCTAGTAACCTAGTTACCAGCTAGTAACCTAGTTACCAGCTAGTAACCTAGTTACCAGCTAGTAACCTAGTTACCAGCTAGTGACCTAGTTACCAGCTAGTAACCTAGTTACCAGCTAGTAACCTAGTTACCAGCTAGTAACCTAGTTACCAGCTAGTGACCTAGTTACCAGCTAGTAACCTAGTTACCAGCTAGTAACCTAGTTACCAGCTAGTAACCTAGTTACCAGCTAGTAACCTAGTTACCAGCTAGTAACCTAGTTACCAGCTAGTAACCTAGTTACCAGCTAGTAACCTAGTTACCAGCTAGTAACCTAGTTACCAGCTAGTAACCTAGTTACCAGCTAGTAACCTAGTTACCAGCTAGTAACCTAGTTACCAGCTAGTAACCTAGTTACCAGCTAGTAACCTAGTTACCAGCTAGTAACCTAGTTACCAGCTAGTAACCTAGTTACCAGTTAGTAACCTAGTTACCAGCTAGTAACCTAGTTACCAGCTAGTAACCTAGTTACCAGCTAGTAACCTAGTTACCAGCTGGAGATATGTTGGGAGGTTTCAGCAATAGGTCAGGTTCTTTTCTAGGTTTGTCACGTGATAATGTTGTTGGTTGATACTTGGGATATAAATAGATGTTATCAGTCATCAGCGGGCAAGTAGATTAATTTGGATGTAAATTTCGTTACCTTGTAGGATTCTTCAAGTCGACACAAGTTTCTAAGTTTTCCATGGCTTTGTGTATCTTGTCACCAAACTTGTTCTGGAAGTCAACTTCATACTTAGTTTCGCCCGGCTGATTCGTTATCTTTATAACCCGTTTCAACATCACCACAAGGGGTTTCAGCAGCGCCTGCATGAAGTTTTGTTTATAAAATATGCAACTATTTTCTGATCAAAGCTAATCCCAGATAAGGGCCTGATAATGATATCTGATTCTTATAATCCAAAACTTTGGGAATCTAGTCGACCGAACATCACATGGGCATATAATTAGTTTATATATTATTAGAAGCAGCAAATTAACACCGGAGTCCCACATTCAATCTCAAGTAAAACGCTCGATATTGAAAACATTTAGAATTGGCGGTTGAGATCTCTGATAATGAAAAAAGAGGGCCTCACGGTATTCACACTTGGTAGTTGGTTGGGCCTGCTAATTTTTACAAACTGACCTGTTGTTTGGCAGCGGCTATGTTATGCTTCTCTTCAGCAGATAAGGTCAGGTTTGAGTTAACTCGCTTTATCTCAATAGCTAGCTGGTTAAACTTTCTGTGGGATGATACATTTTATACACGGATAAAACAATCAAATTCAGTCAGTTCATTTAAATCCATTTGTTTTAAAGTGAAAGTGAAAGTGAAAGTGAAAGTGAAAGTGAAAGTGAAAGCTCATAACAAGTACCTGGTAATATCAGTGTATCTGTGACCGAGTACCCCGGCCCATAACTCAGCTCTTAGTAGGTTAATCCTCCGTAACTCGTGAACTATTATCTAAACACGAAACAGGGGTTAGAGAAAATAAATGAACGGACTTTCTAGATTTAAAGGTAAGTTGTTATTACTGATTTTGGAGCATTCAAAATGAATGTATAGCATGTTTAATGACTTATGACTGGAATGAGCTATTTATCATTACAATAAACTTAGATATGATTTAAAGGGTCAATTGAACACATTTCTGATAACACTTTGGTGATGTCCCTCAGGACATGTTATAATAAGAGATACCTGAACATCAGTTACAATATCCTCACTGTGCTGTAGTAACGTGTTGTATATCATCTGATAACCCGAGTCAAACAGCTGAAAAAGTAGCTAGGTGATAATAATCACTGATATATCACAGATATCACAGATATCACAGACATATCACAGATATATCACAGATATATCACAGTGGGAGGGGGGGGGGGGCCATCACAGTCCAGCTGATATAATACAAAATATTGCAGAAAACTGAAATGAATTTCACCCAAAGTCCTTCCACAAACATTATTATTAAGCCAGTACTGCAGACGGCAATACAAAAGTGTAAAATATCCACCATACAAAGCATCTTACATCGGAGTGCTCATTTTCAGCGTTCTTTTCAGGCTCAATATCCCCGTTACACACTTCATCTTCCTCCTCCAGATCTATACCCTCTATCATATCCGCTAGGTCACTCTGAAGAGAGGGAGTCAAACTCGCGTCAAGACATTAGACAAAAAAAGAAATTGGATGTGAAAGTGAAATTTGAAATTGAATGAATAAAGAGAAAGTGAAATACCTTGTTTTGTTCGTTATCGATGAGGGAAGAGGGAGAGCATTTCTCTACACAATTGTACACCAGTTTGTGAGGATACTGTCTAGCTACACTACACAGGATAGTCAGCAGGGCGTCTGGATAGAAATAAGGGTTAAACTTAAAAGGGGGGACACTGGGGGGGACACTGGGGGGGGGACACTGGGGGTGGGACACTGGGGGGGACACTGGGGGGGGACACTGGGGGTGGGACACTGGGGGGGGGGGGACACTGGGGGGGGACACTGGGGGGGACACTGGGTGGGGGACACTGGGGGGGACACTGGGGGGGGGACACTGGGTGGGGGACACTGGGGGGGGACACTGGGGGTGGGACACTGGGGGGGGACACTGGGGGGGGACACTGGGGGGGGACACTGGGGGGGGGGGACACTGGGGGTGGGACACTGGGGGGGACACTGGGGGGGACACTGGGTGGGGGACACTGGGGGGGACACTGGGGGGGGGGACACTGGGTGGGGGACACTGGGGGGGGGGACACTGGGGTTAAGCTAGTTACCTAGAAAATACTCAGTAAACTGTAATATTAATAAAATCATTAAAATATACATCTAAATAATTATGATTTAGTCATTTGGATAAAAAGTCATCGGCCAGTGCAGCAATATTAAAAAGTGAAAACCCCGTCCCGGACAAACACTCAATTAATGACTTGATAACTAAGAAGCTAGTGACACTTACTTCTGACGCTAGGGTTGCTGTGTCCTATACGTGACAGTAACTGAGGGGTAACTTTGTACCATTGTAATGCCGGAGTCCGGGATATATCCTCTATCTAGAAACGAGTTCTGGGTTACAACCGACCACTCAAACATAATCTTTCAGCTTCTTTCAAAATGTTATAAAAAAGTTGTTGGATTCGCAAATTGTGTGTTCCATCACGTAAAAGTTGATATCCGAAGCCCAGAAAATTATCACAAGTAAGACTTAACCCATGACGTCATCAACTAACCAGATGACTGACGTCATCAACTCACCAGATGACTGACGTCATCAACTCACCAGATGACTGACGTCATCAACTAACCAGATGACTGACGTCATCAACTCACCAGATGACTGACGTCATCAACTCACCAGATGACTGACGTCATCAACTAACCAGATGACTGACGTCATCAACTAACCAGATGACTGACGTCATCAACTAACCAGATGACTGACGTCATCAACTCACCAGATGACTGACGTCATCAACTAACCAGATGACTGACGTCATCAACTAACCAGATGACTGACGTCATCAACTAACCAGATTACTGACGTCATCAACTCACCAGATTACTGACGTCATCAACTCACCAGATGACTGACGTCATCAACTAACCAGATGACTGACGTCATCAACTCACCAGATGACTGACGTCATCAACTAACCAGATTACTGACGTCATCAACTCACCAGATGACTGACGTCATCAACTCACCAGATGACTGACGTCATCAACTAACCAGATGACTGACGTCATCAACTCACCAGATGACTGACGTCATCAACTAACCAGATTACTGACGTCATCAACTCACCAGATGACTGACGTCATCAACTAACCAGATGACTGACGTCATCAACTCACCAGATGACTGACGTCATCAACTCACCAGATGACTGACGTCATCAACTAACCAGATGACTGACGTCATCAACTAACCAGATGACTGACGTCATCAACTCACCAGATGACTGACGTCATCAACTCACCAGATGACTGACGTCATCAACTCACCAGATGACTGACGTCATCAACTAACCAGATGACTGACGTCATCAACTCACCAGATGACTGACGTCATCAACTCACCAGATCGTGTAAAGCAACGTCATGTGACGTCATGAGTTTCATTAATCTCAGAGTGGTCTGCAGTTCCCTGTGGGTGGTCTTGTCCACTTTGTCCACTCTGGTGTTGCAGTCTCTTTCACCCGCTGATAGATGCAGGTATCTGCAGTAACTCTTTACCGCTATTCTGAGTGGGACAAATGTGTGAGCTTCAATAATGTTCAATATTTCACTATTTTCTCCGAACAAAACCTTCGTTGTAGCAATTATTATACGCATTCGAATTTTGACACTCCTGGAAGTATCCCATTGCGTATATGCTCGAGATATTCTACATTTAGCGGCCTGAACTTGAATAAATAGTTTTGGTGAAATCAGAGATTGGTCTACCAGAAATATCGCTATGATGATGTCAGGTAGCTCACTTGAAAACTAACCCTACATAACTAACAGTAAACCTATAATTGTGGTAAAGTCTGCTGCTGACACGAATATACACATCGCATAGTTGGGACACAGTGTCTTTAGGGAGATCGGGGGCTGTAGTGGATATACGCTCGTTTAGTCCGTCACAGCTCTGCCGCATCACCGCTCCTGTTAATTAGTTAATTAGTTAATCAGTTTAATTAGTCAATTAGTTGATTAATAGAGCATCCATGCTATCTTTCATTCGTCTCTTCTATACTGTAATCAGGCGGTTTTACAATCTTTTCGTGTGGGCATTGAATATCTTTTATTTATTTCTTAAATATTATTTCTTAAAATATAGTTTTTAAGAAATCTCTATTTCTGTACTGTCAGTAAGTCAGTACCCTGGGGCCCCTATAATTATTCTAAAATGATCTAACCTAGTATAAGGTTCCATACAGGATCACAGTGGTTACCAGCAAGCTCTTCTACCACTAACTTCTCTTCCGGCAACATCGTCTCAACTGGAATTATACAATTACAATAACACTAATCATAGCATTTTGAGTATACAGCAATAGCAGCAAATCTGGGGAAACTTGGTGGACATTGACTTTTTTCACACAATTTGTGTATGTCGACTTCAACATGATATTGCAGCTTATTGTGGTTAATCTCAATGTTGGGGTGATGTTTTTCTGGTGCACAAAACACTGCAGTACAGTTATGTTGAATAATTGAGGTTAATAAATTCTCTATGTGGCCACTATGGTGGTTAAAATACCAGTTTTAGGGTTAACCACCATTTTGAGATATGATATTATGAACTGAGTAGTCATTATATTGAGATCATCCCATGGTGCAATGATTACAAAAGCTTAAAACCCTCATTGGGGGCATTTTGTGGTCCTAATGGTGGTTAAATGGAAGATGAACGATGAGCAATAAATATTGCTCTGGTTATAGATGTATAGTGGTGGTTGTTCATTTGCACATGGATGATAATTTTTCATCACAGATGTGCAATTCAATAGTATGGTTAATTTTAGGTGGTTAATATTCGTAAAAAGTGCTAAAAAGATGGTTAAAACGTCAAAATATTTTGTTAACCACCAATCAAAACAATATTAATGATTTTAGTCAACTTTTTCTGGTCAACAAAGGACATTTGAAGGGTTTTGATAAAAGTTATCAAGAAATGTTGTCATAAAAGTGGTTAAAAGGGCTATATGACTTGCTAGGCTGTTGAACAAGGCATCTATTAAAGTGAAAATTAACCACAATATGAACTTCAGATAATGGTTTGCTATCCGATTGAGTGTATATTTGTTTGCAAATGCATAATTGACTCGAAGTTCATGCATTTCGATCAATGTGCAGCTAAGGTGGTTAAAATGTCTCTAAAATACCCTATATTTGCGCTAATTAACCATTTTTAGAGCACATATTAGCTTTGTAAAGCTATAGCTGGCCATGCTGCATTATCTAGATATAACTACCAGCTCATTTATATGCACAGAAACATTGCTGAGTCCTGTGTTGCGTCCATCATGGTTAATAAAGGTCTAAAATTGGCCTAAATCAGTGTTTTTGGAAGTTTTAACCGCCATACGGCCACACATTCTGTTGCATTATCTTTAAAATCACTTATTATCCTTCAGCTATCTCTCATAATCAAATATCAAAACAAATAAGGCACCAAAAGTTCGGGGGTTGCTGAATAATGGTTAATTTGTGGTGGCTTCTGTTGACCGAAGGTCCAAAATAAACATGTTTTAACCACATTGAGGCCACATCTAAGGTTTTATGGTATCGGGACCATAACCAAAAGTTTTGGGCACCTGGATAGTGTCTTCTGTTTTTGGAATTATGGTGATAACTCAATGCTGTGCCATACCAGGTGGTTAAGTGTGCGCGCGCGCGCACGCATACACATATGGGTTTTTTTGATATACCACAGTTGGTGGTTAACCGTTTTACATCAGACCTTCACTAAAAGTATTGGGCACTCTAGTGGTGACATGATATATAAAGAAATTAAGCATAAACTAAATATGTTGGTCTACAGATGGTTAAGTACGCGCGCGCGCGCGCACGCATACACTATAACATAAACATATATATACCACTCCACAGACCACATTTATTAACTTTTTTAATTTCTTTCTTCAACTATGTGTCAATGAACCATTTTTGTTCAATAATGACCATCAATTTTAACTGTAGTACTTATATCTTCACTGTTGTAAGGGTTTGGGTGTTAGAGGTATGAAAAAAATGTCCACTAACAAATCAGCCATTTTTCGACTACTTAACCACCTAACTCAGCACCAAAATGTTTTGAGATTTTTTTCTTTGCACTATCATGAAGCTATGGCATTTTTGGACCTATGTAAATATTCAGATTGATCTTAAAATTTATTCCGCTTTTATTTTTATTCCAATCTACAGTTATTCTCGATTCCTTGCTAGCAGTCCGGTTAATTTAGTACCTTTAGTGGGTCTCATTTATTCATTAGCTCTAATTAAAGAACCTCTCACCCTCTCAGAAAACTCCGTTTGGAGATATTCCTTATTACGCTCTAAGTTATTAATTTTCCTTGTGTTTGAATCCTGTCACTTTTTAACTGTTTTTAGTCTTTGTTATTTTCGGCCGATTTTTGCACTTTTACACTGGGTCATCTTCATAATTTCTGGGATTGAGACGACTTATATCAGCATTTAAGGAAGAGTTTGCTTGTCTGACTTACTTCATTAGACACTTCTGGTCAAGAACTGAACAAGAACCACATTCGAAAACTGGAACATCTGAATGACTCCGCAACCCAGGAATCAACTACTCAGTTATTATCGCTCAATAATCGGTTTGGTATCGACGTTACATACTTTATTATTTTTTTTAAAAAGCTGATTTTAGAAACCAGGGAATTAAAGTTACCCTCCTAAGGCTAACATTAAATCGCTGATTTTATTTATATATATCACTTTTTTTTGTTCTTTCTTTTCCTTCAAAACATTCCAGTACATTGTGCAGAAAGTTGGAGATGAAGCCGTAGTACGTACATGTAGCATTGCACTGGATCGAACTTGCAGAGTGTGGTTTCCTCCAGTCTGCGCCGCGCGCTTATAATTATATAAACATATGCGGCGCAGATCGACTGGAGGAGATTGCACTGTGTAGGCTCCGGTGTAATGTGATATGTATGTACTACGGCTTTACAAATTTTGGAAGCATGTAGGGATATATATCTGATACCAATCGTATATACTAAAAATACTCTAGCACAATTGTAACTGCAGTTTTACAGAACTCTAAATGCTTAATGAACACTCTTGCAGGTACCACCCGTATTCACACTCAGACCTGAGTTTAGTCATTTTCCGATACGAGATTGGGGACGGGTTCTATAAACAAACAAACAAACAAACAAATATTCAGATTACTAAAATTCATAATCTGTGATTTTTAAGAAGGGGTTAAATGCTTCAAATTGGTGTATTTCAAAGTTTCCCCAGATTTGCTGCTATTGCTGTATACATAGAACTGGATTGAGGTGCAACACCAGACATAGGTCTTGAGTTAAGATATAGCCATTACATGCCAAAAAACCAGCAAAAAAGAAAGAGTTGGAAAGTGGAATTTGTTGGAAAGTTGAATTTGTTGGAAATATATTTTTAAAGACAGCTCACCTCTAGCAAGCTGTATCTGATCTAGAGACTTCTTGCTGATGTCGTAGGCCCAAGTTCCCAAGGCATGCCATGCATTAGCCATGTCACAAGCTTCTTCAGCTACGTAACGTAGCAACCTTCCCTCCAGATATTCTACCTGAAAGGTACATTATATATAATGTTTGCATGAAAAGCATTAATATAATGCACTATTCATTTTTATACGTTTGTTTTTTTTGTTTGTTTGTTTGGGGAGATCACCAGAAGTAAACTTGGCACTAACGCCTTACAAATTTTATTTACATCAATCATAGAAAAAATATAAAAATCGTACAAAATACAAACAATGCATAATGAATACTCTGCTATGTATTATGCAGCATCTTTTAAAACGCACTGTCTTTAATGTAAGATGGTTTTTACTTTTGTGGACGTGTGCACGACCATCACTTGGATGAAGGTTTACTTGATATCGCTAAGCTTCATACTTTTTCTCGCTAGTCAACACAAGGTTTTACTAAGTGAAAAATGTCGCTAAGCGTTGCGTCGCAAAGCGTTGCTAAGCGTCGCAAAGTGTCGCTAAGTGTTACTAGTGTGGCTAAGTGATATTATTTTTTGCCGAATGTTAGTGAGTGCTGCTAAATTTACCTCAGATACAGCCACCCCGTCTCTAAGTCTGATACCAGAATTAGCTGTAACTCTCTCTTCTATCTCTGCAGCACGTTAAACACAATGTTTAATACAATAAATAATAAAAGTGATAACTTCACAGCTTAATACACAATGTTTAAGAGGCACAGGTTCATACAGGGTTCTTCACTCTAATCTGGTAAATATGTAAGCACATACAAAAGACGGCTACAAACAGATGTTTTACAGGAGAACTTACCAAGCAGTGACTGGAGGCAGGGCCCGTTAGACATTGCCATGAGACCCAGGGTACTGTCTTGAGATAACCATTTACCAAGAGTCAATACACACTTCATAGAACCCTCATTATTACGGTCTGAAGAGGAGATTAGTTAGGGGTTAAAACAATTGAGAGTATAACAGTAATACCAATTACCAGTTAAAACAATTAATGATGCCTGTCTCATAATTATCATCCAACTGAATAGAACTCAGAGTTCAGACTTCAACAAAAAAACAGGATAAACGATAAAAGCAGCCGAGAGACGTACTGTTCCTGACGGTAGCAGGGTTGCGCTGTCTGTACAGCACCGCAGCACTGAGCGCTTCAATAGCCTCCGTCTGACTGCCACACTGATATAGCACTTTAGCACTTTGGGAGTGCAGTGGCAGTAGGTCGACTGGGATGTACTGAGCCAGAGATTTGGAGAGGGTCGTGTGGGCGGAGGAGCGTAGCACCATGTCTGGGGACGAGGGGGTGTTAGTGTGAGGGGTGTTAGTATGAGGGGTGTTAGTGTGAGGGGTGTTAGTGTGAGGGGTGTTAGTGTGAGGGGTGATAGTGTGAGGGGGTGTTAGTGTGAGGGGTGTTAGTGTGAGGGGTGTTAGTGTGAGGGGTGATAGTGTGAGGGGGTGTTAGTGTGAGGGGTGTTAGTGTGAGGGGTGTTAATGTGAGGGGTGTTAGTGTGAGGGGTGTTAGTGTGAGGGGTGTTAGTGTGAGGGGTGTTAGTGTGAGGGGTGTTAGTGTGAGGGGTGTAAGTGTGAGGGGTGTTAGTGTGAGGGGTGTTGGTGTGAGGGGTGTCAGTGTGAGGGGTGTTAGTGTGAGGGGCGTTAGTGTGAGGGAGAAAGACAGGTTATAGTCCTTAATCTAGAAGCACGAATTGACATAATCACTACATAGATTTTAAATTAACTTTAAAGTCTATCGAATCGACAACCCCACTAAGTCCTCTTACCAGGTCCCTCGTGAACTGTGTTATCAGAGATGTAGACAATGTTGGTAGTGAGAGGGGGGCGGGAGGGGTGGACTCCGGAAAAGTGCCACGTCAGCTCATTTATCAGCAGCCTCTGTGCTAACCTCATGTTACCCTGCAGAAGAGAGATTCAAATAGGAGGAGGGTAACCTCATGTTACCCTGCAGAAGAGAGATTCAAATAGGAGGAGGGTAAAGGATGGTGAGGTAGGGCTTATTATGGTTACAGATATGATTATGTAGGAAAAATTACGAAAAAAAACGATTAGTTCAGAAGATTCCTGGATGTTGAACAAGGGAAACGTCACAAACCTGTTTTCTTGCGAGTTTAGAAACGGACACTCCCAAATTAAGTACCATTGGAGAGGAGAGCATGTTCTTACTATTCTCATGACAAGGCTCAAAATACTGGTAGAGATGGTGCGCGTAACGGTGCAGATACATCCAGGATCCCACCTCGTGCACATTCCTATCAAGATATACCTCCTCCTGAAGTAAGTAGTTAAATAGTTAATTAACTTATAAAATATCTAATCAAAGAAAAAATCTGGTCAAAGAAAATAACAATACTTGATAATAACAAGTATAGATAATTCGAATACCAGAAAACGAAATAAAAGTAAAATTTCCAGCTATCTAATTTCGCAGACAAACTCGTTTCAACTAACGTTGGTAAGATTAAGAGGGACCCCAGTAGGAGCCTTAACAGTGTCACATAGCAAGAGCTGATGTAGAGCTGACACACATTGCAGCTGGACTGCAGTTCTTCCGGGCATCATGACTGGCAGATCTATACCTGCTATACGTACTCCCACCTGGTTAGTGGTGAGTTAAGGTAGATCTGGCAGATCTATACCTGCTATACGTACTCCAACCTGGTTAGTGGTGAGTTAAGGTAGATCTGGCAGATCTATACCTGCTATACGTACTCCAACCTGGTTAGTGGTGAGTTAAGGTAGATCTGGCAGATCTATACCTGCTATACGTACTCCCACCTGGTTAGTGGTGAGTTAAGGTAGATCTGGCAGATCTATACCTGCTATACGTACTCCCACCTGGTTAGTGGTGAGTTAAGGTAGATCTGGCAGATCTATACCTGCTATACGTACTCCAACCTGGTTAGTGGTGAGTTAAGGTAGATCTGGCAGATCTATACCTGCTATACGTACTCCAACCTGGTTAGTGGTGAGTTAAGGTAGATCTGGCAGATCTATACCTGCTATACGTACTCCAACCTGGTTAGTGGTGAGTTAAGGTAGATCTGGCAGATCTATACCTGCTATACGTACTCCAACCTGGTTAGTGGTGAGTTAAGGTAGATCTGGCAGATCTATACCTGCTATACGTACTCTAACCTGGTTAGTGGTGAGTTAAGGTAGATCTGGCAGATCTATACCTGCTATACCTACTCCAACCTGGTTAGTGGTGAGTTAAGGTAGATCTGGCAGATCTATACCTGCTATACGTACTCCAACCTGGTTAGTGGTGAGTTAAGGTAGATCTGGCAGATCTATACCTGCTATACGTACTCCAACCTGGTTGGTGGTGAGTTAAGGTAGATCTGGCAGATCTATACCTGCTATACGTACTCCAACCTGGTTAGTGGTGAGTTAAGGTAGATCTGGCAGATCTATACCTGCTATACGTACTCCAACCTGGTTAGTGGTGAGTTAAGGTAGATCTGGCAGATCTATACCTGCTATACGTACTCCAACCTGGTTAGTGGTGAGTTAAGGTAGATCTGGCAGATCTATACCTGCTATACGTACCCCAACCTGGTTAGTGGTGAGTTAAGGTAGATCTGGCAGATCTATACCTGCTATACGTACTCCAACCTGGTTAGTGGTGAGTTAAGGTAGATCTGGCAGATCTATACCTGCTATACGTACTCCAACCTGGTTAGTGGTGAGTTAAGGTAGATCTGGCAGATCTATACCTGCTATACCTACTCCAACCTGGTTAGTGGTGAGTTAAGGTAGATCTGGCAGATCTATACCTGCTATACCTACTCCAACCTGGTTAGTGGTGAGTTAAGGTAGATCTGGCAGATCTATACCTGCTATACGTACTCCAACCTGGTTAGTGGTGAGTTAAGGTAGATCTGGCAGATCTATACCTGCTATACCTACTCCAACCTGGTTAGTGGTGAGTTAAGGTAGATCTGGCAGATCTATACCTGCTATACGTACTCCAACCTGGTTAGTGGTGAGTTAAGGTAGATCTGGCAGATCTATACCTGCTATACGTACTCCAACCTGGTTAGTGGTGAGTTAAGGTAGATCTGGCAGATCTATACCTGCTATACGTACTCCAACCTGGTTAGTGGTGAGTTAAGGTAGATCTGGCAGATCTATACCTGCTATACGTACTCCAACCTGGTTAGTGGTGAGTTAAGGTAGATCTGGCAGATCTATACCTGCTATACGTACTCCCACCTGGTTAGTGGTGAGTTAAGGTAGATCTGGCAGATCTATACCTGCTATACGTACTCCAACCTGGTTAGTGGTGAGTTAAGGTAGATCTGGCAAATCTATACCTGCTATACGTACTCCAACCTGGTTAGTGGTGACTTAAGGTAGATCTGGCAGATCTATACCTGCTATACGTACTCCAACCTGGTTAGTGGTGACTTAAGGTAGATCTGGCAGATCTATACCTGCTATACGTACTCCAACCTGGTTAGTGGTGAGTTAAGGTAGATCTATACCTGCTATACGTACTCCAACCTGGTTAGTGGTGAGTTAAGGTAGATCTGGCAGATCTATACCTGCTATACGTACTCCAACCTGGTTAGTGGTGAGTTAAGGTAGATCTGGCAGATCTATACCTGCTATACGTACTCCAACCTGGTTAGTGGTGAGTTAAGGTAGATCTGGCAGATCTATACCTGCTATACGTACTCCAACCTGGTTAGTGGTGAGTTAAGGTAGATCTGGCAGATCTATACCTGCTATACGTACCCCAACCTGGTTAGTGGTGAGTTAAGGTAGATCTGGCAGATCTATACCTGCTATACGTACCCCAACCTGGTTAGTGGTGAGTTAAGGTAGATCTGGCAGATCTATACCTGCTATACGTACCCCAACCTGGTTAGTGGTGAGTTAAGGTAGATCCGGCAGATCTATACCTGCTATACGTACTCCAACCTGGTTGGTGGTGAGTTAAGGTAGATCTGGCAGATCTATACCTGCTATACGTACTCCAACCTGGTTAGTGGTGAGTTAAGGTAGATCTGGCAGATCTATACCTGCTATACGTACTCCAACCTGGTTAGTGGTGAGTTAAGGTAGATCTGGCAGATCTATACCTGCTATACGTACTCCAACCTGGTTAGTGGTGAGTTAAGGTAGATCTGGCAGATCTATACCTGCTATACGTACTCCAACCTGGTTAGTGGTGAGTTAAGGTAGATCTGGCAGATCTATACCTGCTATACGTACTCCCACCTGGTTAGTGGTGAGTTAAGGTAGATCTGGCAGATCTATACCTGCTATACGTACTCCAACCTGGTTAGTGGTGAGTTAAGGTAGAACTGGCAGATCTATACCTGCTATACGTACTCCCACCTGGTTAGTGGTGAGTTAAGGTAGATCTGGCAGATCTATACCTGCTATACGTACTCCAACCTGGTTAGTGGTGAGTTAAGGTAGATCTGGCAGATCTATACCTGCTATACGTACTCCCACCTGGTTAGTGGTGAGTTAAGGTAGATCTGGCAGATCTATACCTGCTATACGTACTCCAACCTGGTTAGTGGTGAGTTAAGGTAGATCTGGCAGATCTATACCTGCTATACGTACTCCAACCTGGTTAGTGGTGAGTTAAGGTAGATCTGGCAGATCTATACCTGCTATACGTACTCCAACCTGGTTAGTGGTGAGTTAAGGTAGATCTGGCAGATCTATACCTGCTATACGTACTCCAACCTGGTTAGTGGTGAGTTAAGGTAGATCTGGCAGATCTATACCTGCTATACGTACTCCAACCTGGTTAGTGGTGAGTTAAGGTAGATCTGGCAGATCTATACCTGCTATACGTACTCCAACCTGGTTAGTGGTGAGTTAAGGTAGATCTGGCAGATCTATACCTGCTATACGTACTCCAACCTGGTTAGTGGTGAGTTAAGGTAGATCTGGCAGATCTATACCTGCTATACGTACTCCCACCTGGTTAGTGCAGTGGTGAGTTAAGGTAGATCTGGCAGATCTATACCTGCTATACGTACTCCAACCTGGTTAGTGGTGAGTTAAGGTAGATCTGGCAGATCTATACCTGCTATACGTACTCCCACCTGGTTAGTGGTGAGTTAAGGTAGATCTGGCAGATCTATACCTGCTATACGTACTCCAACCTGGTTAGTGGTGAGTTAAGGTAGATCTGGCAGATCTATACCTGCTATACGTACTCCAACCTGGTTAGTGGTGAGTTAAGGTAGATCTGGCAGATCTATACCTGCTATACGTACTCCAACCTGGTTAGTGGTGAGTTAAGGTAGATCTGGCAGATCTATACCTGGTCAAGTTAGTGGTGAGTAGAGCCGAAAAGGAACGCCTGGTAACCATCACAATAACGGATCATCCCACCAAGTTACTGTTGTAATTAAAAACCCGGTCGCACAGCGGGAGAGTTTCTGCTAATATTTAATAAAACCCGCACATTCATTAACCTCACCTCGACTAACGAAGAAGCTTGGCGAAGCAGTTTACGGAAAATAAACTCCGGACCCTTCTCAAGTGCACTCTCTGGTCGGTCCATGTCGTCACTGTAACTTCCAGTTTCACTTCTGAGGTCCATTCCAACCAGCTGAAATTCATGTCTATCAGTTTAAGGCCAATATTATTTTATTAACATAATGAACCCCACGAAGCTTAGATTCGGAAAGGGGTGTACCTGATATAAAGATAAAGTTTCTGACGATAAGCACGATTCTTTTAATCGAGAAATAAGTGATCTGATAATCGTTATCACCAAGTGAATTGAACAGGCGCGCATAATAGCGCGTAAATTTTCGAGTTTCGCGCGAAAAATTGAACTCAATTTCAATGAAAATGTGTCATGGCGTGTTACTGAAACGAAAAAATTCGGCTGTGACCGCCACCATAGCTCCGTTTTTGCACTGCGGAAGATAAAAAGAAAGTTCCGTATCATCCAGAATCAACGTATAATTTTCCAATTTCATCCTGATATGATAATTATAAGCAGGGATTAGAGAATCACCGAGCAATGCCGCGCACTGTCTTTCTAGGATATGTATAGACTAAAAAGAACATGTGTTAATAAAGGAGCACAAAGTTAATATTCCAAAGGAGCACCTTCTGCTAATTACCTTGGCAACGACCAGCACGAGGTAAACACGTTATTTTCCTTCATACTTTTCACGCTGTTCTTAGTAAAAGATTTTTTTTTTAATTTTTTTCCCTACTCTTGCCGAAGGCAAAAAGATCGTAGGGAATAAGTAATCGGGTTTGGATATATGAGGTGGCCCGACGGTCCTACGTTGACGACAAAAGTCTGCTCCTTCGCAATATAGACCATTCCCCTATAATTATGTGTATTGGAAGCGTTTGTTATGCTGCGCGTGACGCTAGCCATGTGTTAATTGATTACAGTGAAGTTCCTCCTTCGCAAAGTTATTTTCCGCAATTTTCTGGATTCATTTATTGTTGATGCGCGCGGCGCTACATTGGTCAAATAAATCGTCAATTTTTACCATGCGTGAATCCCACTCATTTATTAAAAACATAGTATGTAAATATGTTGCACTTTTTCCGGTCACACTTTTCACTCGAAAGAATTAATGGTACAACTACAAGATACAAGTACATCGTAGGGAAAATTGATCGTGCGTGGTTTAACCGCGGCGAAATTCTTGTTTTAATTTTTTAAATATATTTTTTGATTGGAAAACGAAATTAGATATATACAGAATAGTATTACAGGTTATATATTATGAACATCATCATTGCAAAGATATTAAATCAGTTTTCCGCCGCAGGACGAACCCTGACCGTACCTACATGATGGAGACCGACCAAAAACCTCGTGACCTTTTGAAAAGAATCAGCAGAGCACTCAGATTGAAGCCCAGGGAGAAAGATACTTTTCGAATAAATTTGAATGCATATACAATCGATCCGTTTCGAGCAAACAGAGTGTATTACTTCCAAGTATTTTGTTTTTTAACACTTTACAAATTTATCGCAATAAATGTCTTTTCTTATCAATGCAGCTGAGCTTACAGTCAACGAACTAACTATGTATTTATAAATCCCAACAATAATACCAGAAACAGATAACAAAACATGTTACCTGTAGATCACCACCATTGTGATAGAGCCCGCATACTCTAAGGAGTTGTAGCTGACTTAGGTACAGTAACTTAGCAGGATCCGCCAGAGCCGGAACATCTAGCTCCAAGGTTAAGTGGTTTACACGAACACCACCCTTTCTGGACAGCTCCTCTGTGATGCTGTTTATGTTGGCTCCAGGCACCTGGCAATGGGTTATCTTAGTTTTTTTGTCATTTATCAAAATATTTTATGGGTTGGAATTGTTTTTATATTTTTTTAAAGGAATCGTATTACTTGATGTAATACGGCAACAGTAAAAAATATGATTTCAAAAATACGACAGAAATTCAAAATGTTTACCCCTTCCAGGTGTCTTGCTGTGCCATTAAAATCTCCCAAATCAAAGGCATGCAAAGCATGCAAGTAATTGTTATCATAGGGAGTTTTATCAGTGTATATTTCGTTACTGTGCATCTGTGACCATGACAGAGTTTCGTCCCAGTCGTTCAGTGCTGAAAATACGAACTGTAAGTTTACGATATTAAATTAAATAAAATAATTATAAAATTAAGGCCAGAATTGATACCATATAATATTAACATGTCATCCAAGGTTACCCCATAAAACAAGAAAGTCGCAATTTTAAAAACTATAAACAATGAAAATAATAAAACCGCAAATAAACTAAATGGTCACGTGATAACAGGTGCCATGTGATAACACGTGTCACATACCAAGATAACACTCGAGGGCCTGCAGAGCAATGAACTGCTTCTCTTCGCTGTTACTGACTGTGTCTATTGTAGCTTTGTAGACTTCACTAGCTTCCTCGTATCTTCCACTTGCCTGTCAAATTTCAACCATCAACTTGATATTATAATTACTTAATATTATAATTATTTAATATTATAATTACTTAATATTATAATTACTTAATATTATAATTACTTAATATTATAATTACTTAATATTATAATTACTTAATATTATATAATTACTTAATATTGGGGGGGGGGGGTCCAACCCGATCATTTCCGATCATTCCGATCCCGATTTTGGCCTCATCAACCCTCATATCGGAAAAATCGGGAAAATTTAAATCTTCCCTCTGAGGTTTCTAGGCGATATAGGTAGCTATTTCTGTACTTAAATATGACAAGAAATCGATTGGTGGTGGTCCCAGAACCCCAAAATGGTATCTTGTTCCAAACAAGAATCGTTTCGTCCGAAAAAAACAACACACTGTCGTATCAACTCTTGTTTGACAGAAACATCCACCCCGGTCCACAATTGAAAGAGGTACGGTTGGTAATAACAATCGTAACAAATAGCGAACGCTTTAGTAACTTTTGATTTAAATTGTCTCCACAATTTGTAACAGGCTATCTGCAGAAATGGGTAGCACGGTTAATGACCATGGTCCTTTCTCAAACTTCCAATCCTCAGTTAGATACAAAGAATAGTCTACACAATTTTTGATAACATTAAAAGGGATGAAAATCACTTTATTTATCAAAATCTTTATTTATCATGTAACAACTTTTCCATAGTACTGGAGAGTAAAACTCTGTTGAACAAAAATATTCTCGAGCACATTTTGAGTCAGTAACAGTAACATGTCAATATTTTACAGACTCAAATGCGTTTAAAAACATTTTAGTAACAATAAATTGTGTTAACTGATGAGGAGGAGGAGGAGGACTGAGGAGAATTAGAAGGAGGACTGAGGAGGACAGAGGAGGAAGACTGAGGAGGACCAGGACGAGGACTAGGAGGATGAGGACGAGGACTAAGGACGAGGACTAGGAGGATGAGGACGAGGACTAAGGACGATGAGGATGAGGACGAGGACTAAGGACGAGGAGGAGGACGACTGAGGAGGAGGACTGATTAGGAGGAGGACTGATTAGGAGGAGAAGGAAGAGAAGAAGGAGGAGGAGGATGAGGATGAGAACTGAGGAGGAGGAGGAGAAGGAGGAAGACTGAGGAGAAAGAGGAGGACCGAGAAGGACTGAGGAGGAGGAGGAGGACTGAAGAGGAGAGGGAGGACTGAAGAAGAGGAGCAGGATTGTTGTGGAGGAAGACGAGAAGGAGGAGAAGGAGGAGGACGAGAGCGAGGACGAGGAGGAAGACTGAGGAGGAGGACTGTTAAAAAGGAGAAGAACGAGGACTGAGGAGGAGGACTGAGGATGAGGAAAAGGAGGACTGGGGGAGGACTAAGGAAGAGGAGGACTTGGGGAGGAGGATGAGGAGGATGAGACTGATGAGGACGAAGAGGACTGAGGAGGAAGACTGAGGAGGATGAGGACAAGGGCTAATGAAGAGGAGGAGGACGACTGAGGAGGAGGACTGATTAGGAGGAGAAGGAAGAGGAGAAGGAGGAGGAGGATGAGGAGGAGGACTGAGGAGGACTGAGGAGGAGGAGGATAAGGAGGAGAATGAGGAGGAGGAGGAGGATGACTCAGGAGGAGGACTCAGGAGGTGGAGGAGGACGAGGAGGAGGACTCAGGAGGAAGACTGAAGAGGAGGAGGAGGACTGATGAGGAGGAGGACTAAGAGGACGCGAGGACTAAGGACGAAGAGGACTGAGGAGGAGGACGAGAGCGAGGACGAGGAGGAGGACTGAGGAGGAGGACTGAGGAGGAGGACTGATCAGAAGGAGAAGGAGGAGGAGGAGGACTGAGGAGGAGGACTGAGGATGAGGAGAAGGAGAAGGAGGACTGGGGCCGGCGAGGACTGAGGAAGAGGAGGACTTGGAAAGGACTGAGGAGGAGGAGGACTTGGGTAGGACTGGGGAGGAGGAGGAGGAGGAGGAGGATGAGGAGGAGGAGAAGGAGGACTGGGGGAGGACTGATGAGGAGGAGGACTGGGGGAGGAGGAGGACTTAGGAGTAGGGGGAGAAGGAGGAAAAGGAGGAGAAGGAGGAGAAGGAGGAGAAGGAGGAGGAGGACTGGGGACTGAGGAGGAGGAGGACTGAGGAGAAAGAAGATGAGAAAGAGGAATGAAGAGGATGAGGAGGAGGAGAAGGAGGACTGGGGGAGGACTGAGGAAGAGGAGGACTTGGGGAGAAGGATGAGGAGGAGGAGACTGATGAGGATTAGGAGGACTGAGGAGGAAGACTGAGGAGGATGAGGACGAGGACTAAGGACGAGGACTAGGATGATAAGGACAAGGGCTAATCTAGAGGAGGAAGACGACTGAGGAGGAGGACTGATTAGGAGGATAAGGAAGAGGAGAAGGAGGAGGAGGACTGATGAGGAGGAGGATAAGGAGGAGAATGAGGAGGAGGATGAGGAGGACTGAGGATAAGGAGGAGAATGAGGAGGAAGAGGATGACTCAGGAGGTGGAGGAGGATGAGGAGGATGACTGAAGAGGAAGAGGAGGATGACTGAGGAGGAGGATGAGGATCAGGAGGTGGAGGAGGATGAGGAGGAGGAGTCAGGAGGAGGAGGACGACTATGAGGAGGACTGAGGAGGACGGATGGGGAGGAGAAGGAGGATCAGGAGGAGGATGAGGAGGAGAAATGAGGATGAGGAGGAGGAGAACTGAGAAGGAGAAGGAGGAGGACTGGGAGTAGGACTGAGGAGGAGAAGGAGAAGGAGGAGGACTGGGAGTAGGACTGAGGAGAAGGAGGAGGACGAGGACGAGGAGTCAGGAAGAGGACTGAAGAGGACTGAGGAGGAGAAGGACTGAGGAGGAGGAAGACTTAAGAGGAGGAGGAGGAGGACATCTAAATGTTTTGTCTGTTTTTGTCCGTTTTTGTCCGCCCTACTTTTTGTCCGTTTTGAAAATACAGGGTACCGAACGGACACAAAACATGATCCCCCAGCCAAGCATGTGTTACGATACAAATGTACTTGACTATACATTTAAGGTGCAGTGTACTAGTGATTTTATGGTATGTTTAAAGACCGGACCACAAAATATAACCCGGTACCTAGTGTTGTACTAATACATAATAACAAGTAACAGGGATAAAATTAATGAGCAGAAACAATCGATCTCACGTCAAGAGGCCAAAGCACTCGGCTCTGGGAGTACATGACAACTCCAACTAGTAGTGAGCATACTAGCCCCTGCAGTGGAAAAACACATAAAACATACTATTGGAATGTCCAATTGGTTTGTTTTCTCATAACAATATAGCATTATATGTAGGGGTTCTGGTTGAATTATATCACTTCTGAGAGGTTTTAGAATTTAGAGATCGATTCTGTAAATTTCTCAATTTTCCGATTTTTCCGATTTTTCCGATTCCGATTTTGGCCTCATCAACCCTCATATCGGACATCGGGTTGGACCCCCCCCCCCCCCCGGCCCCCCCCCCCCCCCCCCAATATTATAATTACTTAATATTATAATTACTTAATATTATCTTTATTGGAAAAAAACTGAAGCGCTTAATTATGTTAATATAAGTGCATATCAGTGATATATTTTCAACATATTTTAAAAGTTAAAATCTTCCCATAAAAAGTAAGCAGAACAATTATAAAATTTGGAAATAAGTTGGAAATGTGAGTATAAAACAAACTTCACCTGCAGCTCAGCAGCATTAAGCAACCCATCGTGCTCACTATAAATACACTTCAAACCCCGGATATAGCCGGGCGCGTGCATGTTCAGTGCTGCGCGCACTGACAACAGTAACGCGGAGGTGGAGGGCTGGATGTGGAGCGCGTGGCGCCAACTCTCCGCGTACATTCCAGTGTTGCTGCATACCTGAGGAGGTGGGCTCAGTGAGATACAGGTTAACATTTAACACAGCCCTGTTTAGGGTGTTGCTAGAAGGGTATTTATAATGTGACATTGTACAGTGCAGTCTGTTATGAAATAACGTAAAGTAAGTTCCTGGGTATGTAGTATACACTTATAAACAGACAGACAGACAGACCAAACAGACAAACAAACAGAGATATTGCCACAAACAAACAGAGATATTGCCACAAACAAACAGAGATATTGCCACAAACAAACAGAGATATTGCCACAAACAGACAAATAAACGAACCTCTGCTATAGCAGGTCTTATTCTACTAAACCACTCTTCACATGTTGACCTGTTCAACACAAAGAAGTTCTTCACTGCTTTGTTACAGCCTTGTATACTGTGCACTGTACCTGTCACAAATCATCATATTTAGTCTATCTGGAATTTATGGTATTTTTAGGAAATTTTGTATTTTCGTATATGGACGATTATTTAAGTCATGTTTTATATCAGCCGAACGAATCCCAGTGACCTAGTCAGACCTCGTATTTAAAGAGTGCATAAAACACTTGACTTTATTTATCATTTTTATATCTGTAAAATAATAGATTAATATAATAAGTGTTTGATGAACTAATTTAATCATATTAAAAACAACTCAATTTAAAGTAACTCTAACCCTCGTAAGCGTTGTAAATGAGTTTCTCCAAGTTATTAATAAAATGTAGCAGTAGGTTACTCCTCAGCAGGGAAACATAACACTGACTCCCAATGCCGGAGATAATGCCACGTGCGTTTGTGTCCTCCGTTACTGCCCCGTCCTCCAGCAGTTCGTGCAGTATTCCTGACATTTCATTGGTGGAATCTCGCATTTTTAATAATCGTATGATAAAAAGTCGGTTTAATGACTTTTCCCTTATAAAAACAAGGAACTTGATTAACTTTTGTGTTTCTAGTTTAGAAATTTCACTTCAATGACAAGAGACAGAGCATAAATTGTTTTTATTTTCGAGGAAAGCAGATAAGCATATAATAACAAACAGTTTTTTTACATGTAGATGATAACAATATCAGATATTAATATATATTTATTTATTCATTTTATCTAAAAAATAAAGTTTCCCTTACCCTCGATACATTCGAAAGTCTCCGTTGCTTTCCCGAGAGGAGTCTTCAGTCGACTGTTGACAGCGTAGAGCGACATGTGCCACATAAACCAGAACCAAAGAGAACTGTCGCACGGAGAAGTGGAACCTGGGTTGGTTTGCTTGTCGCGTGCCGTCATATCACGTGGTGTGACGTCATATCACGTGGTGTGACGTCATATCACGTGGTGTGACGTCATATCACGTGGTGTGACGTCATATCACGTGGTGTGACGTCATGACACGTGGTGTGACGTTATGACACGTGGTGTGACGTCATGACACGTGGTGTGACGTCATGAAATGTGGTTGGCTTGGTTCTAATTTAGCCGAGACTTTTAGTTGGTGCGAAAATAAGCACATTATAAACTCACTAAATTGTAACATTCGGCGACTTGCCATTCTCTTAATTCGCGATACTTCCAAATATCGACTAAGGTTTAAAAGAGTGTATCATTTTCGTAAGCACACTGTTTTACTAGACGTTTCTTGAATTATACATCAAAGCAATATGTATCAATGCATATGAAACATATTATGTAAAAGTGTCTCATGATAAATGTCTGATGGCACGGGATTTGGTAAATTTTAAATGTAAGACAATTCAAAATGTAAGATTTATTTAACAAATACAGCTTAGTAGCAGGGGGGGGTCCACGTTAAAAAAAGTTAAAAAAGTTAAACTAATTAATGTTAAATTTCAAAATTCAGGCTTAGAAAGTTTAACTTTTTTAACATAAATTCAAATTTGGGTTGAAATTGCAATGGAGTGAATATTCTAGACTAGTTTACTTTTAGGTCATGCGTTGGTATTTTTGTTCATTAGTCATTACATGTAGGAATATAGGAATGCCCATGACAAGAGTAAAACAGTCATATAACATAGGTACAACCGATAAATAATTGATACATTTGATCATTACAATAATAAATTATAATTCATAGAAATATAAACAGCTGATTCATAAATAATTTTTAAAAAACAACAGATTCCATTCACAGTGTCAACACTGAAAATAGGGCTATGATAATCTATATATCATTAAATCTAGTGATACTAATCGTAATGAATTAATAACTGAATAAAATTCTAATGATGTTTCATAAAAGTTATCGCTTAAACAAAGAGTCACTGTGTCACGATATTATATTACAAAATTTAAAATAGTGTCTAATGATATTTCATAAAAGTTATCGCTCAAACAATGAGTCAATTTGTCACGATATTATATTACAAAGTTAAAAAGAGTCACGTCTAATGATGTTTCAATGTAAAAGTTATCGCTCAAACAATTTGTCAATATATTATATTACAAAATTTGACCGCTCGCTTTTCCCATTCATTCACGGCTTACGAATTGTAATAAGTTTCGATAAATTACATCAATCACATGCTGTCAAAATCTCTTTGGGTTGCGTTCGGGTCGATACCTAGCATTTTGGGAAAAGGTTGGTAATCAGTGAATTAGCTGAAAGTTATTGAATCTTTATTGCCGAGTACAGCTGCCTTCGGTTGGTTCTTCTTATATATATTACAATTGTAAATGAATGGGAAAAGCGAGCGACCGATTTCATTCTCGGTATCATTTTGCATTTGCAGACGGTCAATCAATTTAATATCATTTCCTTTTGTTTGGGAAAGAGAGACACTGGCAGCGGTCCACTCTACCCATGATTATGGGTTTTGGTCAAATATCATCTCTTTTTGATTATAATGTCAGGGTACTTTATAAAGTCGAAATATAAACTGATATCTTCATTGATAAGGAGGAAGCTTCAACGATTTCGAAATTTTTCCTTTGAAAACATTTCCTTGTGTTTAGGTAAGCATATCGGTCCATCACTGACTGAACATGTCACATTATACTCGTTCAAGTTGGCATTAAATTCATATATAATGACATTGAACTGTCGTGGCAAAGCAGAATTTGTTCGAAATCACGATCATGAGCAAAATTCTCACCTTTCGCACGTGTAAACTTTGAGCGGACGTTGCGTGCGCATCCAAAATTCAATCACCGTAAATTTTTGCATATACGTAATTAATGTATAGTTTAATAAGCATGCAAAGTTTTAAAGTGTTTCAAGAAGAACTGTAATTACAAAGGCACTCCAAAGTTGACAGAAAATGGTGAAAACAACAATTTTCAGTGATTTTAGCAATTTTCTATCAATTTGTCCCAACGTGTGCAAATTTTCGATTTTAAACTTTAAAACTAGCCTAATACACAATATATACCTATAGGAAGCAGAACTGAGCTCCACAACCCAAGGCATGGCCCAACACCAGAGAATACTAAATCGCAAAATTGACGTTTTTATAAAATAATTCTTCAAAAAAGCACTAACTTCAATGACGAATATCTTCATGAAGGAGCAAGCTAGGCAAACTTTCCGGTAGATTTTCAGAATGCTTAAACAATTATCTAACTTCAATATCACCTCAAATTTTGAATGAAATAACTCCTTTATGTTGTAAAATCGACTTGAAAAGTTGTTACTTTGTCGAAAATCGAGTTTTAAAAACGCTTAAATTGATGACGTCATCAAAGGGTAATAATGACGTAAAATATTATTTGCATATCATGTAAACTACTGTGTAAACAATTATCTTTAAGACCTGTGGTCGAAAATGGCTGTATCTTTTATACTTTTGAATCTACGGACACTTAAATTCAGGCTACAATTGACTACATTTGACTGGCAAAGCGTCTATCCCTGAATATATAATGTATCACGACAATCTGTTGTAAAACAGGGGTTCCAGAAAACCCACTTCCCGATACTCCTGAAACATGAAAAATTTTTTACAGTCGATTTGGTCAACGTCTAGACGCCCTGCAAAGTTTCAGATCTCTAACTCAATTTTAACATGGTTTTTAAGGCACCTGAATATGGCGATTTTGGGTTTTTTACTTAATTTCGTATAACATGCTGGCGCGTATTTTGCGCAAATTTCTTAAAAATCTCCACATAACTATTTCTTATTCCTGTCCTCTTTAACATTGAATTGAAATGTTTTGAACTTAAATATACTTGCTGAACTACTTTCGATGAGTATTTATGCCCGAAAAACAATAAAGGGGCATAATAGTAAAGGGGGTATAATAGTAAAGGGGGTATAAAAGTAGAGGGGGTAAATAGTAAAGGGGGTAAATAATAAGGGGGTTAAAAAGTAAAGGGGGTAAATAGTAAAGGGGGTAAATAGTATTGTGAATATAACAGGCACGGTCATGCTTGCCAGCATTGTGATTAAAAAACAGTGTCAATGAAGTAAAAATTTTACAGGTGTTACTGTAATAACGTAAATAAAAGAACTTGAGGTTCTAATTTGAAGTTACTTATATCATTTAACCTGAATATAAAAGTCTATCATTAAAATAATTTTCACTATAGTGCAGCCGAGTCCTTATCGTCGTTCATATATTTTAGAACTTCACTTGTAATACGATTAACATCATACGGTTGAGGAATCTTCATTATATCACGACATACATCATTATTCAGTAATGAAAATAGATGTTCCTCAATAATCTCTTCCTCGGACATTCCTGATGTCCCAAGACTAGGGAGGCTACCTCTTATGGCCAAACAACTGGCTAAAAAAAGCACAAATCCTTCAGTACTGATCCTGAGATCGCTGAACTGTCACTTGAACGCAAGCAGCTGATGATTGCGAATATGCAGAACAAATTTCTGACCAACAGGAAGCATGTCAAGACCAACATCAACCAGCTGAGACGTAAGATTACAAAGAGACTCAGAGATATCAACAACCGCAGTGCTGACACACTCGTCGAAGAGGTAAACAACACAGACGACGCCCGGAGATACTTGGAGCCTCTAAGATACTCGCCAAAGGATATGTTAGACCAGCTCTAACCGTCCACAACCCTGCTGGGAATATCGCAGGTACTAATGAGGAGAAAGCGAGGATTATTAAGGAGTACTTTGAAGCTGAGTTCAACGACGCTGATGAGCCTACCCTTCCTGCCTTCCTTGACCCCCCATCTAGCCTTAACAGTCCCATCACCGTTGCAGAGATAGAGAGAGCCACCAGTAAACTCAAGTCTGGTAAAGCAGTGGGTATTGATAAAGTTCCTGGCGAGGTCATGAAAGCCCTGAACAACCCCCTCCTTCATGAAGAGCTGGCTAATGTGTTCAACGAGTCTTTCGAGAAAAACATTCACATTGAAGCAATAGGAGCAGGCATCCTCACACCACTGGCTAAGCCTGGTAAAACTCGTGGCCCAGTTAAGTCGATACGACCATTGCAATTGACCCTGCTGAATGTTTCTAGAAAGATCCTGTCACTGATAGTGCTAAACAGAATAGAGAGAGCTGTGGACAACTTAACCGGACCGTTCCAAGCTGCCTACAAAGCTGGCAGGAGCTGTGCCGACCTAGTTTGGGCACAGAGCATGCTCATATCTGTAGTAATGAAGAAGGAGTTTGAATGGAACAAAGTGAGTATCGACATGTCAGCTGCCTTCAATACCATCCGCAGAGGTACAACAATCAGACTACTAGAAGCTGCAGGATGCTCCAGAGACGACCTGAGGCTTGTACAATACCTCATGGCTAACACCACTCTAGTAGTCAGAGTGTGTTCTACTGACTCAGAGATGTTCTCTTTCAACATAGGAGCCTCCCAAGGAGACAGCACAGCTGGTAAATTGTTTACCCTCAATCTAGCTGGAGCTGTAGTGCACATAAGAGCAGTCCCCCCCTCAAGACCCAACCCTCCGATAGCCGATAACCACATGCCTCTTGAGTCCGGCTATTCAGACGATTTAGAGGAGATTGGTGAAGATATGGAGGAGTTACAGGATATCTTTCAGATCTCCAAGAATATTCTCAGTGAATGGAGTCTCTTTGTCAATGACACAAAGACAAAGTTTACCAGAGTGTATTTAGAAGAAGTTGGTGCCTGTGACGAGTGGGATAATGAACTAAGAGGAAAAGAGGAGTGGAGAAACGAGACGCTTCTTGGTACTAAGCTTGGATCAGAGCAGGATGTTACTAATAGAATAAATAAAGCTAACTCTGCCTTCTGGTCATTTGACAAGCTGTGGTGCCAGGTAAGGTTTTTTTTTTACAAATGTCTCA